AGATACAATTGATCCTCAATTCGAGAGGAGGATCGAACTCTCCCAAATCTCTAGATGCCGCTAGAGCCCAAAGAAAACCTAAATCTACAAGATCTCAAATTTCAGGCAAATTCAAGATGCTCAAAACCTAGGAAAATCTACTATTTAATGCATACAATTCAAAAGGAATTTCCTAAACAATCCCTACAATCAATTTCCCTCCTAAAATCCATTTAAAAACCTTCCAAAAACCGTCCCGCAAGGCGTGCGTCACGCGCGGCTTCCGCTCAGGCGGAAGCTTTCTCCACCTGTTCGCGATATTCTCCTGTGAACCGGTCCCGCCTCGACCGGCTGGACCGGTCCTGTGGACCGGTCTAACACATCCACAATAAAAGGATGGACATTCAGTCCATTTGATGTAGGACTACAATTATTGCAATGGTTTTATTAAGAATTTGCACAACTGATTGATTATAGAGATAACAACTAGAACTATTAGCAAATAAAATGATGAATCAAAACTTAAGAGCGGTCACTTTCGTTTAGGCTAAGTTGCATGTAAGGAGATTTGAATCAACAAAATATCATAGGAAAAACAATACCATGCAAAGTAGTAGTTTTCAACGAAAATCCCTAGTATAACAATAAGATTAAAAGCAAGTGAATGCACTCAAACCCTTACGTTTACTAAGCTTAGCAGAATCGGGCAAACCCGACCGTCATGACTACATTCAAATCACAATAAATGATTAGACTTAAGAAATACAAGAAAAGGAAAATTAGAAGACCTTCGTCAAGGATCAGTTGCAATCCTCCACTCGACGATCTCTAATTGCTCTTCGATAGCTTCAACTAAGGTGTCCAATATGCGTTCTATGTAGTCCTCAACCGTATGGTCGATCCTTGGGTTGACGTCAAAGAAGGTTGAATGGAGAATGTGCACGAAGCCGTGTTCGTCGTACGCAAGTCCGTAGTCAGTATCGGGATCGACCATTCATGAATGCTAGATGATGAATTCTTCCAACGATTGCTAGTAATCTTGAACTCCGTTGAAGAGAAAGAAGTTTCTCTTAAAGTGGAGATGATGGAAAGTGGCCCGCCAAGGGGGAAGGGAGAATAGGGAGTTTGTTTTAGACTTGAGAGAGGGAAGGGCTTAAAACTTGAAATTAATTTTAGATTTTGGCAAGAAGGGGTTTGCAATTTGAAACAATTCCAAAAGGGGATGAGAGAGGGGAGGGGCGGCGGAAAGGGTGGGAGGGATTTAATTTAATTCCAAAAGGGGAGATTTCCTTTTGGAAATAAATTAAGGGGCTTAGGGGATTTCGGTTAAGGAGGTGGGGATGATATTTAGAATTGTTTTCAAGAGGGGCTAGAGGGTTTTAGGAAATAATTCCAAAATCTCCCCTATAAGAGCCGGCGACATTAAGAGCTAAGGGGAGCAATTAATGAGAGAGATTAAGGCTTCTTAATTTGGGTTTAAGAATTAGGAAATGAATTAATCAAATCCAATTTGAATTTGAATTTCAAATAGATTTAAATTAATAACTTTCCTAAAATAGATGAGATAAATTAGGGAAGCATTTTGAATTTCAAATTTAGTTGATTTGAATTTCAAATTGATCCCAAATTAAATCCAACCAAATTAGGAAACCCAAGGATGAAGGGGGAAGTGATGGGGCCGTTAACCAATGTAGAAGAACTTATGTGGTGGTGGTGGAGAGAAGGAGAAAGGCTTGGGAAGGGAGAAACCGTGGGTATGATGGGGCTGGCGGTGGTGGAAGGAGAAAGGAAGAGATACGAAAATAGAACCACGATCCCGACTCGTCTAGGTTGGTGGGTGATGCGTGATTCTCCCTCTCCTAGAGATCTCTCTCCAATTTCTCAAGCTCTCACAAAAACTCATGCAAGGGGAAGGAATATTTTAATCAATCATTCATTAACTTGCAAAGAAGAACAAGGGAGCTATAAAGCCCCTTACAATGACTCAAACATAAAGGACGACAATGCCTTAGGGCTTACATACGACATCCCTTAATAAAAGGGTACAACGGGAAACTAAATAAAGCAAATACAATATGACATCAAAAAATAAGAAAATATATAAAACAAATAAAAAATACAATGACTCAATCGTGGTCGTAGATCGGCGGCCACGTCTCTGATAAACCTTCCATGATCTGATGTCCCCATCACCATTCCATCACTATTGATTAATCGAAGTCAATGCTATTGTTTGAAGTGGCAGATACCACGTCTTTGAAACTTCGGCCATATGCATCAACATCATAAGAAGGCACAATTTCCATGACAGTCTATATATAGCACTAGATTCTGATAGCTCTCAAGATTTAAACTAGGGAGGAGTAACAACCACCAATTTTATGCAAGTCTGTGATCATTTGTTTGATCCCCATTAACTTGATTGTTGGGACCCACAAAAGATGGTTTTCTCAATTTAAGATGAGCATTAAAGCAATTGAAATATTTGTGATAAAAATTTTTGCATGATGAACAATTGAAAGATATGCCCTTAAATTTAACCTTCTTTTAATAACCACTTGATGAGGAAACTATTCAAATATGCCTCTCTAAAAGAATTGTAATGCCCATTTCAGCATCCACTTGTAAATGTGTACCAAAAATAGAAACAAAAGGATATAAAATAGATTGGTTAAAATACTGAACTCAAGATCGTGGAAAAATAATCCAACTTGGAATTATTGGTCATTTCTCAGAAGTTTCAAAGTGTAGTTTCCACTTAAGCACACATAGAAGAATCTACTGGAATATAGCCTTGATTAATCTACTTACTAAGATAATTTGATGCCTCAGTCAATGTGACCAATAGAGTAATCACTAATCATCAATTAAATATGAATCAAATTTGAATCTATGAATAATCTCAAGATTGCGATGAACCCAGGGAAACTCTTCCCCACTATAGAGAAGAAAATGGAGCCACAAACTTAGAAATTTCAGCCTCAGGTGATGGTAAATATAAGCTTTAAGTGGGGTTAAATTGTTTGGTTTGTGGAAAGATAAGCTATTATAAGCTGAGAGATTATTTTATTTCATTTTGGCGTAAGCTCATTTTCTAAACCTATCATGGCCTTCTAATATTAAATAAAGCATGAATTAGTTTACTATTATAACTTAATTATGATGAAATTTAAAAAAGAAAATGGATTTGGCAATGGCTTGAAGGGGGATACTCAGTGGCAACAGCAGGCTGTAAGGATAACCACAAATTATAGCAAAAAGTAACGTAGCAGTAATTGTTGGAGAAGCTGAGAGTTTTGGAAAGAGGAGTCGAAGAAGCTGAGCCAATGAGTTGTACAGTGATGGAAGGAGTACATGGGAAAGAGACAATTGAGCGCGTTCTTCTTATCTTTTGGTCCACTTAAGTCCTAAGCCAATAAAAGCGATCTAAAAATTATGTCTTAAGATATGTCAAAATAGCTTCTTTGATTGCATTTATGGGCCTAAGTCCAATCAAACAACCCCTATGTCTAAAGTCAGTTGTATTTTCCTAGAATTGTGGATGGAATACAAAAGCTTATAAAGGGCTTTCTAATTGTGTAGGATTCATTTCAAACAGTCGTTGACATTGTGGTAGACTTAAAATTTTTTGGGCACTTCCCAGAAACATTATGAAAACAGGAAATATTATTATGTGCGGACGCCGAATATGTCCGGAGGTGAATGAGGAGGTGTCACATCGATTGTGTGCATTGCATGATGTGGCACCTCCTCATTTGCCTACGGACGGTTTCGACATCCGCACGTAATAATTTCTCTGAAAACAGACACCATGCAATCAATTACACTCTAACTCTAGCTTGTATTTTAGGTTCTTCTTTTATTATTGTATCCCTCACTCGGTCACTCCCATTTGATATTATTGTCTTACGCATTCATAAACTTTTTACTTCGCTAAATTCAACCCTTTTAGCACCAACCTCCTAGAACGTCATTGATTGTTTTTTTCATTATAAATTATGATATTCGGCAAATCTTGAAAATGGATGACGATGACAGACACCAAACAGTAGGATAAGCTTGCTGAAATGAGCGGGAAAGTATGGACTAAAAATTATGTTTTCAATTTTTTTTTAAAAATGATAGATGCAACATCGAATGCAAAAACTAGGTTGCGATTGCAGCATGATGACGCTGAATAGTTTCGATCCATGGTTGCTTCCTTTTTGGCTCACCTGAAAATATTTTCAAATTACATGGCAGTGAACCTGAATAGTGTCGTTGGACTATTGAACATGGAATACAAGACCAAGATGTTTTCATTTGTCCGAATCACATCATCTATTTTGATTTTAGCTGAATATAGAATGCCCCAAAAGATTATGCAAGTGGTATGTTAGTTTTTTTTTTTTTTAAGTGCTTTTCTGAATCCATAAATATTCAAGTTCTCAGGATAGCTTGGTCACCGATCAAGTCTGTTTTCGTCGGGATTAAAGTCTGTACTTTAAAACATATTTTTCTTGAAATGATGTGCCTTTTTTGTGGCTGACTCTACATATCAAAGAATTACTTGCGGCTGTATTTCTTCACACTGAAATCATAGTTAAATTTACAATGGAAATAACAAAACCTAGTCATAAATTAATTGAAATTTAATAAATTTTTTTGTTTTTTGTATAGATCTTTCCTAGTTTTCATTCTTTTTTTTCCGCTGAATATTTAAATAAAAATTTAACTCTTCATAGATTACGATGGAGAAAAAAAATCATATAACTGGCCTGACTTAGTAGGATAAAGGCTTGCTTTTTGTTGTATTTCCCAATAGCCTACGCCTTAGTTATTGCCCCCTCAAAACCTCACTCACCCTCAGAGCAGTTATTAGGCAAGCAAAATGCCAATAAAGAAAGGTGCAGACCTTTTTTTTATATATTCTGTTTACCCCCCCATTTTCTGGCATACCAAATAATTTTTCCCACCATCCCTTTCTTTTTATGCTTTGATGGTATGGCCTGATAATCAAATTCCATTGAATTTTTCAATAGGCACAACTTAGTAAGGTTGACTCTGGCTTGAAAGAGCTTGGCCCATCTGTTGAAAAGCTGAAGAAAGATAGCAAAAATATGATTTTGAGAGCTAGTTTTGGAGAGGAAGAATTGCAGCGTGGCCGAACTAAAATAAGGTTTATCGGGTCTCATTTTGAAAAACTATCTTCCCTGGAATTATAGGAGACATGATAGCATTACTGATCACTAGTGACTGTTTTTTTTTTTTTTTTTTCATAGGGATGCAGGTAAAGAAATCCAAAGGCTGGTCAAATCCATTTATAAAATCGAATCACAAGCAGCAGGTGTGAACTGTGTAGCTTATTATGTTGGTTATGTTTAGGAGTGAAAAAGATCTGATTCAGTGCTAGGTCATTTGTGTCATGGATAAAAATGAGTCGATTTTAAGCCGGCTCCAATTTGTATTGAGCCAGATTGAAATCATTTATCTTTCCTTGTTTATTTTTTTTAGTCTTTTCCAGCCAGCTTGGTTTGATCAGTCCTAGTTCAAAAGATGGGAAAATTATTAGGTCCGGACACCGGACGTAGAGATAGGTCCTGACGTCAATAAAATGTCGACATGTGGCGTGAACACGTGGATATTCAATATGTTTAATATGTCTGTGGAACTTTAAGCCAAGCGCACCAAAAACGCAACTAAAGTGCAACTAAAGCGCAGTTAAAGCACAGATAAAGCGCAAGTAAAGTGCACAAAAAGCGCAACTAAAGTACACTCCACGTGTCAAGTTTTTAGTGGATGTCCGGAAGTATCTCTACGTCCAGTCTCCGTACATAATAATAAAGATGAGACCTAGCCAGAAATTTGATTCATGATTCTGCTCGTTTGGCTGGATTGAAACATGATCCGAGCCACAAATCAGTTCAAAAATTTTTTTTTTTTTTCGGGCTGAAGTATGAACCCTAGTCATAGTTAGATTTTTGAATCCAGACATTTTTTATTCTTATTAAAGAATTTGATCCGCAGATGTGATTGATGGATTGCGAGTAATACCTGGCAGAGATGCCCTGAAACTTCGGGCTGAAGTAAGTTACAGATTTGAAGAGTTCAGTTTCAGAATAATGAAGATTTTTTTAGTTTCTCATTCCTAATTCAATTTCATGTAGATTGCTTCAATGACTTCTGATCTGAGACAGCAGAGGCGTGATCTGGACAGAAAAATCTTGAAAATATCAGAACATGGCATCCCTGTATGATTAAACGCTATCTTTCTGTCCTTTGCCTCTTCGAGTTTTAGGCCGTTTTTTGCTTTGTGCACAAGAGAGAAGCTTTGGTAACTGACTCCCAATTTATCCATGAAAAGAAATTCTTCTTGTGTAATAATATAATGAATTAATATCTGAACGAACTTCCACCTTTCTGCTTTCAAGTTTTCCCTGCAGTCATTAACAGTATCTGATCATTATCGTTAGGACTAAATGAACCGAGCGAGTTGAGTAGGTGCTTGTTCATATTTGAACTTGTTTATTATTAGCTTGTTCAAGTTTTGGTTTGAGTTTGATTCGAATTTTTTTTTTGTTTGTGTTCTTTGATTCTTTTAAAAAAATTTATGCTCATATTTGAATTGTGTTTGATTAATGTTTAATTTGTTTATGTTTATTGAGCTTTATCAAACTTACTAATAAATAATCATCTAGAGCTTGTTTGTGAACATATAGGGAGTATTTTTGATCTATCAAACAAGCATGTTCATAAATAAATAAAATAAAAACAAATAAATAAATAAATAAATGAGCTCATAAAATGATTTTTCTTATAATTTAGCATGATCATAAACACTTTAAAACAAAAAATTCTACAAAAATGAACAGATAGTTCTTATTTTTGAACAAATTTATTATATTGAATAAAAATATAATTATTTTTTTTGTATAAGAAAAATTTAGTAGAATAAAATTAAAAATTTATGTAAAAATAAACAAAATAAAGATTTAATCAAATTTCCCTGTGAACTTATGAGTTTTAATTTATACGTTTAACATAACTGTTCAAGTTTATGTATTTAATAGTTTGAGTAATTCAAATATTATTCATATTTATTTAAATGATCATTAATGAGTTATAATTGAATGAGTCATGGAACGCACGATTTATTTACAGCTTTAATTATCTGCTTAGTAAATTATCTTATTTGCATGCATGGCATGCCTTATAATTATGTTAAACCTAACGAAAGATTGCCCAATATGTTGAAAAGTGAAAACCCACCGGAGTTGCAAAGGTTCTTATTCACGTTTTTTGTTAACCCGCTCTTACTAAGGCTTCGTTTGTTTTTTTTGTGCTTTTTTAAAAGACAGTTTTAAAAAACATTAGTTCAGAAAATAGAATTTTCTAACGGAGAAGCACATATAAAAAGTTTTCTCAAAATTGCAGAAAAATGAAAAAAGGAGTTATTGAGAACGTGATTTGACGAACCAAACAATACAAAAAAAAAAATCCTCCGTTTTCAAAAATGGAGAAGCAACAAAACGCTCAAACAAACAAAGCCTAAGGCTTTGTTTGGTTTACACCCGCATTTTTTTCATTCTTAAACAGAGGTATTATTAGAACGAAGAAGCGGGATTTTTTTCCTTCTTAAATTGATGAAAATTCGGAGTTATATCAAAATGCCTTTTGAAAAAGTGACGCAAACAAACATTAATACGGAAAAATTTACGGGCAACCAGATGAAGCCTAAGTTCACTCTGCGTTGGCGATGGTTCAGCAAAACGGAACTGAGCGATTATATTTTACTTGAATCTATTTGTCAAAGAATTAACTTTTTATTATTATGAGTTGTGAATGGTAAAAAATAAGTCTAAAATCTGACGAGTGCAACTTCAAATCATTTATCGATTAATATTATATTCTGCATGCCAAATACTACGTTAAAGTTCAAATTACGTGAATATGCATTTTTTGCATATCAGTTGTTTTAGATGTCAAAATTTGACGTAACCAAAAATCCAACCTTGACCCGATTTAAAAAATTTTGTATTCAGATCAACCTATTTGTTATACAAGTTGAGTTCGAGTTCAACAAACCAACCTGTTTAAAAAAATTGACTGGATTTGAATTGATCCAAAAATCCAAAAGTGATATGTTAAAAGATAATTAAAAAATTAATTTTAATAGGAAATTTCATGTTATATGATTTGAAAAAAGCTAAAATAAAACATTAAATAATAATCTCTATTTAATATTAAAGATAATTAAAATGTAAAATTTAATAATTATCTGCATTTTTGCAAGCTGGTAAATTGAATGCAAATAAACTTCTGCAGAATCATCTAGCCAGAGCTAATTTTCAAGCAATTCAAGCTTTTTTTGGTTTACACCCGCATTTTTTTCATTCTTAAACGGAGGTATTATTAGAACGGAGAAGCGGGATTTTTTTCCTTCTCAAATCGGTGAAAATTCGGAATTATATCAAAATGCCTTTTGAAAAAGTGACGCAAACAAACATTAAAACGGAAAAATTTACGGGCAACCAAACGAAGCCTAAGTTCACTCTGCGTTGGCGATGGTTCAGCAAAACGGAACTGAGAGATTATATTTTACTTGAATATATTTGTCAAAGAATTATTTTTTATTATTATAAGTTTGTGAATGGTAAAAAATAAGTCTAAAATCTGACGAGTGCAACTTCAAATCATTTATCGATAAATATTATATTCAGAAGAGATAAACGATAAAAAGTATACTAAAAAATATTAAAGAGTAATTATTGAAGACATTTGAATTATCCTTAACAAAACTAAAAATTTCTTATTACTCTTCTACAATTCTATCATCACAAATCCATTTAATATTACAACACAGTGCGTATATCCATTATTAATTTATCATTTTTCACATAACATGCTGAATGATGTGTCCGACAATTGTCCTACACACTCTACTTTGATCTTATGAAATTTGCAGCTCACTTTGATCTATTGGTTGAGAGCTTTGACTATCAACCAAAATGATTTGTAATCAAGTCCTGTGTATGTTATGTGTGTGTGAGTTTGTCTTAAGTTTCGTTTGAGACGGCTTTCTTACTGCTTCTTAAAGTAACTTTCTAGTATAAAAATTCTAATTTTTATACTAAAAAACTGTTTAAAAAACAGTAAGAAAGCCGGCCCAAACGAAGCCTTAATTGACCTAAATATCCCCCAATAAAATATTATGAAATTTTAGACACAAGTCATTTTCCTTCCAACTATAAAACATCACGCACACAAGCAGTGAAAAGTATCTACTTTCTATTTAATTGGATGTGCCAATACTAACAAAAAATGTAGAGATACAGGGCAGCAGCAATTTCCTTACCTCATTACTTGAGACTATATAAGAAGTTTAAGAAGGCAGAACCTTGAGATTATATCACTAGTACTACTTCCTCATCTGCGTTAATAGCTCAGCTGGGGGCCTTCCAGCACTGGAGTTACCAGCACCAAACGCAATGCTACTAAAACCTCCAAAGCCACCTGAACAAATGCACATTGCTTGTATAAAACCAAAAAAGTCAAATCGAATAACTCTTATTTAGTTTGATTCAGTTGTTGATCTATAATTTTAATTTTCTTTGAATTTTTATTATTGGCCTTTTTTTCTAAAATTGATCAATCAAAAATCAATAAAACTCATAAATTATAAGAAAAAAAATGACATAAGGATCAAAGTAAGTACTATTTACTTCATATGGAAAAATCATAAAATTTAACAAAGATTACATCATATTCTTCACTATACATATTATTTAAGCTAAATATGATTAAGGTCATTACTAAATTTAATTATATTTTGGTTCAATCAAAATTAAAGCAAACTAACCAAAACAAAGTTTGGTTCAGTTTATTTCAGTTAGGAAAATAAATGTAGGCTTCGTTTGGGATGGTTTTCTTACTGCTTCTTAAAGCAATTTTTAAGTGCAAAAATTTTAATTTTGTACTAAAAGGCTGCTTTAGAAAGCAGTAAAAAAGCCATTCCGAATATAGCCTTAGTTAGTAAACCCACCAATATTGGAGGCAACACCAGCAAAGCCACCCCCAGTGCTTAATTTTGTACCTGGCCAACTTTGGCTACAGTACCCTTATCCAATTTTTTTTCCCAAAAAGAAAGAAAAAACTACCAACATCTTATCAAATAATTTATTTATTGACCAGGTCAATCGTTGAGGAGATGGAGGAAAAATAATATTAAAAATGATACCTGTTGCTAAGCCACCACCAGAGCTGGCTCCTCCAAATCCTCCACCAGCACCAGTGCCAGCAAACCCACCAATATTGGAGGCAACACCAGCAAAGCCACCCCCAGTTGCAGCACCAGCAAATCCGCCCCCAGTTGCAACACCAGCAAAGCCACCCCCGGTTGCAGCACCAGCAAAGCCACCTCCAGAGGCAACACCAGCAAAGCCACCAGTATTGGAGAAGCCTCCGCCGCTTCCAGCAGCTGAAGCAAAACCAAACCCTGGTGAACCAGTACCTAGCTGCCGTGACTGCCCAAAAGAACCAAGAACTGAACCAAGTGCCTGTTGTCCAGATCCAAGCTGAGCTGGTTGTCCAAAGCCACTGAATCCACCAGAAAGGCCGCCGGTTAAACTTGAACCAGTGGACTGTGACAAGTGCGGCGATTGAGATTCTGGGAGATTGAAAGAAGGCGGGCGGAAGAGCAGCCCAGGAGAGGCACTCCATGAAAGCTGCGGACTAGCACTGCCTGTGCTAGCTGGCAAAAACGAACCACCAAAAGGATTTGGCTTTTGGGCATTGGTGGAAGGGGTAGCTTGCAATGCAAAACCGCCAAGTGATTCCAAGTTCAGCATGGAGTTTGTATCCAGAGCCTCCTCTTCCATCTCATCCTCTTGGGAAAGGTTAGCATCCAAGTTCTCCATGGTCATGATGCTTGAAGACGTCGCCATGCCAGACACAGTCAGTGGCGGAAAACCAGATCCAGCAGGCAACACATTATCATTGGTTGTTGACGGCAGACTGGACTTCTCTATCGGAGCAGGTGCTACACTGGTTGCAGGAATCTGTGATGTGGGTTGTTGTGACTTAGAATCATTTGTATTGTCAGTCCCCACATTGTCGCTGACAGATGGATGTAGACCAACTTCTTTTTTGGGAGGAAATATATCACTGACAGAGGCCTGTGATGTATCTGTTGTCAGTTTTGAACTAATTTTACTTGGAAAAGAACTAAGCTCCTTTGGTTGACCATCTGTAGCTGCCTTATTAGTTGTTTCACTTGTTTGTAATGTTGCATGTTCCAATTCAGAACCAATTTTATTCAAGGATAAAGAATCCTTGGATGCAGGTACCCTTGCCAGAGATGGCATAGATTTGGACAATATCTCATTTGAAAATGAAGTGGGAGCGTTAGATATTGTTGGTGATAAAAAAATATTTGGCGGCATAGAATTCCCAAACTGAAAGGATGAAAGACTAGAGGAGGTTAAAGAAGCAGTAGCCTGTGATATGGATGCTGATAAAGTACTTGAAGAAAATGTCAGTTTCTTGGTGCTTTCTTGTGTTAAATTAGCTTGAGTGCCCACTTCATTTTTTAGGCTAGTGCCTTGGTTTAATTGACTCCCTGTCTCAGTTGCAGATGTAGTCTTCAAAGGTGAAACATTGCTGGAGGTGAACTTCATGTGAGTGGAAACAGATGTTGGTTTGGATGCTAAAGCTGTTTTTGTTGCAGGACTGCTTGAATTGTTCAATGTAGATGATGCGCCAATGTTCAGCATAAATGGTGAACCAAACTTTACGTTGTTGTTGCTATTAGCGTTGCTAAATATTGATGGTGTTGCAAATGAGGATGGCTGAGTACCAACACTATGAAACAACTGTGAAGAAATTGAATTTGAACTCGTATTGGGTTCTGAACGCTGATCTGAAGTATCTTTTGCCCATCTAAATATGGGCTTGGAATGGGCATCTATTGCTATCTTAGAAGATTTCTCTTGAATACCTGAACAAGGTGGTGAATGGCTGGAATTAGAATGAAACTGTAGGCATACAGATGTGTAGTGCTTGCTAAGCTCCTATGTAGACTGGTTGCAGAGTTAAAAAAAGAACGATCTTAAATATTACCTCTATTTGGAGATTGTTCAAGGGATTGAGAGTTACTATGTGTTGTCTTTGACAGAAAAGATGCAGCTTCGTTACTTGATCGTTTGGTGATGCCAAAGTCTTTGGACTGAGAATCAAAGGCTTTAGAAGAGGCACCAATGCCAGACTTCTGGGCAATGTCAAAGGCCTTCACTTGAGAATCAAAGACCTCTTTAGCTTCCCTGAATGCTATATCTAAATTCGATCTAACCTGTTCCTTTGTAGAAGTCCTTTTTATTGTGGTTCTTGATGGTTCAAAATGTGCCCAATTCTGCAGAAGAGATCATATAATTGTCAAGTGTAGGCCAGATTCTACCTGGACAGATTTTTGCATTTTTACATACGACCATATTCTGATGGCCTGCTTATTTTTCACCACAAAATCTGTCCATCTTTCCATCAAGTCTATGCGCCGCACATTAAAGATCGGGATAACAAGACCAAGTGATATAATATTCAAAGATAAAGTGACATTCAAGCAAATAGTGCAATTACTACAAAAACTTCTGTTCAATTAATTCAACTGAAAGCTAAATTTTTTGCTTAAAAATCTTTTCCATTTATAAGAATTCCTAATCAATAAGCATAAAGTAGACATTCAGTTATAAAATACATAATCTAACTAGTCTAATACAAAAAACTAGTAAGAAGCCAATGTGCCCCAATTACATCTAAAGCATTACCATCAACGAGGCTAAATATTCGGATGGTTTTCTTGAACTGACAGAATTTGCATTATTAACCAGTTGTAATGAAAAGTTATATAAAAAACTTTTAAAGTGGAACATGATGAGAAAAATTACCTTGTCCAGTGAGCCTCTTTTTCTCCTCGCAGACTCTAATTTGCAAGCGTTCACATCGTTTGGAACACAGTTCCAGGACTGTTCCTTCAAGGCTGACGCTGATGACGGTGAAGTTTTCTTGGAAGAATAGGGCAATAGGTTGGAACTTTTAAGATCTGGAGACATGAAAGCATCAGTTTTGGGATCAAGGCCAATTGATTCAAATAACTCCTTAGTGACATTTCGCTTTTCTGGAGTGGATGAGCTTATATTTAGCACAGCCATCTGCTTTGAAAGGCATTCAGAGAGCTGCTCAGCAGCTGACAGTTGGGAGTTTACGGTACTGTATACACTATGCAATGATTGAGTTCCTCTGCAAAAAGAAAATTCATTAGAATCAAGCAACACCCCACAGTTTTAACATTTCATCAATATAGATCAGAAACAAAGAATTAACGTTAAGGAAAATATACTCGGTTGGGGCCCCTTGATTTTGCATGATATACAACAACTAGATTTAAAATTCAAAAGGTAATTCATTACAAGCTCTTCATCCTAAGGATTATGAAACAACAGATCATTCCATAAAATCTTGAGTCCTTTTTTAAGCCAAAATACAATTAAAAATGAAATATATCTTAGGTCTTGTTCGGATCATAAAGTTTTCGTTTTGTTTTATTTTTGTTTTGATTTTATTTAGTTTCCGTTTACACTTAGAGCAAAAACATATATATTAAGATGATCTACATATTTTCTATTTGCAGAATCAAGAATGTAAAAATTGTTTGGAATCAAAACACAAAGAGACCAAATATTTATATATAATATCAACAATAAATAATCATAACTAAATAATAGTTAAACCATAACTAATTTAAGTTAGCATGCTAATGATTAATTAATAGAAAGGTATCAGGTTAATTAATATTTAATTATACGAATTTTGGCTAATTATCACACAAAATCCGAAATGATTCCTAATTAACCATAAAAAAATATTTAATTTCTTTTTACAATAAGTAATTAATTGAGAAGCATCCCATGCCTAATTAACATAATTTAATACAAGTAAAACCTAAGTGAATAGGAAATTATTAATTAAACCAATCAGTTATTAGTTGAATAATTATTCCATAATCAATCAGGTAAATTAAAACTACTAAAATATTAATGAATCTTACTCAACCCTATTTAATTGTGAAGGAGGCAACCCCTAAGACGGCTGAAAAAACCTCACTAAATTGTTGAATCAATTGTTGTACTGAAAGAGGAAAATCCCCACCTTTCTCTATTATGATCCCCTCCAGCCTATGTAGTTCCATCAAATAACCTTCCCCACATCATGTATGCTCCTCTCCTTAGTTTTAAGTGATATCATGGCTTTGGTGAGCCCTGCATCTCCCATGATCACTACCCTTCTCCCTTCCACCATCAGCTCCATTGTCAATGCTCCCCAATTGACCATGGTGTCTCACAAGGCCTGCAGCCACTTCATCCCCAGGTTGACATCAGTACCTAACTCAGATGGGAGAAAATCCTCCATTACTTGAACGATTGAACCCACTGTATGATCAACACTACTCCCCTACATAACCCCTGACCCATCTCCACCTTCCCTATACCAATCATCACTCCATAACACCTTGTATCCACAAATGTCAGCCCCAATTGGTCTACGACCTGGTTGGAGATGAAATTATGGGCAGCCCCACTGTCAATCAACACCACCATCTCCCTATATGTTATTTCCCCCTTCACACATTCATGTTATGATTCAGAGTGAATCCCACCACAAAATTCAGGGAGACCTCCATCACAACAGATGCAGCTTCCCATACTCTCATCTCCCTCTATTTCCTCGTCATCACAGACGGTGAGAACCTGAAGAGTTCAATCGCTACACTTGTGCCATGGAGTATACTTCTCATCACATCTGAAGCATAGTCCCTTTGCCATCTTCTCCTACATCTCCCTCTCCGTCAGTCTTTTGAAGTTCCCCCCACTTCCTTCTCCTGTTGGTTTCTCCTTGGGAGTCTCATTAATGTTGCATGATGCAGGCCCCTTAGGTGCTAAAAGAGTGGTCCTCCTCCTATAAGACCCCCCTGAATTGCTGCTCCTAGCTCCCCTCTCATGATATCTCTGATTTTCCACCCGTTGTGCCAACTCCATGGCCTCTCCCAAGTCACGAGGCCTCATGACCTTCACTGCATCTCTGATCTTTGATTTGAGCCCATTCAAGAAGTTCAACTCCAATGTCGTCTCTGAAAATCGCTCCACTCAACTGGCCAGATGCTCAAATCTCTCTCGGCAGTCTGCCGCTGATCCGCCCTGCACCAGTGCAAAGAATTGATCATAAAAGTCTCATCCCCTGACAGTTTGGAAACATTCTATTAAACAGTCTTTGAACTCTCTCTAGCTCCGAAGGGGCCTCCACTGGTACAATGATAGTTCATTCCCCTCCAAACATAGGCCGACTGCTATCAATTTCTCCTCCTCCGTCAGCCCATTCACGGTGAAGTACATCTCCACCTTGTAAATCCGCCCATGTGCATCTTCCCTTCAAAAAATGGACATCTTCAGCTTCCTCACCTTCTGATCTCTCCCATTTCCCCTTATTTCTCCAGTGCTCCCCCCCCCCTAAGTCCCCTGATCTTCCCTCCTACGTTCATACCCAAACCCTTCTTCATTTTTCCCCCTCTTTTCTTCAAAATCAGCACCCCTTCTCCTGTACTTCCCTTCTTTTCTTTCCCAACCAACATCTCTCGAGTCTTGCCCCCCATACCCATGTCTTCCTCCATACCTTCCACCTTGTCCCTCCATGATTTCCACTTCATCATCCCTCCTACGACAATCAGAATTTGTCATTTTCCCCACCGGTTATTTTGCCTCTAATGCCGCCGTTTGAATTTGATTATCCAATAACTTATTCATCGTCGCATGAAGATCGGAAACTTTGTCTTCCATGGATGAGATTCGATCTTCCATCATGGCTTTAATTTGGCTCATTTCTCCTTCCAAGCTTTCCTCCAACACGTCTACCTTCTTGGCCGCTATCAACAATTCTAGGTTTCTCTTCAAAAATCAGCAAAAGTTCCTTCCTCCGAATGCAATTTCTTCGTAGAAATTTCAAAAAAAATCAGCCCCCGATGGTCCCAAGACTTTGTCTGATACCAATTTGATAGGAAACACTTGTAGATCTCATGTATTTCCTATCAATCCTCAAAAAACAATGAGAACTCTCCACAAAAATCCACAAAAAACCACGAAAACAGTAAATAATTTGTATTATTTGATAAAAGGTAAACGGAAAATACCAAGATACAATTGATCCTCTATTCGAGAGGAGGATCTATCTCTCCCAAATCTCTAGACGCCGCTAGAGCCCAAAACCTAAACGTAAGATATCTCAAATTTCAGCCAAATTCAAGATGCCCTAACCCTAGGAAAACAAACTATTTAATGCATACAATTCAAAAGGAAATCTCTAAACAATCCCTACTTCCAATCTCCCTCCTAAACTTCCTCAAAAATCCTTCCTAATTCATTTTTTTGGATGTCGCAGCTTGAACGACATGTACAGGAGGCGGACTTCTCCGCCTCTATTGTTCATAAGTCAATCCTGCATGGACCGGCTGAACCGGTCTAACAGAGTGCTTTTACTCAGTTTTCTTATTTTAACAATTTTTGTAGGTGATTTTGCATGTGTGATTTAAATTTTATCAAATGTAATACATGAATTTCTTTTCAAAGTTCGAATTGGATCATTGTGAAATTTTGTTTTCATAATGAGATTTTAAATTTTGAAAACTATTAAACTACCTTTGGGGACGAAAAACAATGTGTTTGTTGCTTTTACATTAAAAGTAACATATTTTTAATAAAGTTAAAAATTTGTTGACTGATGGATAGTGAACATTTTGTACCTTTTTGTGCATTTCCTCCAAGATTACAATGGTAACACTAGACCCTCAACCATTCAACATCACTCATTATATGGTTGCTTGATATTCTCTAGAGAAGAAACTTAAACAACATAGATCACTAGTTTTTTAAGAGGATGACTGATGAAAATATAAGCTTTGAGGTACCACACCTTGAGGGTGTAGAGTTACATGGAGCTCTCCAACCAGTAGCAGTTGTGTCATGTTCACCAAATCTTTTAATCTCGAGACTGTTGAAATGTCTTTCTAGTTCTAGAAGTTGATTTGCCAAGTTCTGGATGCAAAAGAAGCAAGTGATAAGTTCAAATATTTTTTAACGAGAAAAAAGGATAAACTTGAAGAATTATTGTACCAAGACCTGCTTCAAATTTGAAATATGCAACCGTTTTGCTTCAAATTCACGACTTAACTTTCGGTTATTCCAAAAGGCCCAGTAATTGTGATCGGAAGCTTGCTGAACTATACCTTTCATATAAACTTGTCTAGCAGACACTGCATGGAATGGACAAAAAAATATTACAAATAAATTACCACTGATACTTTAATTCAATTTAACCTAATATTACTTGCCGAGAAAAAAAGACTAGACAAAGGGGGGGGGTATATCTAAATTTTCACATATGTTTTTTTTAATAGTAGGAATATGCACTATTTATTATTGTAATGTTTTCTTATTATTGAGCATATAAGTACTTTATAACTTTCTCTTCTTTCTATTTTGGTATTAGAGCTATGACTTTAAATCAATCCACCTAAGGACCTCCTTTGTTTGCCTCGATTTTCTTTGGTCTAAGCTCATTGATCTATGATCAATGATGAATCCTTCTTTGTTCCTTGCATCATCTTCTCTTATGCCTCTATTGTCAACATCTCTCTTGTGCCTCTATTGTCAATAGCTCGCTTGATATTGTGCTTTCTAATGAACTCACCTTATGGTCATTATTTATCATACATTAGTCGAATGAATCTTATCAACTTGTCAATGCTCAACGCGGCACACCTAGAGCGCCAATTGTAAGGCGCAGTGCATAGGTTGAAGTTGGCGCGCACTATATGCGCCATGTGCGTGCAATGAAGCATGGTGCAAGGTGCATGCAATTTAAATTTTAGGTTAAATAGTTTATATATATATATATGTATGTATGTACATACATACATATGTATGTATGTATATATGTATGTATGTATATCTCAAAACTATTTAACCTAAAATTTAAATTGCATGCACCTTGCACCATGCTTCATTGCACGCACATGGCGCATATAGTGCGCGCCAACTTCAACCTATGCACTGCGCCTTACAATTGGCGCTCTAGGTGTGCCGCATTGAGCATTGACAAGTTGATAAGATTCATTCGACTAATGTATGATAAATAATGACCATAAGGTGAGTTCATTAGAAAGCACAATATCAAGCGAGCTATTGACAATAGAGGCACAAGAGAGATGTTGACAATAGAGGCATAAGAGAAGATGATGCAAGGAACAAAGAAGGATTCATCATTGATCATAGATCAATGAGCTTAGACCAAAGAAAATCGAGGCAAACAAAGGAGGTCCTTAGGTGGATTGATTTAAAGTCATAGCTCTAATACCAAAATAGAAAGAAGAGAAAGTTATAAAGTACTTATATGCTCAATAATAAGAAAACATTACAATAATAAATAGTGCATATTCCTACTATTAAAAAAAACATATGTGAAAATTTAGATATAATAACAAAGAAACTTAGAAAAACATCATAATTCTACTAAGAAAAACTACAAGAGCATCTATCCCAAGAAGCCTATATTCTAGACAAGTAAAACAAGGAATACCTTGCAACATCTTATTACAAAGCTGCTGGATCTCTATTCGTTGATTTTCAATTTCGTCCTACAACACAAAGTGGACAATACCATCAATAGCACAATAATGCAAACATATATAATAAAAAGGAGCAAAGACACATAAACTAAGGATGATGTGGAATACCCTATAAACAAATAACACCTCCGAAAGATCATCTAGACCAGCTTCCAATGCCAAAAGTGATTGTTCCTGAGAGATGGTACAGAGATCCTTGAATCCACCTTCACATTCTATAGAAGATAACAGGGCATCAAGTTCCTTGGTCATATCTTTTACCTGAAAGAAAGAGGAAAGAAATTTTGTATAAGTAAATGTTAAACATAGCTACAAAGCTCAATTTTACTTGTTCTAAATAAAAAAAAGGTGGTTTGTATGATTTAAAACCCTCAATCAAAACATATAGAGTATTAGTTTCCATATAATATCAAAAAAAAGGGCTGGTCACAACAATGGAACATGAGAAGAAAACCATGCTAAAGAGGATCAATTTAGCTCATTATCATAACAGGCAATATTGGATGTTTTCACTCTATTATAAATAGGAATCAAATAGTATTTTATAAATCCAGAGTGTTACACTCCAAGTGAAGTTTCCTATAACTGAACAACAAACTATACTGGTTAGGAGATATTTTGCAGATTCTGCAAGTAGACATCTGTATGATGTTACAACAGAATTCTCAATCATAAGGTATGAATTTGTAGAGCAAAAGTGGTAACTAAAACTTATCAAGAACTATTAAATAAATTAAAAGTGCAAACACTAACAAAATTGGTTAAATATTATTACGAAAAGATTCCCTAATAGATTTACAACCATATTTTATTTATCATTGCTATTATTTCAAGAGCACCTCCATCAGCGTGACTTCAAAGCAGATCACATACATGAAGGACATGATAAAATAATAATAAATGAAACAAATATTCATTAGAAAAAAATTTAAACAATATAAATATCAAATAAATAAAATAAGCTAAAGAGCATCATTGCCGAGGTTCTTACATTGTAAAACTGCTTAGAAAATTGTGGTTCAGATTCCAATCTCTGGCGAGGCTTGGAAGATGTAGAATTACCAAGGAGCTGTTGTCGAGAACCAGGCAACTTTACTGAAGCTGCTACCGATGAGCTCTGGAGGATGGATGCTGACCCTGTGTATCCTGACTTAGTAGAAGAGGCTTGCACGCCACTCTGATTGATTTTCTCTGATGACGCCATTGTACCAAATGGTTTGCTAAAAGGAGCAAAATTGGCTGGAGAATTACTTGGTGGAGAAAATAATACTTTATTTCCTATTCTAGCCGAATTTGATTCACCTGGAGATGTGAATAAATGCTTTGCATCTGCGGCATCAACTGTGAAGGGCATTAGAGTTTGTGACTGAGATAAAGATCCCTCGTTTATAGTTGAACTAAGACTTCTACTGGCCCCAGTTCCTTTTACAGTAGAGGATGAACTTGCATTTGAGCCATCTACTCCAAAAACGTTCTGAGCCATTCGTAACCCAAATGCAGATCCTGCAGTAATAGTTGAACCAGCAAGATGGCCAGACCCAGTTCCTTTAACCATCAATGAGTCGCTTGCAATCACATTGTCAGATGATTTAGTGCCCAAGCCTCCAGAATTAGAAAGCATCTCAGGCTCTTCAATTGCAGGCCTTCTTGAATAACTAGATGTTATCATGCCAGGTCCTTGTGAGCATGGCTCTACACCATCTAATGTTCGCCGACTCCCCAGTTTGCCACCTGATGAAATTACTTACATTCTAAAGAGGAAATAACATAAATGTTGAAAGCTTCTAAAATTTGAGAAAAAGAAAAGAACAACTTCGCAGACGTGGAAATTAGGATAACTAGATCAAATCATTTCACACACCCACTTGCACCTATATCATGTTTACCCGGGATAATTTGCATCTTATCTGAAATTGCAGCATCTAGCCCAGCTCTCAGCCTTGAGGTATTTACCTCCAGCTCACTTTCAGCTGAACTTAAAGTGTGAACTTCCTTATTATTGTCACCATGGGGGGAGACCATCTTCGTCAAATGAGAAGGTTCAGAAACCCTACATTAGACAGTAGGTACCATAGCGACTTAAGGAGACAATTGAGGCCAACAAAAGTTCATTCATTTGTAAGTTCAACATTTATCAAAGTAATAGTTATATCAAAACTGAAAATAGTACATGTGAGTTCATTAATTTACCAAGCAGCATGATTCAAGGTAAGCTTTCCATCACAGGTAAGACACAGGAGAATACATCGCGGTGAAAGTTCTTTGAACTCCATATCACTCTGTATCTTAATTTTCTCATACAATGAACTTTTATCGACAGCAAGGCCTAATATTAAATTGTCATCTCCATCATCTGAAATTGAAAAAACCATTCAGCCAATATTCCACAATTGACACGCCAACAAGCATGAAGGACATGACATGAAAAGAACGCAGCAATAAATAATGCAGTATGCAGACAAAATTATGTATGAATTTAAGGCAAATGTAGATTGAGATACCATTATTTTCTATGCATTTAACAGCCAAAAACTAGCAAAAGACATTTCATGACATGAGGAGGTTTCCACATGCAACAGGCCTGATGCATTCTTCCACTTCGGCCATCCAACTTGAATTTTATTAATAATATTCCCATCTATTTCACCATCACTTTGAAAAATAGATCCGAGATATCTAAAGCGTGCACACTTTTTAATGACTTGATTATCCAATGTCACAACCCCATCACCAGATCTATCACTACTAAAATTACACTCCATGTATTTGGTTTTAGATCTACTCAAACAAAAACCTTTAAACTCTAAGGTAGACCTCCATAATTCAAGCTTTTCATCAACTCCCCTTTCTAATCTTAAAGATAAGAAGAATATCATCAGCAAAAAGCATACACCAAAATACATCCTCTAGCAAATGTCTAGTAAGAACATGCACGACTTAAGCAAAAAGATATGGGCTTAAAACTGGTCCTTGATGTAGTCCAACTAAAATAGAAAAATATTTGATCAAACCACCTTTTGTTTGAACACAAGTAACATCTCATGTTACATATCCTTAAGAATTTGAATATAAGCATTATTATCTCCTTTTTTTCCTAGAACTCTCCAAAGCACTTCATTGAAATTTTATCATATGTTTTCTCCAAATCAACAAATACCATATGTAAATCCTCCTTACTCTTTATATTTCTCCATCAAACCACTCCAAAAATGTATAGCTTCCATAGAAGACCTATCGGGTATGAATCCAAACTGATTTTGAGAAATATTAGTGTAAGTCAAAATCTATGCTCAATTACTCACCTCCATAATTTTCATGTATGACACATTAACTTAATTAATCTATAATTCGCACACCCTTGTGCATCACATTTATTCTTAAAAATAAAAACCTTATACTCTTCGACTCATCTGGCATCTTTTTAGTCTTCAAAATAATATTAAAACTTTAGTAAGTAAGAAATTCCTTGATCTGCTAAGCATTTTCACATTTCTATTGGAATATCATCAGGGTCTACTACTGTTCCACACTTCATTTTCTTTAAAGCATCTCCAACTTCTGTTTTACTAATACGATTAAAACAAAAAAGAAAAAAGATTGATCTTAATATATTGAGTACTTCAAAGTAAAACTATTGGACAAGTAGTAGCAATGAAACAAGCTAAATGAATAGTTTGAGAAATTGAACACTTTCAAAGCATCAAATCCCAAAAATCAATAATGCTGCTGATTATTTAGTCACACTTAAATAAAAATTAAAAAAAAAAAAAAAACTGAACCCAAACAATATACCTTGCAAATCAATCCTGGGTATATATTTGTCACTTCCCAATTCAAAGGACACAACTTCATATCCATTGTCTTTAACTAACCACCTTAGTAATGAAATATGCTGATCAATATTCTTTTTATTAGAAGTGATTGCAACATCCCTGAAAGGAATACATAATTCACTGTAAGAATATATAAGAAATTACACAAATAAAAGTAGCTAAATTGCAACAAAATAACAAAAAATTGCTTCACAACCTTCAGCAATTTAAAAAAAATCAGAAGTACCAAATCAAAAAAAATGAAGAACAAGCACGGCATTTGATTCCTTGGCGTCCAATGAACATGTTCCACAAAATATGGGACCTACGGCTGTGTAATTAATTAAACTCAAGTACAAGTGTACAACTGTACAAGAAAAAGTAATCATCTACGAACTCAGGATGCAGAAACGAAAACAGCAAAAAAAGAAAGAGCAAGTCATTCCTCATTGCCAGCTTGGTATCACAGGAAGGAAGGCAATTCCACTAGGTGACCCGTAACAGTCCAGCGCTGATGAAATCATGAAGATCCACGGACAGCGGTGGAGACAACAGCAAATGAAGGAGAAAGGGTTCTCAGGAAATTGCCAATGAAGAAGATAATGAAGCCTTTCTGCAACATTAAAATAACAATAACATCAAGTCTTTATCCCACTACGTGGGGTCAGTTACATGAATCTTTTTGCTGCATTGTGTCCTGTTAAGAGTCAAATTTTCCTTTAAATCTAAAAAAGAAAGGCTATTTCTAATATATTCTAACCATGTCTTTTAAGGTCTACTTTTATCTTCCTTAACATAAGCCTTTCTGCAACATTGAAAAGAAAAAAAAAAACCAGGCTATGGAGAACAGAATTAAGAAGCTTCAGATTCTATTAAAAGGACGTCAAGGTAAAATTAAAAAAAGAAGAAAATCAGGCTACTATTAAAAATAAGTCAGACTTCGATCCCAAAAAAGGACACAAGGATATGGTGTAAGAACTCTCACACTATAGTAGTCACGGAAGAAAAAGAAATGGCCATAGCAGATAGCGGTAATGCCAATAAACAAGCAGCAAGAAAGAAGGAGAAGAAAGTGACTCTCAAGCTATCATAGATATCGAGCAAGAATGAAGACAAAGAAAACGACTCTTAAGCTAAAATAGATGCTGCAGGAAAGGGATTTTAATGCATTTTATCTAACACAGATTATGTAAAATAAGGGAATGAATAACGAACGCATCCTGAAGGACATACAAATAAAAGTTGCCCATTCACTATAAAAAGGAAATTTTCCTAAACAAAAGCTAAGGCTTACTTATGCCTAAATGCATGACAGAGGTTTGAATAAGAGCATGGAGCATGGCTCAAGATGGTGAAAGCATCATGGTTATAATTATAACTCACGACACAAATATCTAGGCAACTAAGCCAAAATTGGCTCCATTCAAAAGTCAGCCACTCGAGCGAGAATCAAGGATAATTGAAGATTGATTGCATATTAAGATCACTCTATTTTCTTTTTAGCTTCAATAAAATTGTCCTATTGTGTCTTGCTTTTATTTTGTGTTGATTGTTTTCTTTTCTTTTTTTTGTTGCATGATTAGCAAAGTCACCAATCCATGGGAAGTGTTGTTAAGTACCCCAATTTAATTCCAAATTTATTGGAAATTGGCCACCATAGGATTGGATCTTCATAAGTCTAAACACTAGCAATGATTAATGTTGAATTAAATTATTTTTGCTTGTGTAAAACTTGTGTGAAAATTTTGGTGGTTGCGTTACTCCCTTGGTGAAATTTAGTGGTTGATCATTTTTAACTTCAGTGAATTCATATTGATCCTCTCAACCTCTCCAGTTTCCTCCCTACACTTAACATATTCCCCTCCTATAAGCAAGTCTCGACCACCCTCCCACAACCAACACTCCAACCTCAACTCCTCTCCAAACCTCCCCCTCTTCCTTTTATATCACCCACCCAACCCCAACAACTCCAAAAGGCCTTTAAAACCCCTTTCCCTAAAAATTAAAAATTAAAAATAAGTCAAACCTCCCCTACAAAAGGACAACTATGATGCATGTTCACTGTGACAATTCAACTTAAATATTCGCAACTCAATCACTCATTCAAATAACCTAAAAACAATCATATTAGGAGATGCTTGTGGAGGAGGCTAGCAACGTCAAGCCATGTGCAAAGGAGAAGAGGACAGGAGCAGCTCGCAAGGAGAAGAATTTGACTTCCTTGAGAGCAAAACGGGGAGGTAGATGGATGGCTGCGTGCAATAAAACCAAAAAAGAGGAGATTAGTGAACTCCTAGGAAAAAAAATTTATTCTTATTGATGTGCCCGAGTTAATGTTTTTAAACCTCTCCAAGAATTTTAGATGACAAATTTTTGGGAAAGAAATTTTGATGGGAAAGAAATTTTGACGATAAATGTTCAATAATGATAATGAATTTTTACTATTTATCTTTTAACTTACAAGATGCGCTATGGGCATTTTTTGTTAAAGGATTGAGCAAGTGCATTTAATGATAGGGGAAAACTTACTAAAGTCAAGGCGTGCAACTACCCACTTTGACATTGGGGTATTTCCACTTCTAATTAATTCACCGACATCTAAAACTTAAATTATGGAGTTCCCTACCCCTCCACTCCAAATTAAGCCTACTCTTACACAGCAAGAAATTTTCTAACTCCAAATACATAAAAAAAAAACCTGGTCACCCTTCTACCTTCTTCCATAGAAGATCATTTTACCACCATCCAAAAAGGTCATCATCGAGTTGTGAGCTTCACCATAAAAATTATCTTAACCCAACATCACATTTTTTTAATAAGAGGTGCCAATAAATGACCTGACCCGACAACCCAAACCAAAAAACCAGAGTTTGGATAGACCAATTTAATAAATGGGTTGGACTCAGATCTAGAATTTTGCCCGTTTAATAAACCTGTCGGTTTCGGTTTGACCTGCAAACCTACTTTTGACTTGAAAGTGACCCATTTAATATTTTTTTCTTCAAATTATTTTGCTTGTTGATATGGACATCTTATTTTTATCAATTACCCTTATATATATATATATATATATATATAACCATGACAGGTTATTTAGTCTAGTTCTGGTCATTCAGGTTGCTAGCGGGTTAGGCTCGATTCATCTTTTTTACCCTCTTATTAAACAAGTCAGTTCAAGTTGATTGAATTCGAGTCGGGTTAATTTCAACTTGGACTCAACCCCAACTTATTAACCAATTTTGACACCCCTATTTTTTACCTAATTTAGAAAACTAAAGTAGACCCAAAGCTCTAGTAAATATCCATTATAGTTCTGAGCTGAAATATGAGGAGCAACAATCTTTGATGGCACTGCATCCCAAATGATAAGTAACATCAGCATGTTTGGTTATTTCATCAAAACATGATTACGAGCCATATATATGGCATCATGATTCTTACAGTCTAACATTATGGTTTTGTTATTAAAAAACCAATTTAATCCATGAATAACGTCACCCAAATCATTTTACATGTATAGTATGCCAAGGCTTTATATTCTATATCAATACTTGATATGGTCATCAATATTTGCTTCTTACTCTTCCATACGACAAAAATATCTCCAACAAATATGTAATATCTAGATGTAGACTTTCTATCATCAAATGAACCAATGTAATCAACATCAAGATAGGCTTTGGTTTTGAGGTGTCCATTCAAAATGTAGTAGTCCTATCTCCACGGATTTCTTGATGTAAACCTTAGGATACACATAAAAGGGTTCAAATATTTCTATTATGGAGTTTGCATGAGCTGATTATTGATTTCTATAACAAATAAGATATAGGTTTATTAGCAATAAGAAGGTTAACTTACCAGCCAACATGTGACAAAAAGAAACGTCCTCAAAAATGTTTCTTCATTACAAGCATTCTCTGTGTCAATGAGAATGTAAGCAGATTTACAACTTAAAAGATCAATCTCTTCTAAGAGATCAATTTCATAACTTCTTTGAGATATGAAAACTACTACTTTCTAGTAGGCAAAATTAATTCTTAGAAGTATTTGAACGGTGAATTTAGTCAAAACATTTTCATAAATGGTGTTTTACATCAATAAGTTATTCTTGATCACTCTCAGTAAGTAATATCATCTAAATAGGTTGTCAAGATAACGTCTAACTAAAGTAAAGTGATAAATTGTGCTGCTGCAAAAGCTAAGTTTGGCAAGAATTTGCAAAAAAGTTATTTAAAAACTCCTAAAGCTTCGTTTCAGCCCGTAGATGGCCTCATTACACTTGCAAAGTCTAGTCTTGCCCTGTGCAACATATCTTAGTGGATGACACATTGTAAGGAAATCATGATATTTTGCTAAACAATAAATGGAAAGCAAATTAACAAAAAGACTTGGAATGGACAACAAATCTGGGAAAGATAAGCATTTTGAGAGATAAAGATACAACCTTTTCCAAACATAGGAGACAAATAACAATCAATAATAATGAGGGATAGAGAAGAAAGATCAAGGAGAAAACAAGTGATTACTTATCATATGTGAAGAAAAGTCATAATCTAAAATTCAAGTAAATCAGAAGAACAGTGAAAGGAGAAAAGGGTATGATAGGCAAATTATGCGTTCATAATCCTCATAAGAAAAATCTACCCCATAAGAGGTAATTAATGCAGAAGCAAAATCACGAATCACAAATGATCCAAAAGCATGTTATGTCAAAGATGGATAACCGAAATTCGTACAATAATGCTAATGAAGAGTGAGTAAACCTTATAATGGATTAGTCATCAAAATAATAACAATTGGAGGAGTTTGTCGTTCAAATCAAGCTCTTGAGCATAAAAGCAAATACCTTGTATATCATGATTGGCATATTCATCACTAGTAATAACTTCAGAGGATCTATGACATAAAAATGAACACACACACACACATATATATATATATATATATATATATATATATATATATATAAAGAACTAAAAAGTAAAGCAATAACCAGCCATTTCATGTTTAACGCTTCCATATATTCATCTTCTGCAACAATTAACTAAGGCTGACAAATTTAAATTTAAATAAAGCTCATAAAGAGCCAATGTCATATCATGCATATCCATATTATCACACTCAAAATCTTATGCACGTGCCTCATGATAGGGAGATTAGTCTAATTGTAATGAAACCATTACATTATAGTTATAATCTAAACTAAAAAATATGCTATGATCTAAACTCAGAAGTTCCTAAATGGTTAAGGTATGAATCATTGGCCGTCAAGCACACCTTATAAGATAGAAACCCTCTGCTAGTTAAAATCAATAGAAAATAATCAACTTTGATAAGCCCCCACTTGGCCTAAGGTTTTATATAACATATATAACATCATCACCACCAAACTTGTTTGGTTTACCCAATCTAATATCATGTATGCCGGGTTATGCCAACCATGACCCCATATATTTCAAGTTCTCTACTAACTTAGCTTAGGTATCATATACACCAAGTCAGGTTAGTTAGAAACCCATCACCATCTATTTGTTTTGCTTCATTGATCCAGATATTATGTGCACCTAGCCAAGCAATATGCATGTGCATATATAACAACAACAAAAAAAACTAAAAATTTAAGAAATAACAATCATTTTGAGCTCAAATCAGCCCTAAATTCATCTTCTGCATAAATTTACCAAAGATAAATACAAGACTTTTGGTAAGTTCAAAACAAAACAAAAAACCAAAGATGGTGAAATTAAGCTTGAATAAAACTCACAATGAGCCAATGTCATATCATTTTTAATTTTTATCCATACTATAATCATAGTCAAAATCGCATACCAATAAAAACATGGCATGTGTTTCCTAACAGGCTGGTTATTATGAATGGACAACACCGCTATATTACAGTTATGATCTAAACCCAGATGTTCCTCACTGGCTGAAGTATGAGCATTAGCAATAAGCCACACCAAATAGGTTAAAAGCCTCATGCTAGTCAAAAAGAGATGAAAATCAACCCCTTCGATGAGCCTCCCCACCCCACGTGAACGTTTACAAGATCTTTTTGGATGGCGTAGTCCATGATTGCTGGCAATGACCCTATAGTCAAGTTGGATTGACTACCTTAACTGACTAAATTATATATATATATATATATATATATATATAAAGCCTATAGTGATGGATAATATTGTCAAACCTCCAAAAAAAAAACACCCAAAACATAGCATAAGAGAAAAGATAATCAGTAAAAGAAGAAAATAACCTGAGCTAAGGGATGACAAAATTTTATCAAATATCTCAAAAAGTTTTCAAACAAAAACTAGCACGAGAAGAATAAAGCTAAACCTAAGTGCATTAAGTTAGTATAAAGGGATAAGTAGGAGAAACAAGGCTTGCCTTGTTGCGAGTTGCCAATGAAAACTACAAAAATGCTACCCAAATGGATTATTATAAATCCCAATACAAAGGTAGTTCATAAAATTCAAATAAATAGAAAGCTAAAGCAGATGATTTAACCACACACTTAAGAAATAATAGAGAACAAAAGAATAATGAATTTATTAACTGTCATACCAACAATCCAAGTAGTCCGCAAGCAAATATGGCCCCATTCCAGTTGGAAGCATATCAACAGAAAGCCCCTCAAACAAATCAGGAAAAGAGAAGACAACTGGCTTGCAGGAAACCTACAAAGCAAACAAGTAGGCTTCAATAGACAAATAGAATACTCAAAGAAGGCTACTGCTCCGTTGTACAATTCAGAACCATCAAGCATAAAAAAAAACACTATAAAAATGCCTAATAGGCATGATGTGCTAACTTCAACATGCCTATCTAATAACAAAAGGAATAAGAGCCCAAGAATTCAACGCAAGCCAAATAATGGAACCTATGATCAATGGAGGGACTTTCTACATCCAATGACTAAAAATAAAAACAGTATATATTATTTTAAAAAAATACACACAACAACAGCCACCTGCTGAGATGTTGTATATACAAGTTTTCATGGACCGTAAAGCAGCAATTTGCAGAGAAGGGCAACATATAAAGGGATCACTCTAATTACGACAATTCTAATCTCCATAGAAATTACAATGTGTTTTTAAAATTTAGAAATCACAGGTTTCCAAATATATATATAGGAGCCTTTTTTCCTTGTTCAGAAATATTAAAATCTCAGCCGTCCCGTGACTCTTGATCCCACGACCAGGATGAAAATCCGTGGGAGGCTCACCTGAATCATGTCGATCTTTGTTAAATCCCAACAGTCCCTTGTGTTAAAATCTTAGCCATCCCTTGACTCTTGATTCCACAGCCATGATGGGAATCCGTGGGATACTCACCTGAATCACGTCGAGCTCCTTCCATATTTGGGTGGTTGATTTATGAATGATTATATTAAGGCAATTATGCATCATTCTATAATTATTTGTTTCTTTATTAAGATATCATATATCTATACTATCTATATTACTATATAAAAGTGACTTGGGATTCCACTCATAGCAAATCCGGACCGTTCATTTATAAATTTTAAATTAATCTACAACGTTCATTTATGACTCTATAAATTCTTTTATTTTTCACTTTTTTTTAACATTTATTCTTTCATTTATTTACTGTGTTCTTTTTCTCTTCAGGCGTTTCTTAATTTATCCGTTTTCTTGACTAATATTGCCTCTTGGTAAACCTAAGCCCTCCGTCGAAATTATTTCCTTAACTAATGTTTATCCATTTCATTTAATTATAATCTGGTTGTCGCTTCTTCCTTCACTCTGCCAAAGTTGAAGAGGCTCATGAATTGAGCCATCGGTTGCTACTCTGTTTCCTCTGCCGAAGTCAAAGAGTCACCTGAAGTTGAACGATAAATTTCTTCTCTATATCGGTGTTTCCTCCGCTAAAGTGGAAGAGATTCATGAAGTTGAACCGTCAGTTGCTTCTCCATTTCCTCTATTGAAGCTGAAGACTCTCCTGAAGTTGAGCCTTTAGCTTCTTTTTCGTTTCCTCTGCCATAGTGGAAGAGTCTGTGAAGTTGAACCATCAGTAATTACATCTTTCGTCATTCTCTTAAGAACAATTATCATCCTCCATTATATATAGATCCTATTTGCTGGCAAAACAATGCCTCCTAGCTCTTTGCCTCTTCACCAACATGAAATACCATTGGTGGCCTCAAAGCTCTATGTCAGAAGCCTCGCCGCCAACTTCTTGGTAATCATAAATTGCAGTTTCTTTCTTCTATGGTTTCGACGACAAAGATATGTGACTCTAAGAAGCGCAGCCAAAAAATTGAAATAAATACACCCTTGTTAATTATAAGGGAATGAATGCTCTCAAAGATTGGTTTCAACGGAAAAGATTTAAAAACAAGTGGCAGGCTCTGCATTTTTTATTATCTGAAATTGGTTTCAATGGCAAAAATTCAAGTGGTAGCTTATGTATATTTTTTTTTATTTAGATAATTTTAGTTATATTTATTTAATTCAATATTTTCTAAATTTTTTGATGCAATAGAGATACTAGATTATACACGATCACATCAAGTTAATTAGTTTCATTTTTGTTGTATGATTTTATTGGTGTAAAAGGATTGATAACAAGCAAAAAGATTTCATTTTTTTAATAAAAATAAATATTTGAGAAGTTAACCATCATATATTTTTGTTATATATCTGAATGTTATAATTTGTTTTTGTTATATTTTTCTAAATGCTTGAATTTCAATTTTTAATATGCAGATTATATGTGGTCTAGCTCCTTGTGAGGCTAATTATATGCTTTATGAAGACAGATAATCATAAGTGGCCATCATAAGTGATGTTTGCAAGTTGAATAAAACTGTTTGAATACAACAGTAAATTTAAACTTGTAATTCAAATATGCTTATCAATTATAATAAAGATCATGTTATTCAGGAACAATGTCATAAAAAGTTGTAATTTTTTGTTGAGAGGATCAATCTCATCATTTGAATTTGTAAATTTTATGTGTTTTAATATTTTGTGATTTTCATTTACTAAATCAAACTTCATCAATCTATATATTATTTTTTTACATAAATGATAAATTATAAAATATATATTATAAAATATTTACAGTTTTTTTAATATTATGATGCATTTCTTTTAATATAAATTATAAAATACTATCAATTAAAACTTGGAACTAAGATTTTATAAAAAAAGTATGGAATATTATTTTCTTTTAGAATGATATTTTTTAAATAAATTTTAAACATAAGCTTTAATATTGAACATAAAGTTTATAAAGTTTTTTCTCAATAGTTACAAGAATTTAAATGGATATTTGACTAATATATGCATTTAAATTAGTTTTTTTATATTATGATTCATTTCTTTTAACATAAGTTATTTTCAATCTCTTTATTATTGTTTAAATCTTCAGAAAATAATATCGCTTCGAATCTCCACCCCAATTGGCTGAAAGTTAAATACAAGCCGCTTCAAATCTCTACCACATTTGACTGTAAGTTAAAGTCAAATAATTTTAAACAGCATTTTCATTTTTTTTATTTTGCTTATTTATTTATTATAAGAGAGTTTTTGTTTGGCTGGTTAAAAAATGAAAGCAATGTAAAGGAAATACTTTGGAATTGTTTGGATATGTGTAAAGTAAATTCAGGTTAATGATTTTTTTTATTTTCATGATTATTTTAAAATGATTTCTTATAAAATTATTGTTATTTAAAATGTCTACTTGAAAACTTCTTGATATATAACAATTTATTTTGATAGATTCTAAGTAGCTTGTAACTTTATTTATGATCATAGATGTGCATAAAAATATCAATATATGCTCTTGATTGTTGTACTAATAATTTATTTATTAACTATATTGCATTTGCAAAGGACCTATTAGGGATGAGTTTTTCTTTTGGTAAAATAATACTTATTTGATGTGTTTTTTAACTATTTTGAACTTTTTATTTATTTTAAAATAAATAAATTATTTTAAAAAAATACTCAAAATAATTTTAAAATATTTTGAGTGATTTTAAAAATTACTATAATAATTGAATGTCATTGGCCCATACTACAACCATCAACACCATTGATTTTTTACCCCGTAAGTGACCATCATTTTATCTTGCAAATAAATTATTACTAAATAAAATTCTATAGATTGCATGAATAAATAGGTCTATATTAAGATATCATATATAGATCTATAAATAGGGATAGTTTTGTCTAATAAAAAGAAGCTTTTTCTCTCCAATTCTATAAATTTAACATGGTATCAGAGCTAGATTCCCACCATAGACCTTCATTTGTCAGAATTATGAGGAACACAAGTTCCCACTACTGGCCTTAATTGCCGAAATCCTAGGAATATTGGTCCTTCCACTAGCCTTCATTGCAGAAATTTTGAGGAATACAAGTTCCCACTACTAGCCTTCATTGCCATAATTCTGAGAAATACTGGTTGTCCTTCTACTGCCCTTCATTGTCGGAATTATGAGGAATATAGGTTCTCACAACCGGCCTCATTGTCGGAAATCTGAGGAATATTGTTCCTTCCATCCGGTTTCATTGCCGGAATTCTGAGGAATATAAATTCCCACCACCATCCTTCATTGTTGGAATTCTAAAGAGAACAGGTTCCCACCATCGATCTTCATTGCCAAAATTCTGAGGATATAAGTTCCCACCACCAGCCTTCATTGCTGGAATTCTGAGGAATACATATTCCCACCACCAGCTTTCATTGCCAGAATTCTGAGGAATACTGATCCTTCCACCTACTTTTATTATCGGAATTCTAAAAAATATTGGTCCTTCTGCTTCTTTTGTGCATCGAAGACCGAGGAGAAATCGAGCGAGATGGCTCCTCTTGCGTGTGATGTCCAGAGTCGAGTGAGACCTCATCATGCATGTGTCTAGAAAGAGCTGAGAGTTCCATCTCATGTGGGGGCAGGGACAAACAAGAGTGCAAGACCTGCACTCTCTCCTACGATCAGACCAGAGGGATCAAAGGCCTTGCGTACACTTGTACTAGCTGATTGAACAGGAGTCTATTCAGGTGGAATCGGACGACCTGGGAAGGAGGAGATTTGCATGTCGAGTGCTGGGGCGCTTGAGAAGTGTGTTTCTAATTTTGTTCTTGAATCTTGTCGCAACCCTAAAAATAATTATTAATTTTTAATTGTCATGCCTTTATTGCTGGTCTTCCCTTGAGAACCGAGAGGGAGACGAACCCGAAGGATAATTAATCCACTTTCCCTGATGTCCCACCATCGGCCTTTCTTACTGTGGGAGGCTCACCTGGATCACACCGATCTCCATCTATATTTGGGTGGTTGATTTATGAAGAATTATATTAAGACAACTATGCATGATTTTGTAGTTATTTGTTTCTTTATTAAGACATCTTGTATAAATCAATAAATACGGATAATTTTGTATAATAAAATTAAGCATTTTCCCTCTCCAATTTTCTGAATTCTTCATATATGGGTGGCTGATTTAGGAAGGATTATATTAAGGCAATTATGCATGATTTTGTAATTATTTGTTTCTTTATTAAGATATCCTATATAGATCCATAAATAGGGATAGTTTTGTCTTTTATCTAATAAAAAGAAGCTTTTTCCCTCTCCAATTCTCTAAATTTAACAAGAAATAAGACTAAGGGTATGGCAGCCTTTTTGCCTTTTTCAGAAAGAAGAAAACTAAGGGTCCTTAATGTCAACTAAATACCAAATCAAAGTTTTCATTTCTTCCAAAAAACATATATTAATCGGGGGTTTTAAGGACATTTCATTTGAAGAGTGTAATAAACAGAATCATAAAGTGTATAACATATCGATCCAAAATTTTAATTTCAATTTGAAGAAGATGCATAAAGATAGGGCTTCAAATTCTTTGAGATATCGAAGCATTTCAAATTTAAAAAAAAAAAAGAGAATGGACAGGAAAAGCATTTCATAAATCTAGTTATCAGCAAAGGAATCACAATTACAATTCATATAATGAATTGCTGGAAAGCTTAATGCAACAGTCTTCTAAAAATCAAATTGATATTAAAGGATCAATTTGATTTTAATCAAGAAAGATTTATAATAGAGGCTACTTTTTTTTCAAAAGTAACTATGGAAAATAACAAATCAATAAATGAACCTTCAGATGAAGTTTATTGATCTTGAAAAGATATATGATCAAGACCATCGTGCCATTAAATCTCTCTTAAGAGAAACAATGCTAACAATCCACACGGATGAGCATCTTCATATGAGTATCATAAGAATTGCTTTGTCAGCCATTAAGGAAAAACATGCATATTTGTGAAACGCCCACTAATTTTCCTCCAACCAATCTACTCGATAATTCCACCTTCAGTAGTCCGACACATAACTTTACCCAACTAGGTGCCTACCCCAGTTGGCCACCAACCACTCCTAAAAAGTTTAGCATTCCTCCTCGTTTTACTCCTTTCTTTTATTGCTGCCAACTTATGGATACATGGGATCCCTGTGCCCAATTCATTAATCTATAGAATATTATGATTATCTTATAGCTTTTTTATTCTCTGATTTTGTATATTCTTATTAGAAGCTCTCCAAGAATTATATAAATTCTACAAAAATGAGTGAATGAAATACTAAATCACTCGAATTCTTGTCAGCATCAAATCCATGTTGAAGTTATAAAAGATACATAAGAAATAATAATAACTGATATTAAAAGTAGAAATGCAATGTCCAAAGAATTTCAAACAATGGTATTATATCAAATATCATAATTAAGTTTTTATATTATTATAATGGTTAGAACACTTAACAAAACATAATGAAAGTGATGATATAGCGTTATTTGGTTAGTTATTTTTATTAAATTGGTAAACGAAGTCTTAAAAGTTATGAAACTTGGTATTTATAACGCAAATATTGAATATATTGCGATTTTAGGGAATGTAAAATTCCTGACTATTGTCAATATTGCTAGAAGATTAAGTCATAACTATATTTGATAAGCTTAAGTATTTTAATTATATGTGATAAGCTTAAGTATTTTGGATAAAAAAGATAGGAATATAAACTACTACATAATCACTTTTAGTTAAAGCAAGTTGAATCAAAATAAGTGCCTCAAAAGAACAAATAATAAGATAATATTAATGAAACTCAAAAGAAACCTTTTATAAAATTGCAATTAAGGCTTAGTTTGGGACAGCTTTTTTACTTCTTTCTAAAACAACTTTCTAATATAAAAATTTTTAATTCAAGAAATTTTTGTACAATAAAGCTACTTTAGAAAGCAGTAAAAAAGCTGTCCCAAATGAAACCTAAGTTGATTATACCAAATGAATTAGAGTTGTGTAACAAAGAAGTTGTTGATAAGAGATACCCAAGTTGAGCATTGGAAAAATGAGAACGGCAAGATATGATGCTAAGATGGTTGTGCAGGACAGCTAGGAAAGGTGAATTATGAAATAACTACATTTGAGGAATAATGGGAGAGGCAACTATGAGTCTATGAGAAATAATATATTGAAAATTTGCTTAAGAAATTTGAGTATTTACAATGTAGAATAAAATGTACATCAATAGAGTGGGCAATTAGATATACAAAATGTAGAAAGATTTGCAAGGAAAAGAGTCAAAACAAAAGGCAACATGATTAGAAGCTGTGTAAAAAGGTTCATGAAAATAATATAACACATAAAAGGAATAAGTTGCAGGATTCACTTAGCAAGCAGCATATGGTTGGGACAATGTTAATGATGATGAGCAGGCCAAAGTGTTATATATATAGAGAACAACGGGGGTTTTTAACTGGAAAAATTCAAAAGATTTTCTTTCCTAATTCAATCTGATATAGCCATATGACATGAGTGTTAAGTGTTTTCAAACCCTAAACAGCATTAGGACTGTACATGAAATTTAAAGTCACGCTCCAAGGGTTTGAATACCAACATGAGTACCACTAATCAGTTACAGAAGCAAACAGCAAGCTCGCTAGTTTCAAGGGCACAAAGATACTTTAGAATTACGATACACGTCATTTAATGGTACCAAGTTGCAAGATAATGATGTATGTAACAGCTACAAACTAGTGTCAAAAAAGCTAACCTCTGTAAATTGGTGTTCCCCGCTTACAATTACTTGAACTAGATATCCTTCCTCATCACCATCTTCCATCAATTGTGTACACCCAATGACAATACTATCATGGCGAACCCACCTGATTGAATCCACTAGAAAATACATCCAGTGGGAAAATAAATGATTGGAAACAAAATATCTATTTTGAAGAATGGTTAAGTTCTTTTTGATTAAAATACAAGCCAAAACAGATTAAAAAGAGGCCAAAGCTTCCAAAAGCATTTAGAATAATGCACAAAAAGTGGAGGAATGTCTGACTTTATTCCTAGAGACTAAAGAGACTTAAAGTAATACGAGAAAGATTCCATCAGCTTTACGGTTGACTAATACAAGTGATAATAAGCATTTGGCCGGAGCAAGCATCATTTCATTTAAATATTAATCAGCAGTCTTGGGAAAATCCCCCAAAATTTGACCTTTCTAGTCTAAAGTTGGTTTGATATAAGCTTGACAAGAGGGAAGAAGCAATCATAATTATCATGTAACATTTAGTGCCATGCGCGTATGGTTCAACAAAAAAAAAAATCTCTTAAATTATCTAAGTTGAGCTAGGGTAAATCAATGGCTTATTTGACTATAGATAATCCTAGTATTTAATTACTTGGTAAAATCAGCAGCCCCTTTTTAATCATTTGTAGGAAAAAGATCACTGATGATTATTCACACTCTCCTTCAAAATAACAAATGTGTTCTTTGACATCTAAAGATGTGTGCATCCATCAATCAAGTATATTTGTTCGCATTAAGGACTTCTTGGATCCTACGACTTGGAAGACCTTAAAGGTAGACTTCGGGATTACAACCTGCCCAAGTAACAAACAAACAAAGTTCAAGACAACTATAGTATCAGTACAGCTTTATGAACTCGTGTTCCTCTTTTCCTTTGTTTATGCTGTAATGTCAGGATATTTATCCATTTGTTATGAGATATATTCACAGGGAATAAGAACAAAATCAATTGTCTCATATGAACAAATTTGATATGTTTTCATTGAATATATATAGTAAAAGTTCGTATATTATGCAGTAAAGTGACATGCACTTATATATATGAATACATGATTTTGTCTAGAATAAAAGAAAACCAAAATAAGTCGTGGGCATTTACAGCTTCAAAAAATTATTTCATTGCTTCCTCAAGCAAACAACTTGAAAGTTTCCACATGAATATGCAGTTATTTTAATCAACTTCATGCAACCATTTCCAGCATGCTTAATAGTTAATTTCCGGGGAAACATGAAAATGATAAGCCATTGTAATTCAGGATTAAGCCATGAATGTTCATGTCAATATCCAAATAAATATTTTTACCATGCAGTTTCAACAAATTCAAAAGTTTTACAACAAAATGACCAGAAAAACTAAATTTCAAAGGCAGCAACGAATGTTGTGAAACTATCTTGATGACAAAAAATATCCCATGCCAATTCAAGATTAAGAAATTCAATCATTTTTCCTGAAAAATAAGCATCAAACTTAGCAAATTAAAAGTCAACAATTCAAAGATGCATATCTTCCAAATAATTCAACCTAAGTACACTATCAAGACTATGAGCATAACCAATTATCATGCTGATTGTATAATGGTGAAAGCTTTATACCCCCCACACCCCACCCCACCCCCTTGACCAAGACAAAAAGTAAATAATTCACTGTACACAAAGATTAAGAACTTTTGATAAAATCTATGAATAAAAGTGCTCGGCATCTGAATGCAATATGGATCCTCAACGGCCATGGTACTAGGCGGTAGCGTAGGTGAAATGAGATGCTAAAAGAGGCATAAATACAACCATTCTTAAAGTGGTAATCATCAGACTAAAGTAGGATGGAAAAAACTATGAACCTCTAAACTCCTTTCATATTCCAATTTCAAATTCCTAGTAAATGGATTACCTTAAATAAGCCTAGTAAATTGTTTAAATTTGTAATATGTAGAGCCAAAGGATAATCTAATCTCGTCTACTATATGTTTCACCTTTATTATAAGTCCTATTCTATTTTTCATTAAACTCTAGCACTTCCTCTATCAATGATTATACGCCTTCTCCATCCTCAAGATTTACTACTTCAAAACTGTAAGCTCTTGTACCTACAATTTGTTCAACTTATTTTCAAGCACATTCTTATTTCTCTTACTTATAAAGTTTTTTAAGCATTATAATTTGTCATATGATGATCATGAAAAAAATATTTATCTTATTTCCCCAAAACTTTTAAAGCTTTTTAAGCATTATATTCATTTTCTCTTGAAGTATTATCATGCATCACTTCAATGAATGCAAGATGGGCCCTCGTAGCCTAGAGCCTTAAAGCAAGGTATCCGTCTCATCACGCATTAGTAATGATGCAACCTAGGAAATGTGTAACACGTTATGGCCACACCTTGCCTTACCCAAGAACCTAAGCAAGAATTAAGATTGCCTCTAAAATCAATGGATTAAAAAAATGTTATATAGCACTATTTTTCATATGTAGCAATATAAATAAATTTTTCAATGGAATGAATATTTTGAATTTTACATCTCATAAAATTTGTTTGCAAAATTAAATTGACAAGGAACTAGAGAATATAGGACTTATCGCATGCATTATTGAAAATAAGTTAGCATAAAAATACAAATTGTTGGCCCTCACTCATTGGCTTAAGCTTTTGGGTTGAATACGGGTTTAACCATTGATATATCTGACCTAACTTGAACCCCCCCTTTAGTTTACACCACTTAAAAAGTGATATTAGAAGCAATGGTTTGACTAGGTACAAATGGTTTATGTGGTTGATGGCTATCATATATTTTGGTCGTACTTTCACCATGGTTGGGCCAAGTTCAATAGTCTATGACTCCCACAATGGGTCCACATCATTGAATAGGCTCTTAGAGCATGATACTAGATGAAGCTTTCATCTGAGGGTCCTCTTACGTGATGGAGAGATTTTTTAAGGCGTGCAAGTATTGAATTTAATAGATATTTAAAAATAGAAGGAAAAAAGGATGAATATGATCCATGGGCTTTTTGTAGGTCATTTTAGTCAAAAACTATTGAATACGCCTAAATATGTACCTTAACTCTTCAAAATTAATCCAAATTAGTCCCATCATTATAATTATAATGTAAAAGGAGGGGCAAGTACAAGGTATAGTTGTCTTTAACATTTTTTAATAGCTTCTTTTTTTTTTCTTATCATAATCCCTAATTTCATTTCTTAATCAAGCTCCGCTGCCAAACAAAAAGGTTCATAGGAGAAGGAAGATAGGAGATTGTAAATGAACTATGCTGGAAGATGGGAGATTGTAGATGAGCTATGCAGGAAGAAAGAATACTAGAGATCATGATGATCGTTAGATGGAGAATGAAAATCATAATGAGTGGTGCATTGAGAACAAGATTCTTGAGGAAAAGAATTGTGAAGAAGACATGATTATAATGATAGATTTTTGTTCGGGAAAAAATAACATTCTCACATCTTCCTCCATCTACATCGCTAAAGGAATAATGTCTGTCTTCATCACCCTCCATAGGAATCGTACGCGGGCGAGATAAACTTTTCAATTAATTTGGATCAATTTCAAAAAATTAAGGAACTAGTTGGGCACCATCAAAAGTCTAGGACTAAAAGTTCATAAATTATTTTGGGTTTTTGTTTTTATTGTTAAAAATATGTTGGCGTTGGAATAGCAATTAGTTGGTCATTGCCCATAAGCTTAAGCTTTTGTGATGAATATAACTTTAATCACTAATTTATTTGACCCAACTCTACTCTACTTTGGTTCGAACTCCCTAATATAAATAAAAGTAAATTGGTAACTATAGAAAAATAAAACAACTTGAACTAGAAGCCATACTTTCAATTATTTGTCAACAGTCTAAAAATAAAATAAATGAAAATGCATGTAAAAAAAAAATCTACAAAATCTACCTTTTATTTCTGATCCAGAATCAACAGCCCATGACTGAAACAAAAGTGGAATGCCAAGTATTTCCTCAAAATTGGATGATAAGATGCTAACAGTATCCTTCCTTGCAATAGCAACAAATTTGCCATCCACGCTCCAGTCAGCTACAAGTTTAAAATGTTAAGAATAACAAAACAGCTTAAAATTATCTGGTTCTAGAGAGAAACATAATGATCGCATCTCTTGAAATAATAATAAATAAATAAATCTCGTGCATAGATGGATGCAAGCAAGGCAAACATGAAAAGTCAACCGAAAAACAGATAATATCCATGCTTAATAAGCAAATAGACTAGCTAACAAATACAGAAAAAAATAAAACCACGGGAATAACCAAATTTTTTCAGGTTATGTGCCTTCTTAAGCATGGGTGCATAAAAGAAAGGATAACACTTATAGTCAAATGGAAAAAGTTTCACTCACGTTCTACATACAGACAAACCAGGAGGCAAATTTTACAAAAATTAGAATAAAAAAATAGCCAAGTATTTCCCAAATTCTGTATGGTTACCATTCTTAAAGGTGTAATAAGTAATAAGTACAAAAGAAGTACATAAACTAGTTCGGTAACTATAATATGCACGCTCTAAAGGCATTTTTTAACAAGCATTAATAATTGCTCATGCAAAAAAAATGCATCAAAAATAACCTCGATGCACTTCCTGCAATGTGAAAGAGAATTAGAGAAACAACATGAAACATTTTCAACAATTGCTTTAATTAAGATGGGAGGGTTGCATATTAATATAATCAATAAATAAATCATTAATTCATGATATATGACGTCCTGAAAAAGGAATTGGTACAAACCAGCATCAACATTGTCCATCACGTCCTTGAGCTGAAGATCAGAAGATCCATGGCATAGTAAGCCATGACCTGATAGAACAATGAAGGAGTTTTCAGAATTTCTTCGCCATTTCAAATCTTTAACAATTCCATATTTGCTTAGGTGGCATGAAATTGCTGGCTCTTGCACCTCAAAAATGAAACTTTTTTAAATGAGAAATGATTGGTAACTACGATCATAATAAATCAGACGAAATTAGAGAAAAAAAAGATTAGCTAGTGCAGAGGACATGTTAAGGGCTTAACCAAAGTATCAATAGATGAAAGAGTTGTACCTTGTCGAGGAGAGATAGCACAAAGAACAAGTGAATTTCTCCACCAACAGCCGCTGCAATCATTGAATTATCCCCAGAAAGCGCTAAGATGGAAACCCTGCCAATCTGCACATCCAAAACACTCGATCTTTGCACGCATGTGCCCTTCCCCTTAACGCCTTTCGCTAATTCAATTACATCCTTGGTATTCGCAATCAAAAACCCTGGAAATGAGACAGAATGAGTATTACGAAAGAGAAAAACATGAATGAACAGAGAGATGGTAACGGGCCGCCGAACCTTTGGTATGAGCTAGAAATAGAAGACGGTGGCGTTCGGAGACAGCTATAGGCTGAAACGGTGGGTTGGAGAGATCGAAAGCGGAGTCGGAGTGGGCAGGCATTAGTGGGACGGGCTCACCAATCCTGCAGAAAACGAAGTCCATCGTTCCCTGGCGGTCGCCTTCGACCTCTTCTTTTGGTATAAGGAGACGAGTCGACTTCCCCGCCATAGTTGGCATCGAGTGCAAAGCCTGAGAATGGAAATGGAGTGAGAGAGAGAGAGAGAGGCTTCAGTTTGCGAGCTCAGATCGGGAACACGAGCGCTAATCCATTACAGGTAATCGGAAAGAGGAGGTTGTAAAAGGAGTTGAGCGGGAATGGGTTCCAATGCCCTAGAAGCAAGATCTTATTAGTTTGTCAGTAGTTGATGACACTTAGGCTTCGTTTGATTCAGTTTATGGTTACATAAAAAGGAGTTTTAGAAAAGGAGGTTGAGAAAAAGCCGTTCAATAAAATGGAGTTTCAATAATGAGATATGTTTGAGTAATATTTTTAAAAGTGATTATCTATACTTGAAAGCAAATTTAAATTATTTGTTTAAGAGTTCTGCTTTTGAGATTTTATTATAAAAAGACATAATTGCCCCAGAAATTTATGTACACGTTATATATATATATAGAGATGCGGTTAGATCTATAATTTTGGGATTTACGGAGAGCTGAATGTGATTATTTTGAAAAAGTTCACATATTATTGAAATTTTTATGTGAGCCATGCGCAAGTCGGTAAGTGTGATATTAATTAACAAGCTTAATTATAATTAAGTACCTAATTTTCTCATAAATTTGAATTAATGCGTTAATTAATGTGCCAAAAAATCACTTGTATCGTCTCTAATTGTTCTAATTGTTCGTCAATAATACTAATGTATTTTAATATTCATTAATGTAATGTCGGACATATTCATCATACACAATTTAGAATAGTATTACATTTGCATTCCACAGTGTTTCTTTTTAAATCTACGGAGGGGCCTACACATTGCATAAAAAAATTACAGGCTCTTAAAGAACCAAAAGCTCCCTAAAATATAGCATCTGAAGTAAAACCTACGAGCTAATGGTCATGTCTAGTACAAACAATTAAAACAAATGAATAAATGTCTAATAAAGTTGAGAGAAACTGGAAACGGCAATACAACAGAAAAGCCAGGCACCGACTAGCAGTCCCCCAAATCCGCAAGCTCCATATAATTGCAACCAATGGCAATCTGCACATAACATGAAAAAACAACAACAAAAGAAAAATCAAGTCCCCGCAAACCACTAGCCAACAACACAAAACCAACCCACAACAGAGCAACTCAACAACAAAATCAACACTACAAAGCACCAAGCCCACCAAAACAAAACAACAAGCACAATTTTGAAATCCCAACCAGAACAATCAACCAAGATAGAGGACAACCGTTGTCTATTTTTTAGATTTACGCTTTCTCCTTTTACCAACGCTAGAAAAATCGTCTTGCACAACACGACTAACATTCAGATCATACAAATCTTCTTGTTGATACACCTCCATGTCACTAGTCTCACAAGGAGAAGACGAAGAACCCTCAAGCTAGTCAGTTTGTTCCACAATAATTTCCCCCGAACTAATGCCCAAATTGGGCATTCAAAACATTATAAGAAAGTAAATCAATTGGCACATCAACAAGAAGCTCATTCACATCCTCCCCCAATGAGGAGTCCGAACCATTCAAATCAGCGAAATTCATGGAAGGATCAATAGAAGGATCCAAGCTGCTAGAAACCGCAATCACCGCGGCTGTATTAACATTACAAAATTCTCTATTACCCGCATTCATCAACTCATTACCAAACATAGAAACCGCACCCACAGGATTACCATCAATAATTGCATCTCTAGGAGATTTAACCAAGTCATTACCACCATCATCCTCCCCGCCACATAAAGCAATATCCACTAACTGAACATTCTCAACAACAGCAGGAACTAACGAATCATTTCCAAATGAAGGGAAATCAATGCCAGTGTTAACAACATCTTCAATAGGATATTTCTCACCCATATAAATTAGTATGACATTTCATGTGATAACACCATCATCAAAAGGACCATTCTCACTTGAATGATCGAGAGCAGCATTTTCAACATTTTTATCATCCAAAACCACTTCCAAACCATCAACCACAATAGGAGTAGGATTATTAGCTAATTGAGGATTCAAAATATGACATTCAACTCTAGAATGGCTCAAAACCTTACATTGAGCACAATAAGAAGGAAACTCTTCCATCTCAATATATGACAAGAAAGATTTGGCGTCGAAATCGAAATATTCAAGTTATTGTGCATTCATTTTGGTAGGTGTCTCTTTACTAAGTAGGGGATAAACATATATTTCCTTGTTTGGGGTTTAGCCCTAGCTACTCATTGTATGTGATTAATGTGTATGCTAAAATGTGATAATCCATTCACATCTTGCATGTTACCATATTAACATGATCTGATAGTTAGCGTTGTAATTTTGATTGTTGCATAGTTTTCTAAATAGTTTACATTCTTTATCTTGTTTTCTATGAATAACTATTGTCCATGAAAATCATAAATTTTGTAATACATAAAACTATGCTTAATTATGTTTTAAACTTTATTAAACACTATTATTGGAATATAATATGTATATAATGCAAGCTTGTGCATTTGATGCTTGTAAATGTCGATATTTTAACCCTATTAATATTGGCTAGCTAGGGTTTATGGGCCCCAATAGTGACAACTCTATAGGAAATCACTTGATTTCCTTGGGATTAGTGTTTACCTTTCTTGGAAAGGTATTATGGAAAATTGAAAATAAATGCATATGTATGAATATACATATAAGATAAATGACTAATGTGTCATTGATGGATGCATAGATATCACATCTTTGTAAGTGAATGAGTTTGTATTGGAATAAAATGTTTAATCAAAAAACTTAGTAGAATTGGATTGACAACGCATAATCCAGAAAAAGTAAGAAATTCATAAATTGTTAATCTAAGCTCAAGTTCCTTTAAAAGCTAAAAAAAAATTTTAATTCAATATCCAAATCAAGGAATAAACGGGAAAAAGAAACATTAATTTTTCAAAACTCCTTTCATAAACCATATCTAATATAAGATCAATGCACGAATTGCTGAATCAGGAACCAACATTTTCAAGCACAAGTTTCGAACATATCAAATATTTTCTTAAGTTTTTAGTAGTATAAGAAAAAATAAGCATATTTTTTGTGGGCTCATTTTATGCCCTTTATCACTTGAATGGCTCTTTGAACATCTTTTAATTTTTAATACACTTTGTGTATTTTTTTTTCAATTTGGCGTCATTGCGAATCTTTTGGTTTGACATCATTGGTCCCTTTTTTAATTATTTTCAAAAAATATACTTTCTTTCTTATATTTTCAAAACCAAAGTAAACCCAAATTATTGACAACACGAACAACTTGATTATGAAAATTTTATGATGGATTCAACAATCTTGCAAAAGATTCCTATGCGATAGAAAAAATGTATGGAGAAGAAAAAAAAATCAGTTTCAAAATCCAATATAAAATATGATGAAGATTTTGAATCAAAAGTAAAATAACCTCTTTAAGAAGAGAGAAAGAGAAACAAAATCATGAGTTCTATTCCTCTGACTGTTTTAGAGAAGTCAAACACAACTTACCAAAGATTTCAAGAAAAAATATGAAGTATATTTTTTATTTTTAGAAAAGTGAATGCAAGTGTTGATCAGAGAAAAACTTTCACGAAAACAAAAATTTCAAAGAATAAATAAAACAAAAACACAAAATAAAAATAAAAAACATAAAAACAAAAAACACAACACAAAAACGCGAAAGGCCTTTAACCATTATTTCTCTCCTGGTCCGATGCTTCAGAAACCAGATCTGTCCATGAGATTTTTTGCCTTTCATTATTTTTCTAGTTTAAACTTTGCTTCGCCTTGCCCTTTTCTTTCGTAGGAAGAATTCTTAAATTAGGGCACTGATTTTTCATATGTCTAGGCTTCCTGCATCGAAAGCAAATAACGTTAGAAGAAATATGGACATCCTTACCACTTTTACATTTTTTCCACTTTTGCTTATACTTTGGTGAGCTTTGTGATTTGTTTGACAAGTTATTGCATTCGTCACCAACTAAATAATATTTTTCCGTATCTTCAGTTTTTAGAACAATCATTTCACCTGCATCCAAAAGTCTTTGACCCAAATCTTGCTCGTAGGCAATGAGTGAGCCAATCAAATTATCAATAGAATAATCATTCAAATCTTTTGATTCACAAATAGCAATAATTTTGACATCAAATTTTTCAAGTAAACAACAAAAAATTTTATTGACTTTTTCAAAATTTGAAAACTCTATTCCTAAGGCATGCAATGATGTTACAATTTGAATGAACCTAGTGTACATGTCTAAGATCACGTCTCATAAGGTTTCATGAAAAACAGTTCAAAATCATGCATTAATAAATTCAACTTGGATTGCTTGATTTTACTAGTGCCTTCGTATATGATGTGCAATATATCATAAACTTCCTTACCGGTAGTGCACCTGGATATTAACATAAAAACATCAGAGTTTAAAGCACAGAAAAAATAATTTAAAGACTTTGCATTCAATTGAGCATTGAGTTGTTCTTCACTGTTCCATTGACTAAAAGGAATATCAATTTTAACTCCATTAACAATTAGTGATGGTGATGAATAACCAGTTAAAATCATATGCCACATGCAAAAATCAATCTATTGCAAGAAAATATACATGCGAGTTTTTCAAAAATCAAATGACATATTTTCAAATAAAGGAGGTCTGATGATTGAATAACCTTCCGTAATAGTACGATTAGTCATGAATCTAATTCAAAAAATTTTCAAACTTAAATTTTCGAATCCCGCTCTGATACCACTTGAAAGTTTGTTAGGGATGTTAAGCCCTCATGAACTGGCCCAAGGCTAACAAAGAAAAGATGTGAATTAGATAACTTTAAAATCAAAGATAAAACTCAAACCAAAATCACCACAGAAATCAATGTGCGAAAATTAAATAATGCGAAAGCAAAAATAAGAAAAGAACACACCGGATTTATAGTGGTTCGGTCAAACCTTGACCTACATCCACTCCTTGGAGGCACCATCCAAGTATTGCACTAAAATAAGTGTCTCTTCTTTAGTTCTCATAGCTAGCGGAGAAGCCCTTACAAAATCACTTCCACCTTCCCCGGTGCGGCGGAGTCGCCGGGTCCTTTGACATCAAAGAGAACTTCTTCTTTAGTGAACTTACATCGAGACAAGCCTTGAATCCGATGGTACTAAGGTGCGAGTTCGCCGGAGCAACCGTGTGGATCCCCCACCACAATCCCTTGAGTTCCTCCCCCTCACAGGATCTTCTCCCTCTCAAACTCCACCCTTTCTTCTCTCCCTTTCAAGCTCTCTCTTCAAGTTTATCCTACAAGAATAAAACTACAATGGCTGCCAAAGACACTTACAAAGTGCCTTGTCATAGCTTAAATAGAAGAGCTAAAAACGAGCTCATTAATGCAAGTTGCCGACATTATCGTCTAGGACGATAGGCATATCGTCCTGGCCGATTAGTTCAAATATGAGGAAAATCGGCCTGAATATCGCCCTGAAATGAAGCTGGATGATGTATAATTATCCCGGATGATCTTGCGATCGGCCTGGACGAAATCCCCATTAATTGCTTTCCAAAACTGCCTGAGAAATTTTGAAAAAATTGACCTGGATCGTCCAGGCCGATATACCAGGACGATATCAAAAAATAAGATTTTTCTATGTAGATATGGCGGCAGATTCTTGCTGAATTGAGCCGATCGTCCTGGCCGATACAAAATCGTCCAGGACGATGTGTTTTGCATAAAGACGGCTGCTTTAATGAGGATGCCCTAACTAGGGGTTCTACTTTTGCCAGATCGTCCAGGACGATGTTACCAAAAATAAAAATATTTTAGGGCACAACAGAAAATCTTCCAAGTTACAAATCATCAGATGTCACATCAAATATAACATACTCAAGAAAGAAAAAATATTACAAACTGACACAGACCTAGTCTACCCAATCTTGAGTTGATTCTAGATTGCAGTCTGATCGTGTGGACCTGAAACGTTAGCACATAAGGCAATCGTAGAGAAATAAGGAATGTTTGCTATATTCAAAATCATAAATCATAGATCCGCAACATGGGCCAGCAAGCCCAGGGCGCGGTTCCGCTCCGCCGGCGACGGCCGGCCAACCGGTTCGACTGCCTACACGATTTCGGTTCGAATTTTTTACCCGAAAAGTCCAAATCATACGTTTTTTGGGTCCCTGAGACCGTTTTTCGATGTTCCATACTCAATTTTGGCACTTTTAAAGTTATTTGGGGCTCCTACATCCAAGATCAAATTTCAAATCACATGGAAATTTCTCCAAAGTAAAATTCTCATTTAAATATAATCATGTTCATTATCAATATAAATTTTAAATAATTAAATTTAAAATTAACGATAATTTAGTACATAGCCAAATTTCTAACATATACCGATTTCTTTCTTACTTATCACAACAACAAGACAACTGATACAACATACAACATATAAAGCACAAACTTATCCATCATTTCACTTCATTCAACGAATCAGAACCATATCAAGCTTGATTAATTATTTTGTGCGGACACGAACTCCATCCGGAGACCAAGCAGAATGCACCACATCACCTCTTCACTCGGCACCACGGCTCGGTACTGTTCGGTACTGCGGCTCCGAACCACATATGAGACATATTCTAGTTGGCCTCTGGACGACGTTCTATTTTCGATCTCCGCACAAAATAATTTCTCATCGAGCAGACATTAAAATAGCAATGCCATTGTTATAAGTCATAACGTGAAAAAGAAGCCTGCAAATTTAAAATGGAAGGTAGTTTTATAAGTGACCAAATTCATCTCATGCATATCACAACATCAAACAACTGATACAGCATACAAAGTAAAAACTCCAATCATGTTTTCTTCACCAAACAACTAATTAGAACCAAATCTAGCATTCATTAAAGCAGCAATGTCATCTTTATAAGTCCGGAAATGACAAAGAAGTTTCTCTCTTGGAGGCATGTAATCCTTCAGCACATTCGAGTTAACAGTTTCCTTCATCCATTTGCATAGAACAGGATGCTTTTCTTCATTGATAACATCCACTCCAACCACTTCTTGAGCTATTTCAGTCCAGTAAACAGAGCAGAACACTATAATGTCTACAATTCCTATCTCATCTCCTCCAAAGAATTTTTTACCCTTCAAACCTCCTTCCAAGGTGGTAAGACTCAGCTTGGACTCTGCCAAGGTTTGTTGTTGCTTGTCTCCCTTTGTCCAACATGACATCCCTAGAGTAAGATTACACTGTATAAAGAGAAAGTAGAATGTTAAAGAAACAAGAATGTGATTATCACTCAATGTTTGTAAGTTTGAAGCAAATTTATAGGAGGGTTGTTTGGCTTCAAGTAGGATTTAATAAATTCTATAAATTCAGATTTAGTAAATCTTCTAGATGATCCTAAAGAATCTTGATTTTACAATTTTACAACTATGCATATAGTCCTACAAAATTAATGTCCTATTTGGCATTATTTTTAATTTAACTTTTTATTTTAAAAACATGTTTGTTGATAAATCTCTCTATGATAGTTATGGTAGGTATTTTATTATAGAAAAAATGAAAATGCTAAAAAGATAGATTGTAAGAGTACTATATTGCTCAAATCCATATTTTATTATTTTTAACCGAATTCGAATAGTGTTTAAAAATAACCCAAGTTTTAAAATTTATTAAATCTTTTTTATTGCTTTACTTATTTAGTTAAGGCAGTCATTAATCATAACTAATCATATATTTATTGCTAGTAATTTTCTATTGTTAACTTATAGAGCTTAGTTTTTAAGACTATAATAACTAATTGATTGTATAAAATTCTTATAAATTTTTATATGTTGATCTTCTTTTCTATTTATTATTTTTTAATCTCTATGCTTTTTGCAGCTTTCCTCTATTTCATAACACTTATTACTAGAAAAAAAAAATAGATTTATAAATTTATTTTAAAATGATATTTTTCATTAAATATTATTTATGTTAATTAATTAAATTAAAATATTAAAAAAATATAAGTTACATATTTAGATAATTACTTCCTATTTGCGTCATATTTATACAAATAATATGCATACTAAAAATTTGATATAAGATATAGAATAAAAGATTAAACAAAAAAAAATCATTCTCAATTTTTTTTTTTAAATTACAGTAAAAATATGGATAACCATGCAACTTATAAACCTATAAAATGTTATTTTGAGGCTAATTTTTAATGAATATTAGAATACCAAAAATTGAAAAAAAAAATTCATAAGACAATTTAAAATGTTATATGACTTTCAATCGTCAATAGTTAAGCCATACATTAATACAAGTGCTAGCTCGTTTAAATACATGGCAAAGCATCAAAATCATGCTAAAACAATCCATGACATCTAAATGGTCCTAGAGTTTCAATATGCTTAGGTTACCAAAATAATCATTGTTTTATGAAGTTACTTTTTACTATTTAGGACAGCTTTCTTACTACTTAAAACAGATTGTTAATATAAAAATTAAAAAATATTAACTAAGAAACTAATTTAACAAACAGTAAGAAAACCACCAAGCCTAAATCTCATATAATACTCAAACACAAAGACAAAAAATAATGAATGGAAGAGAACAAAGATCAAACACCTTGTCGTCGAAAAACTTGGCCCAGAAGCGCGCCATGGCTCTCTCATAAGGATCCTTTGGAAGAAGGCGAATCCCAGAATCAGCCCAGGTTTCATCTATGTATTCGAGAATGATGAGCGACTCTGCAATAGGTTGTCCATGATGGAGAAGTACTGGGATCTTCTTATGCACAGGATCGTACTGAAGAAGCTCAGGAGGCTTGGAGAAGAAGACATCCAGATCTGAAAACTCAAAGGAGACGCCTTTAAGCTTGAGGCCGACTTCAACTCGGCGACTCATGGGGCTCAGCCAAGAACCCAATAACTTCACTTCATCGTCCATCTCTATTTACTTTTCGGATCTGTTTGATTTCTCTCTGTTATTGAGGGCTATATAGAGACATTGAAGTCTAGCAAGTGGTAGCAGATTTATTACGATTAGTTGAACATAGATAGCTTGCAGGACTTCTGATTCAGTTGACAAATTAAAAAAATATATATATCATGATGCATGCACCATTGCTGTCAGGACTTTTCTATAAGCGCTTATTGAGTTTTGTGATATATTCAATTCCCTCTGAATTGGATCAAACGAAATGATTAATATAATAATTGGGATATAGATGAAAAAGTCTCCTGTCTTTTAACAAATTTTCAAAAGGATAATTAACTATTTAAATTTTCATTTTTATTTTTTATTAAGAATCTAAATGATATTATAAAATAATTAAAGTTATCCCTGTTTAAATAGTTAAATTATTAAAATTATATTTTTATGATTATTTTGATTATTAAAAAAAACTGCCTTTTTCTTTATAATAATTTAAAATGTATTTTTAGAATTAAAATTTATATTGATTTTGTTCAAGCAAATGAAATCCTCTAAGGGGCTCTTTGGATGGAGTACTTTAGGATTTAAAGTATTCTTGATATATCATAAAAAATTATCTTGATCGGGCACAAATATCGAGGCAAAATCAAGGAGGGAATTTTAAAAATTAAATTCGGGATCACATGTACTCCGATTTTAGCAAGTTTACAGTCAAACTGAACGTCTCATAAATACATACCCAATGACACAAAATTCGACTCAATCCGAGCCCAAATGAGTTCAAATCAAGACCCGAAGTACAGTTGGAAAGTTTGAACCACATTTTGAGTTACAAAACGGGTTCGAAACATGACATGCTTATAGGCGAATCAAGCGGCTCGACGAGGCGAATCCAACTAGACTAATATCTCTTAATTTAAACATCATTAAGACCTTCAAATGTCTGACGAACGGTACAAGATCAAGGGATTCAATATCGGTCGTCCATCCTCCCCATTTACCTATGATCTCTCATTTATTTACTGGCCATGCCACTCTAAAAATTTATAAATAGACCCCTCGTTTCCCTTGAAAGGGAACCCAAGCAAGGAGAAGAGAAGAAGAAGAGAAGGATATGAGGGAGGAAACTCCTCCTCGACCATAGCCAGAATTTTGCCCGACGTCCGAGTGACGTCGGAATTCTGCCCAACGCCCAAGTGACGCCTGAATTCTGCCCGAAGCCCAATTGACACCGAAATTCTACCCAAGTGAAGTTGGAATTCTGCCCAAGTGACACCGGAATTATGTCCGACGCCCAAGTGACGCCAGAATTCTGCCCGACGCCCAAGTGACACCGGAACTTTGCCCGATTTCCAAGTGATGTTGAAATTCTAAGTGACTATGAATTCATCTCGAATACACCACTTGGGCGTTTGATATCCACAACCCGTAAATGGCCAAGTACTGAAACATTGTGAAGTTACTCTTGACTTGTTTAAGAGATCATCAGATCATTCATATTCTTCGAGAGCATATGCACTTTCTAAAATTTCTACATCAACGATAGGAGATGTTTATAAAAGAAAATGTATCGAGGAGATCCACTTTTCAAGTATCCAAGGTCCATGGGTCATACAATCAATCAATGAACCAAGAAAGACGTCTTGGATTGATCCCATCTTATATTTTTAACAACAATTGGTGCTACCTGAAGAGACCATGGTTGCAACACGACTTCGGAGACAAGCAACAAATTTCATCATTATTAGTAACGAGTTGTATAAACGCGCCTTCACTGGACCCTATCTCAAGTGTCTCCCACCTTCAGAAGTTGATTACACACTCTAAGAAGTTCATTTAAGAGTATGTGAAGAACATATGAGAGAAAGAGAATTGGCCTACAAGGTCATAAGACAAGACCGATTATATTGGCCTACAATAAAACATGAAGCAGTTGAGTTTACTCAAAAGTGTAAAAAATGTTAATTGTATTCCAATCCCACCCATATACCTGCTCTGGAGCTTGCATCACTTTAGATCCCTTGACCTTTTGCCCAGTGGGAAATTGATATAATGGGACCCTTCCTTATAGCCATTCGATAACAAAAATTCATTATCATGGATGTAGATTACTTCACCAAATGGGTGGAGGCAGAACCCTTGGCAAAGATTACTTAAGCAAATGCCAAACAGTTCTTATGGAAGAATATAATCTATCATTTTAACATTCATGCAATAGTCATTACTAATAACGGGACACAATTTGTTGGAAAGATCTTTACATCTTTTTGTAAGGGTTTTCACATTCAACTCATCCATACAGCAGTCGCCTATCCTCAAGCAAATGAGCAAACAGAGGTTACAAATCGAACAATTCTGAAAGGACTGAAAATACGTCTAGGGAAGGATGGGGGGGAATGGGTTGAAGAACTTCCAAATGTTCTATGGGCTTATCGGATCACTGCCAGAAATCCTACAGGAGAAACCCCGTATACCATTTGTTTTGGTACAGAAGCAGTTATAGCGGTTGATATTGGAGTCATGAGCAATAGAGTTCAGACTTTTGACTTCAGTAACAACGAGGAGAGACTCATAATTGCTCCTCCACCACCTTCATCTCCTTGACTTTGTCATCGTATTTCTTCTTGTATTCTCTCTGAATATATTTGACCTTTACAAATTCATTGTTCCAGTTATTCAAGGTCTTTGTCATTTCAAGCTTGAAATCAATATGCTGCTATAACTGAAGCAATAAAAAATAAAACTTTGTAAGAGTCATGTCCTTTAAAAAAATACAAAAGGAAAGAAGAAAAAATGAACTCACCAACTCCTCAGCCCGTCGACAGCAAACACATTGATGCTTCAAAACATCTTCTAAAATGTAGGACTTGGATGGAGAGATACGATGATCTTTGCTAGTGACTGCCAAAATTTCTTTCACCTTCTTCTTTTTTGATACCTGCAAATCACCCTCACTCCCTGGTCGTTTGGAATGAATTTTTGAAGGTTAGGGAACTACCTCTGGAACTTTCACAAAGTTTTTTAATATTTGTGCATGCGATCTTCCTGCTTGAGTAGATAGTCCCACCTAGAACAAGTATTATTTGTCTATATATCTGCTCAAATAACACACCTCATAATGTAGGGCGTCAATGTCAAGAAGTTTGAATATCTTTAATAATTTTTTTGCTTAAATATGTAGGGGAACGAATAACTCCTTCAACTTTTTTCATTTTTCTTGAAGATTCCAATCATTTTGCACAAAAAAAGTCGCTAATCCAACATTTTGATGGATCTCGAGTACGAATATACAACCACTAGGATCTCAAAGAGATACGACTTTGCGTATCACTGATAAGACGCCCCATTCGAGAAATTCATTTAGAAGATAACACCACTCCATGATATCTTAAAAGTACGACCAGTCCCATTATGATCAACATGGCCCTGTAAGAAAGTTGAGATAAACTCACACTACATATCATCAAAAATATAAATCAACTCAAGAGATGGTGGAAACCGTTGCCCCGCTCGCAAACTAAATTCATACACTATCACATATCTCGGGGGAGGAGAACAGGAACAATCAAATTTTGTTGGCACCTTCATCACCAGATCATTAGGAAAATGAATTTTTTTTCCTAAAAGCAATGAAAGAATTGTCAGTGATGGTGGAAATAATATCATCAGTCTTTGCCGTCTTGTGTGTCTTTTTTAAACCTTCAGATCGGGCAATAAGGTGATCTTCTTTGGCTGGGAGATTTCTTGTGGATGTGTGATCACCCATTTCAACTTCTATACTAAAGAGGAGCATTAAATTTGAGTAGGAAAAAAACACCTACAAAAGATAATGGAAAACCTCTAGATTAGGAAGAAAAATGGTGGAGAAAAAAGGAAAAAAAAAGAGGAAATTTCCAACTTATGTACAAGAGGATGGGCGCTGAGTTAAGTCGAAAAAGTCACATATTAAAAAACAACGGAATGGCTCAACTGTTAGAAAGCCAAAAGGATAAGAGAAGAAGGTGCAAGTTCCCCCCTGACCCTAGGGGGTATTTATTAGGGCTGCAAGCGAACCAAACGTTCGACAAGCTACTCGTTGTTTGGTTTGATTAAAGCTCGTTTGTGATCGTTTAATTAACTAAACGAACAATATTTTAAATACTTGATTCTTAAATAAACAAACTTGAACACTAATGCATTCAGCTCATTTATGTTCGCGAACAACATCATTTGAAGTTCGTGAACAAGCTCGACATTAAGCTCGATAAAAGCTCAATTCGTGTGATTGCTGTAGGTATCAAATATTACTTAACTTGTTGTTTAAGTAATTGTAGCTTTATATAACTATTTATTTATAAATCATTGCATTTATTAATGCTTCTATTAGGAAAATTCTGTGAATATGAGATTTGCTTATAAATCATTGTCTTTGTTATATAAACCATTACTTTTATTATAAATGTGTTTGTTCATATATATGTTCATGAATATGTTTGTTTGATAGTTTTAAAAAAATCGTTAAATATGTTCGCAAACATGCTCGATGTAATCATTTTTTAAGAAGCTCGATAAAGCTCGTTTGTTAAGTTAATGAACATCTAAAAGTATAGCTCGTTTATAGCTCGTTCATGTTTGTTTGTTTAAAGCTCGATAAGCACTAACCGAACGAACGTGAACTGAACATGAACCGAACATGAACACTCATTAATTTAAATGAACCAAACATGAACACAAACAATAAAGCTCGAACAAAAATGAACCAAACTTGAACAACCTGATATTAAATGAACACAAACATAAATACATACATACTTGACTCAGCTCGGTTCGTTTGCAGCCCTAGTATTTATAGTTTTTTGGGGGAGGAAGGAAGTTTCAAGAATTTTTTAGAATTTTTGGATTTTTTTAATTTTTTTTTAAATTTTTTTGAAATTATTTGAAATTTTTTACAAGTTAAATAATAATATAATCAATTTGGTCGGCAGGCGGTTTCCAAACCGCCTGCAGCCAAATAACGCGCGACACCGCTCGGGCCAGGCGCGGGCTTGAGTGGGCCGTAGGCGGGTCGAGACGGGCCACAAGGGGCCTCAGGCAGGCAGCGGGGGAACTATGGCATGGGCTAAAAGTTCGTTAGGGATGTTAAGCCCTCATGAACTGGCCCAAGGCTAACAAAGAAAAGAGGTGAATTGGATAACTTTAAAACCAAAGATAAAACTCAAACCAAAATTACCACAGAAATCAAGGTGCATAAATTAAATAATACGGAAGCAATAATAAGAAAAGAACACACCAAATTTATAGTGGTTCAGTCAAACCTTGACCTACATCCACTCCTTAGAGGCACCCTCCAAGTATTGCACTAAAATAAGTGTCTCTCCTTTAGCCCCCACAGCTAGGCGGAGAAGCCCTTACAAAATCACTTCCACCTTTCCCGATGCGGTGGAGTCGCCGGGTCCTTTGACACCAAAGAGAACTTCTTCTTTGGTGAACTTACCTCGAGACAAGCCTTGAATCCGATGGTACTAAGGTGCGAGTTCGCCGGAACAACCGTTTGGATCCCCCACCACACTCCATTGAGTTCCTCCCCCTCACAGGATCTTCTCCCTCTCAAACTCCACCCTTTTCTCTCTCCCTTTCAAGCTCTATAAATTATATATATTTACTGTGTAATGTCAGTGCATTAAATTCAAATTTGTTATTCAGCTCAACTTGTTCTATTGGTTGGACTCCATGAAATTAGCAGTAAAGCTCTTAAGAAGTCATTATCTTGACACGCATTAATGGTGGAGTAGTCAACCAATACTTTGCCTTGAGAAGTCATCAATATTCCTTGAAGTGCAGTTTGCTAGGGAAGACTGATGGAGAAATTATTTTGTGCGGATTTTGGACACAGTTTTACATTCAGAGAGAAATTAGGTGCAGCGACGTCAGCAATATCGAGCAGTACCGATTTGCGATACTGAGCGAAGGGGTGACATGACTCATTCTGATTAGTCTGCAGGCAGCGTTCGACATCCGCGCTGAATAATTTTTCGAACTGATGGGCCATATTCGTCAACTGATGCACCCAACCGACTTTTTTTTACGTAATTTGCCCCTCAAAAAATCGGAGACCCTCTTGGCCTCCCATTATTTTCATCTGATTATATTGAACTTTTTTAACACTAACAAAAAAGTCTGTGAAAAGATATTATGTGCAAAATAAATTAATTTTGCACCCTTATATATATTTTTTATTTTTTAAATAAATTTATCATTTGCCTCTCCTGAGAACTAAAGCTGATTCCGCCCCTTAGAACATAATTAACTTCTTGAGGTCAGTTCTCTTGTAGATTGATGAGTCTCTTTTGATTTGAGACCATTTCATTTATCTTGAACCAGGACGACTTAAGCTTTCTTTAGGACAACTTTCTTATTGCTTTCTAAATTAGCTTTTCTGTAAAATAATCTCGTGAACAAAAAGAAAAAAATTTACTAAAAAATTATTTTAAACAAGCCATAGTTTAAACTGAATTTTTCTTACATATATATTTTTTTAATATATATTTTTTAATTTTTTTTTATTTTTCTAATTTTTTTAATTTTTCTTACATATGAGTGTACAATGAGAGCTTAAGAAAATTATCAGTTAATGAGTTACATAATTTTTTTTTCAATTCACTTATTTTTGCACATTAAGGCTTCGTTTGCGACACCTTTCTTACTGCTTTCTAAAACAACATTCTAGTATAAAAATTTTAATTTTCACAATATAAAGCTTTAAAAAACAATAAAAAAGCTGTCTCAAACGAAACCTAAAAATTATCAAAAAACTATTGTTGGATCATGAATATATATTTATTTTTAGTGAAATATTTTGTTCTCAATCATATGAATAAAAAATAAATGCCTGCAGAAAAACATCTAATAAAGCCAGAAACTATTTTGATTTTCTTAATTTTTTTATCTCCCACACAAATAATTAAGTAAAATAAAAGAATAAGAATATACCATTATTTACGTGAAAATTTACACAGAATTGCTCAGATGAACATCTTATTTGTTAGACAAGCTCCTTCGAGATTTCATTGAAAACCAAAGCTTTTTTTTAAAGGAAAACATCAACCTTTTATTCAGTTTAAAAGAACAGCAGAAGAAAGCCACAACAAGGAAGAAGAGAAGAACCAGAAGTCTTTTGATTCTGGGTTGAAAGGTTAACTGTAATATATAAGTAAGAAACTCTATCTCCCATCCATTTATTATGTTAAAAGATAATTTTAGATCAATAAAGATCAGTCAAAATCATAGCTTCTAATCTCCCCACAAGCTACGCTTTCACATAATTCATAAATGAAATATATTTATAACTGCACATACATAGTCAAAAGAATGAACCAAAGAAGAAAGTAAGAACACTCATCTGATTTTGAACCGAGAAAACCTCTGTGATCTATGTAACTTTAATCTCACCGCAGGTACCTTCCTGGATATTGCCTGCCAAATCATCTGAACAGCATCGTCCTTCTTAGATGGATACTGGTACTCAAAATATCCTTCTACTTGTTTGAGCTTCACCCACATTTGGGTCCATTCCTCCTTGCTTATGCCTTTGATCAGATTCATCAAAAATCCTTTCTTGATTGCATCTGCGGCGCGAACAAAGACACAAAACTCAGAATAGTCGATGACATCTTCGTAAGGGAGTTCGATCTCGTCGCTGATGATGACAGGAACACAGTGGCTAGCAATGGCGTCGAAGAGTCGGTTGGAGGAGGGTGTGTCGCCGGCGATGTTGAGGCAGAACTTGGATGAACGCATCCCATTGGTGGCTTCTTGGATGCCATTCTTTTGTATTGTTCCAAATGAAAATTCGACTTCTTTTTCGTCTTTGAGAAGGTAGAATAGTTCTTGTCTGATAATTCCACCCTGTGGAAAGAGAGATAGTTCATTAGTTTATCGACTGAAGGCACAAATTGAGATATGTTAGCACTACTAAACATGGTAATTTCATCATCGTTTGCTTATATTCAACCAATTTTCTAGTCAAAGAGGTACTATCTTGGTTCATTGCATGCCCCTTTGGATCTGGCATTTTTATTTATTTATATCAAATGTTCAATAAAGTTTACATGCCTCAGCAATCTTATTTATAGCCTACAAAGGACTCCAAATATAAAATTCCTCATAATCCACTAATATCAAGTAAAAAATGACAACTCCCATTTCATCACACTTGGATTCAGCAAGTTCCCAGAAATTTATAGGCAAAAAAAGCTCCTGGTAAGCAAAAAATCATGTATGCAATAGGGCAGAGCCAAAAAAAAAAGCCAAGGAAAGAGCCACGATAGGAAAGTGTGGCTTGGTGCTACAATCCTGCGAATCAAGAGTTCTTAAATGAGCTATATTCTCGAGAAAATAGTTACTGATTGCTAAAATTCTGAAAAAAGTGTCAGTTGTAGCTATAATTTTGCACATCAATTGCTACTGAAGGAGTTACAATCACCAAAAACAAAGTCGTTGATTGCTGTTGTTTTTGAAGGGGAAACAAAACTTTCATATTTGCATATGTATTATTCTTTTATAGAACCAAGGTGTTGCAACCATAAACTTGATATCAATTTTATCTATGACACTTGAGGATTTAGGATTCCTATGTTGCGATGCACAATGAAAAACAATTCTACCAACTCTCAATTTCAACAAAGATCAACCAACATTAATTAGAAAATAATAATTTTGCTTCCTTTATTCGAAACAACAATATCATAGTCGCCAAAAATTGAGCTATCACGTGAAAAATAAACAAAAATATATAAAATTGCAGGATTGATCAAGGTTTACAATACAAAGTAAATTTGATACATATCACACTTGACAAAACTTCAATCACAAACATGCACTAGTCATTAAACAAGTTAAGAACAGAAGCAAGCATGTAAATCACCTGGTAGAAGATTCACATCTCACAGCAAAAGAAGTCGTTAAGACTTATGTATTGCTCAAAGAATCCATATCCAAAAACACATGCGTAAGAATTGAGGAAATTTAAATGTTATTTTACTTGCTTAATATTCAATGAATTACCATGCATAAGTACTATTGCATCCTGGAATATTCGCGGCAGTAGAGAAATATAAAATTTAGCGTCTTAGAGTTGTACGAAAATCCATCACGCAATCAGATAAGAGAGAGGGTCTAGCCTTTATGAGACACTAAGATTTTTATATGTAAAATCCCTGAAAAGGGGGAAAAAACCACGGGGCCTAGCCCAGTTTGAATGAATCCACTAGTATTGCAGTTGATTACAAATGAGGCCCTTCATTGGGGGAAGACCTTAACTTGATGTACATCTTATAGAGTACATTACATGGTAGGAATACAAAGAATCACTGTTGACGTGTTTGTTTGGTCAGAATGACCATAGTCTTGTGATGGAGGTCAGAAGAATCGTAGTCGGCGGGCGACAGAGGTCATAAAGACCGTTGTCTGGTGATGGAGGTCAGAAGGACAATAGTCGGTGGGCGACGTAAGACAGGAGGACCGTAGTTGGCGGGCGACGGAGGTCTGAAGGACTGTAGTCGGTGGGTGACGTAAGTCAGCAGGACCGTAGTCCGCGGGCGATGGAGGTCAGAAGGACTGTAGTCGGTGGACGACGTAAGTCAGGAGGCTCGTAGTCGGCAGGCGACGGAGGTCAGAAGGACCGTAGTTGGCGGGCAACAGAGATCGGAAGGACTGTAGTCGGCGGGCGATGGAGGTCAGAAGGACCGTAGTTGGCGGGCGACAGAAGTCGGAAAAACTGTAGTCGGTGGACGGCGTAAGTCAAAAGGACCATAGTCAGCAGGCGACGGAGGTCGGAAGGACCGTTGTCTGACGAAGAAGGTCAGAAGGATGACGTCAGGTATGAATCCAACAATGGACATAAATCCAACATCAGATAGATATTCGGCGAAAGTACTACAACAAGCAGAAGTCTGGCGTCGGGAAGAAACTTGACAACGAGCGGAGGTCTGACGTCGGGTAGAAATCCGACTTCAGTTGGCGGCCGAGGAGAACTCCGACGTTAGATGGTATTCGGGCAAAACTACGACGTCACTTGGAGTTTAGGCAGAGTTCCAATGTCACTGGAAATTCGAGCGAAATTCCGGCGTCACTTGGAAGTCGGGCGGAATTCTGGCGTCACTTAGAAGTCGGGCTGAATTCCGGCGTCACATGGAATTCGGGCAGAATTCTAACGTCCCGTGGAAGTCGGGCAGAATCCCTACGGTGGTTGAGGAGGAGTTTCTTCCCTCCTACTCTTCTCTTCTTCTTCTTCTTTGCTTGGCCCCCCTCTTAAGAGAAATGAGAGGTCTATTTATAGATTTATGGAGTGGCATGGCCCGTAAATAGGAGGAGGATCAAGGGCAAACGTATAGTGGTTTGGATGGACAGTCGATATTGAATCTCTTGATCGTAGACCGTTCGTCAGACATTTGAAGATCTTAACGATATCGAAATTCGGCGATCTTGGGCTCATTGGATTCGCCTCGTCGAGCCGCTCGATTCGAGTATAAGCATGTCACGTTTGGAAACCATTTGGTAATCCAAATTGTGGTTCGAACCTTCCAACAACGCTTCGGGTCCTTGATTTGGACTCATTTAGGTCAGATTGAGCCGAATTTGGTGTCGTTGGGTTCGTACTTTCGAGACGATCAGTCCAACTGTAAGTTTGCTGAAATTGAAGTTCAGATGATCCCAAATTTAATTTTTGAAGTTTCCAACTTGATTTTTTCCTCGAGATTTGTGCTCGATCAAGATAATTTTTCGATGATATATCAAGTACTATTTTTTCAATAAAAAATTGCAAATTATATTTCCTCACACTTGGATTCAAAAAAATTACAAATTTTCTAGGCAAAAATGGCTCTGAATTTTTCATAAAAGGCAAAAAATCAGGTGAGCTACGATGTTGGGCAGAAGAAACATAAGAAGGAAAGAGTTGTAGTAGGAAGGTGCCACCTGATGTTACAATCTCAAAAATCAAGAGAGTGTCACTTGCAAATACAATACGAAAAATTAAGAGCCATTGAAGGAGCTACAATCCTAGAAAAATAGAGTCATTACTAGCTACATATCTAGGAGGGGAAGCACGAAACTTATTTGCATCACTTTGTGTACAAGGTTATCTCTTTGAATTAGGTTCTTGGTTTTTTTTTTGGTTGGGGGGAAGTGAGGGTTGGGGTGTTTGATTTGACAAATAACTTACCAATGTTAATGATTTTGTATATCATGACAGTGATATCTATTTTTCTATTAGGGAGGTTTGATGAATTGACAAAAGACTCATGATTGTTATTGATTTTGAACATCATGATTGTGATTTCTATTTTTCTACTAGATCGGATCCTCACTCTTCTCCTTGAGTGTGGGTTGGTTTGAAGTTGAACCGCAAAACTCTTGGTGTCTCAGATTTTTATTTTCTCTCTTATGTTTTATTCTGTGATACATTATTCTTGATCATTGTGATATTTTTTTATTCATGTTTTTTAGCACCCTTGTTACGACAAAATCACTAAATAAGAAAATTCCCTATTAGATCTATAGACTTCAATGTTGGAGACTTGCTTATATCCGAAGTTTAAAAACCAACATCCCAAAGAGGTCTCAAACATTATTTATAGTTACGAAAAACTACGATGTTATTGGCACACAAGGCTAATATGACAATGGAAAAGGGATCTAAAATAATATGCATACTAGTAAAGCATAGATGGAATTAAGTGGCTGGTAAATTATTACCAAGCTTATGCTAAGAGCATATTGAAGCATCTATTCTATGGATATAAACATCCATTCTACCGGTGTAGGTGTGGTTGGGAATTGACAAATTACTTATGAGTGTTATTGGTTTTGTACATTATGACTGTGGTTTCTATTTTTCTACTACATTGAACCTCATTCTTCTCGTGTGAGCATGGGCTTGGTTGAAGCTGAACCACGAAAATCTCGGTGCCTCAAATTTGTATTCTCTTTCTCTTATGTTTTAATTTGTGAAGCATTATTCTTGATCCTTATGATATTGGCACCCTCGTTACAACAAATCAGTGAAGTAGAAATTTCCTCATTAGATCTATAGACTTGAATGTTGGTGACTTGCTTATATCCAAAGTTTAAAAACCAGCCTCCCAAAGAGGTCTTAGACATTTTTTAGAGTTATGAAAAACTTGGATATAGGCATAGTGAAATCATCATCCGTCCCCGTGGATGTAGGCATTTTCGTCGAACCACGTAAATCGCAATGTTCTTTGTGTTATTTGTTGTGTGATTTATTGTTTCTGCTGTGTTTATTGCATAACATCAGCATCCATCCTTTCTAAAAAAAACAGATGCCAAGTTATAATCAAATTGTTCTAGTTTCTTCCATTAATAACCCAAATGTTATACTCCCTCCAAATAAATTGAAATTACCACTCTATTAAATAACAAAGTTAAAGTTAAAGAAAATATAATCAACAGGCTGCCATGGAAACCAAACCTTACATCATACCCTATCCCAAGCCTATAACAACAAAGATATAACATCTTAGTCTAGTGAGTCTAAATTGTTAAATACAAACATTACAGATGGTTTGCAACCAATATGAAATAGCTATAAGCATTTTCTTCAACTCATTAGATGCATCAATTGTCAACTGAGCTATTGCTGGAGTAAAAGAAAATTCTTTGCTTGCTTGCATTTTTTCTGGAGTACAATTTTTTCCGCACAAGTGATAAGTGGCTGATTATGCCGATAAGTTTCCGATTAGAACATTACGAGTGTTAAAGAAATTTTCATGTTTGAATAAGAAAATTAAAACTGTTAAGTGAAACAACAAACAATTGTAATATGTATTTTTGAGTAATAGCAAGTGATAGGTAAACTTAATCAAATCAGCTTGACTTTGCAAATTATAAGAGGATAAGTAGCTAAGAACCATATTAAGTCAATAATTGGATGTTAGAATAACATTCCAATTCACAATATCTGGATGAAGATAAGACTTACAGATTTCCTATAAATTGCCCCTTTGAAGTATAGCAAAATTGGCCTATCATCATATCCAGCAGTATCATTTACAAAAGATCGCACAACATGCTTATAAGGTGCAATCACATCTTTCTCCACATTAGCCACATTTGGTGGGTACCTTCCAAAATCAGAAAGAATGAACATACAAGGCCAAAGCTTAATCCTTGCATCCAACATACTATTTGGATGATGAGCCAAAATTACATGATCTCGGCCTCCAGATCTCTTCCATTCCTCTTGAGCTTTTAAAAACATCAACAATTTTGATTGCAACAGCTTGTTCATACTGGTATTTTCGAGCGGTTTCAACTTCGAATGACGATTATAACTCAAAGAGGAAAAGAATGGCACAAACACAATATCAGCTTCTCGAGAATTTGTGACCCTTACAGCAGTACAAGGCCCCGGTCGGTCCGGAATTGTAGAGGATAACAGATCTAATGTTAGCCAATACTCTATGCTATGTTGCAGATTCAGCCCTCCGGGGTAATCTGGGATCTTTCCTTTTATGTCAGGCCAAACATTATTTTCCTCTTGTTTCCAATCTAAAAGGCCAAAATGAAACTCAGGAGGCAAATCATACATAAAAACCTTCAAAACTGCATTACTTGGATCACATTTGCTGAATTCATGTTCTGGTGGACCAGTACTGTCCTGGAAATAATGCCCCACTTGTTCATCATTCTCACTACTGGGAATATCTCCATGTTTCTCAGCCGTCCAAAGAATCTTTGAATCAGGAAGAACAGTCTGCTCAATCAAATGAGGACTGTCCGTAGAACCCAAAAGGAAGAACCAGGAGAAAGCAAAAACTAATGTTGTTATAGAAAATAGAAGAAAGAGGAGTTTCTTGTATCCATGTGCAGAAGATTGTGCATGCCTTTCTGCCATTTCCTCTATTATTTCTTAACGATCAAAAAATAAAAAAATGAAATTCACCCAATAACTTTCATCTTCAATCATAAGAGCAGAAAAAAGAAAACCCACCCCTTTTCCTCTAAGGAAACCCCATGCAACACCAAATCAATTATTACAATGCTGCTCTACAATAAATCGCCAAAAAGCTCAAATTTTGGGGAAACAATGAAATTCTATCAATCCTAAAAATCTAAAGATCCTAAACAAACCCAAAATCAAATAAGTAATGAAACAAAAAAGCAGGATTGATCGATGTCGAGCTCGCTACAATGAAACAAATGATGAGAATCGAATAGAAAGAAAGAAAATAAATGGATGGATCAGATGAAGAAATCTAAAAAGGAGAGAACTTTGAGCTGGAAAAAAGGAAGAAAATGATTACAAGTTGAGTAAAGAGCGGAGGGCTTCAGTTTATCTCTGCTGCTTGGTGATCTAATGGCCGTGAGATTTCTGGTCTTACCGGTAGAAGCGGACTTTCCGCTTTCTCGCTGGAAATCCTTTCTTCCTTATGTCTACCGTGCAAGAAGAAGAAAGATAATTCCACCGCGTATTAAACCCACCGCTTCACCGCATACCACCTGGCAAAGTAACAGAACGACACGTCATTTGGATGATACAGTAGGTCCCATGGGAAAATGATATTTTTTGTTAAAGAGTTATAATTATCATGAGAAGACATGAAATTTTCCGGGTGTATTTAAAATATTATGGTATATAAAATAAATATATATGATTATTTTTTATTTTATTTAAAGTAAAATAATGGAAATAATAAAAATGATAATTGTTTGTGGTTGGTGGTAATATATTGATGGTTTACAATAGCGGATGGTGATCGATGTTAGGTTGTCAACAGGGGTGGGTGTTTGCCAATAGCGGGTGGTGAGCAGTGGAGGTGGTCGGTAGTGGTGGGTGACGACGGCCCGCCCCTCGCGACCACGCCCGCCCCGTGCGACCACGCTCGCACTCGCCCCGCACGACCAGCTTTCCCGGGTCGGGTCGGGTCAACCCGGCAACCCGCCGGGTCGGGGCCGGGTTCGCATTTCTAACCCGTTTACCTAACCAGGTCGGGTTATGGTCGACCTGTTTGAACCCGGGTTAGTTTCGGGTCCGACCAAACCCGACCCGTGACCCAAAATTGACACCCCTAATATAATCAAGAAGCTTTGAGCTCAAGTCAATAATCAAGCCCGAGCTCAACTCAATGTGCCAAATAATAACTCAATTTCAAGCTTGATAAATTATATTTTAAATCATATCATTAATTTGAAAATAACCAAAGTGAATTCATTTAAAAATAGGAACAATCGTGAAAATTTTTCTAGTTTAATTAGGATAAAATTTATCAGATAAATGAAAACTAGCCGAGATAGAAAGGAGAACAGGGAAAGAAGAACAGAAGCAGAACTCAACTTGTGTTCATATTAAAATTTTCGATGAAGTAGAAGCTACAGTGTTTGTTTATATAAACAGAGAAGATGATATAGTAATAATGAGTTGCTAGAGGTAGAAACTATCAGGTCAGTGGATGGCAGCGAGAGTGGAGGTTGCTTAAATAGCTTGGTGGTAGGCTTGGCATGTGATGCTTGATAAAGAGTGGTTTGCGTTAGTGTTCGTTGTTTGGGGTGGAATTGAAAAGAGGTTTTGAAAAGGTTAATCTTCTTTGGGGAACTTGAATTTGACTTTGAATTTTAATTCTGAAATTGAATATCTAATCAGAAAAGATATATTATGTCGAGAGGTAGACATATGATTTTAAAACGTGGTCCAGATTTAGAATTGCAAATTCCATCTTGAATGTTGTAATCAAATTTAGGAAAGAACTTCATATGGCTCCGAAGGCTCAAGATGAAGTTCAACCAAATATCTAGCTACGATAATCTAGATGAATTACCGTTAATTTCATATTCGAAATTTTATAAACAAATGATATATCTCCCCAAAAGAAGAAAATATCATTCATTATCAATTGTTCGAACATGATGATAACGATCATTGTTGATTTTAATTTTCACAATTTTTTTTTTTTTTAGTTTTGAAATTTGATTTTTGAAAAAATAGGTGTGGATTCTAAATTTTCTACAAGCCCAAGCCTTCATAGTTAATTACAATGTAAGAAACACCAAGATTTTTACGCGAAAAATCCTAAATACAGGAAAAATCATAGGGCATGACCCAATTTGAATGAATCCATTAGTATTAAGGTTGATTACAAATAACACTCCTCTTCGGAGGAGGATGATGGTTCAATGTAGCAAATACACATTATATAATGCTCATAGATGTTCTGACAAAAGTGTCGGCATGCTTATTTGGTTAATAGGACTGTAGTCGGCGAGCGATGGTGGTTAGAGGGATCATAATTGTAGTTGGTAGGTGACAAAGATCATAGGGATCATATTCAAGGGATGATGGTGGTTAGAGTGATCGTAGTCGGTAGGTGATGAAGGTCAGAGGAATCACAGTAGTTAGAGGGATCGTAGTCAGCATGTGACAATGATTGGAAGGACCGTAGTTAGCAAATGATAATGGTCAGAGGGACCATAGTCAGCAAGCGACGTTGGTAAAAGTGGATCATAGTTAGTGAGCGATGGTGATCGGAAGGGTCGTAGTGAGCGGATGATGTTGGTAAAAGGGATTGTAGTTAGCAAGCGACGGTGGTTGAAGTTGACCGAGTCAGCAGGCAACTGGTTGGAGTGCACGATAGTTGTTGGGCGACGATAATTAGAGGGATCATAATAGGCGGGAGATGGTGGTTTGAGTGGACCGTAGTTGGGTGAATGTGGTCGAAGGGATCATAGTAGGTGGTCGTTGATGGTCGGAAGGATTGTAGTTAGACGATGGTGATAAGAGTGGATTGTAGTCGGCGGACGACGGTGGTTGGAGTGTATCGTAGTTGGTGGGCGGTCGGAAATGAAATCATGCTCAAATGGAGATCCCGATAGCACATGTAAGAGATGCAGGTTGGTGCTCGTTGTAGTGGCTATTAAGGAAGGAAGAGAAAGACAGCTGGGAGATTTCATTTGATGAGGGGGGCGGGGGGGAGGAATTTTCCGTAAGAGTCGTAAAATTATTACGCGCGGTCACCAAACGCTGTCAGGAGGCTAATCAGTACACGCCACGTCACTAATTTACTATGTATCGTTACTGTGTATCAGGTGATGTAGCACGTCCTCATTAATCAAAGAAAGAAATGGAGGAAGCTAGTGATAGGGTCAAAGCGAAGAGTGGCTAGGATTTTCCTAAAGCTGTTCCAATGCTATCAAACGTTCAAATGAAACTTTTTAAAACTTTTTTTTTCCTTAAGTTTTCTTATGAGATGTTTTTTTTAAATATTTGTTTGAGCGAGTTTTTCTCAGGCCACCAACCAATCCATCAACTTAGCTCACAGTTCTAAGTTTAACGCCACCAACCCAGTTTGCTCACCGCCCTCGTCATGGGTCCCACATGGACGGACCAACCGAAACAGTCCGGTCTCGGCCCACCTTCGAATCCCTTGAAATCCATACAACAAGGACCTAGAATTGAACTCGTGAAATGAACCAGCTTTACTCGACAATGGAGTGTTATCCTCCGCAAACGTGGCGATATAGCATTAGTCTGGTTATTTTCCATGGTGCAAAAACTCTTTCCTAGAGTGATTTTTTTACCAACCACGGTGGAAAGAAGCTGGTAATCAGAAATGTAGAAATAGAAAACCCGGCTAGTTGGAATGATTCGATCCCTTGCTAGGGTTTGATAATTGCGAGGGGATCGTCATTCATGGAGTATTTACAGGCTCATACCATCGAGATCGTCGGCGTGGCAGTCGCTGTGGTGGCCGTCGCTGCCGGAATCGCCTACTTGTATCTCAGCAAGAAAGCAAAGGGTATGATGAGAATCAATCTCCGATTTAATCAGTTATTCTTAGTGTGATATATATCTTTGATTTGGATATGTAGTTCCATTTGTTGAAGATCTCCGGATTTTACCAATTTGTGGTTATGATACTGTGTTCGTTTTGCGATATTTGATTTTTTGTCATTTGTGTTTTGCTTAAGGTTGCTTGGACCCGGAAAACTTCAAGAAATTTGAGCTTGTTGACCGGAAGCAGTTGAGTCATAATGTTGCCAAGTTCAGATTTGCTCTTCCGAAGCCTACGTCTGTATTGGGTCTTCCCATTGGTCAACATATTAGTTGCAGGTTATTTTCCAGATCTTACTATTTAAGGGAAGAAATTGTGTCATGAAGATTATCTGGTAAGTTTAGATGGTTGGATTTAAGATTTTGTGATTTGGATTGAATGATAGGGGTACGGATAGTCTTGGTGAAGAGGTTATCAAACCTTATACTCCCACTACACTGGACTCAGATGTTGGGTACTTTGAGCTTGTGATAAAGGTAATAGTATAGGAATTATGGCAATCTTTCACTACTTTAAGACAGTTTAATCTCTACGTTATAATTGGAGTTTGAGTAATAAAGAATTATCTGTGCATTTTTGTTGTTGCATTTTTCTATTAGATGTATCCTCAAGGAAGAATGTCTCATCACTTCCGTGAAATGAAAGTTGGGGACTATTTGTCAGTTAAGGGGCCCAAGGTATTTAAAATATTTATTTTATATTTTTTAGCATTGTTGCATGGCAATCTAATTTGTTTTAATCATGTGCTTTTTTCTTTTTTCATAAGAAAAGATAGTTAGTCTTTTCACTTCAGTAAATTCATTTTTATTATGGGTATTGCTATTTTGCTGGTTGTATTTGCAAGTACAGTTGTGCAAAACATATATTAGCATATGTTTGATCTTGTTTATATTCATGAGTTTAAACTAATTAACATTGTAGAATGTTTGAATGCTTAATAAAAAAGATTGACCAAGAGACAAACTGAATGGCTAATGGAAGTTGGAAAAACAGACTGATAGCAACAGTAGAAAAGTTTTACTTGACAGTACCTACTTAATTATTGATTGCTTGCTTTTGAAGCCTTGTTGGAACCAAATTTGTCCATGGGTGATATCCGGCCTTACTAGCAGGCTAGCTCTAAGAGTATGACCTAAAAACCTGCATTAGGATAGATTAACTAACTCAAATGCCTATAATATAAGTGCCAATGGTGCTCAAGATGTAAAAAACAAGATACAAATATACACTTTTTATCATTAAGTTATGGGGATCTGAGGGCTACATGAATGACTACATCAATAAATGAATAAAAATACAAGACTCAATGATTGTATAGATTGTCTAGACACATTTCACACTTTGGTTGGCTAGAGAGGGAAATTGCATTCCTTGAACTTGGCTTAGATGCCTTTGGTTGAGCTTAATAGTTTCGAGTGCAGATCGACGAATATAAACCTGCAAGTTCATTGGCGAGTCCTGAATTGAGAGAGAGTTATGGGGTTGATAAACTTCATGGTCAACCGATTGTAACAGGGCGAGTTGCAATTCTTATGAGTAGGCGCTTTCCTTGCACTTGAAGTGGCGAATGAGATCAATGACGCCCCCACTGTGATGGATGGCAAGCATCGTTGTTAGCGAGTTCCTCGTGTTGGAGGCGAGTGGTGAGTTAGATGATTGGCGAGGATACTGTCATGTCTATGAGGGAGGTGACTCCCTCTGAGTCCTTTGTGAAACTAGATTTCATGATCTGGGTGAGCTCTTATGTGGGTCCACAAGATGTGAGTTTGTACTCTATTAACTGCTAACTAGTTGTTGAATATCTTAAAAAAAACATTACGAGTATACAAGCCGAGTTCTACTTTAAGATTACAAAAATCATAAAAACAATCAGAGTTTATGTTAGTTTTATTTTTATTAACTAGACCAATTATCAATTTGGTCAAGGGCTAAAGTTAATTGAGCACTGATTGAATTAACTGGATCAATGTTTGGCCTTATTATTATCAATTAATTTCTAAACATAGTTATTCTTTTTTCATAAAATTTATATGATTAAATTGAAGATCTCTTTGCAAATAAATTTATAGTGATTTTTATTCATTGGTAAGGATTAGCCATATGAAAAAGTATTTTAAACATTGATTTCTAATATGTGTCAGTAATAGCCATACTTTTATTTTAACTCCATTAATTGAATTATCATTTTCTAATAGGCATACTTTTATTTTGCTATGGAATTAGGTAGTATCAGTGCTTTTGTTATTCTTGGATTAGAAGGTTGTGGTTGTATATTTGGAAAGCTATTGCTGTTTTGATATCAATAAAATGGAATATGAAAAATCTATTCCATTTGTGGCATTGGTTTTTAAAAGAAAATATTTTTTTTAATTGAACTTCACCATTATTTAGATGAACATATCACATGCCGAGGTTTTGGACCCTATATTTATGATTTGTTGGGCAATTTTTCAATCCACTATGGTTCAAAATACGTTATCTTGGGTTGTCTAATCTATATTGATGGTTTTAACAAAGAATTTTTATTGAATTAGTCTCCGGTGGTAGATAAGATTAGAGAGAGTCTCCTTAGATGGTTTGGTGGCATAAAATGTCAGCCTATTATGACTCGATTAGGAGAGTAGATATATTAGATGAGAAATGTAGTTGTAGACTTAAAAAGACTTAGTTAGAAACCATTAGTAATACCCAAATTTTTATTAGATTTAAATGAGAATTTGACTTTTAATAGGACACAAAGGAGAAATAGGATTATGGTAGCCGACTCTAGGTAGTGAAATAAAGACTTGATGTTGTTGTTGTCTCCAAGAGCTAATTTCTCTTAGGTCAATGTATTTCACGGCTAAAACCTACTTGAGTATTCTGCTTATTTGAACTCAAACTACTTGACTTTGTAAGATCATCAATCCCATGCAGATTCATACTTAGTTGCTAAGGTTCTATTTGTTAACTTCTATTGTGTTGTTGAGCAGTTGATCATTTGGTAAAATCATGTCAAGTTTACTTTGTAAAGTGTTGTAAACAGTTATGGCTGTTTGGAAAAAAAGTTGTGGTATTGATTTATGAGTTGATTGAATGGTTAAAGTGGATATTATTATAAATTATGGCAAGTATAATAAGATACACTAACCTTATATTCTTATTTATTTTATAAATAATTAAATTAATGAATTAGATATGAAGCTAAAATCCATGAAAGTACTTTTCTAAGAATCTACCAGAAGAACCGTCTAAGAAGACCCTGCTTTCAACTTTCTTGACTAACTTTTTCTCACAGTTTTTTTTTCCAGACATTGTAGTATTGCTTTTGTTATTCAAGCAAAAGCAGAAAATAGAAAGATATGATAAAAAAAGATACGAGACAGGAAGGTTCCCCCACCAATTTTAAAGTAATCCCACCATTTTTTACTCTCTTTAAACAAATTGCTTCACTGTAAACTGCATTATACTGACTGATTTTGCTCGCAACTTGTGTAAGTCCAAATCCTATTCTACCAGTTCCCTGTCAATTTTTGGATCAACATTTTTAGCTGTTCTCTTGCTTCTCCTTTGAAAACTTGTCAGGACTGAAGTACGGATCAAATTGTAGATGTCAGTAAATTGGCTCATTGGATCTTTTGCTTTGCTGTAGTTTTCAATTAGCTTCTTCTCAACGCGGCATATTTTTATGCCTCTAATCTTTATTTATGTATATTGTTAATGATACAGCACCGAGTTAGTCAGGTTGCTTGTATGAGGTTGTTTGCTGATCTTGATTGTTTCTTTTTGAATCCTATCGTAGTCAGGCAATCATTGAACTTTGGCTGAATCCCTGCAATTTCAGATTGATATATAAAGAACGCTGAAATACCACTTTGATTTTAGCCCATCAAAACTTGTATGATTTTATAAGTGATGAAATCCCATTATCCCCCAAAATGGTACTGGCAATATCCATTTAGCGGTGGAAGCTTTTATTGAGGAAGAAAATTTAAAAAAGTACAACCAAATGAATTTATTATCATATCGAATGGACCTACTAGTCTCTATACCTCTTTCTTTGTAACTAAGCTTTGACAGTGTGCTCAATGACTTCAATGGTTTTCTGTATGTTTTATTGTTTCATGAACTTGAGTTAATCACGAAGTTGTAATATATCTTTATAGAGGTTACCACTCTAATTAAGCCTTGAACATGTTTTATCTTTTAAATGCAAAGCAACTTTTAGTTACTTCTTAAATTGTTCATGGAAGTCAGGTGGTTAGAATTTGAACTTCAAGCATTTTAGCTAATTTTTTCTTCTGATAAACACAATTTAAAGTCGAGAATGTTGATGAGATATTATTTGAGGCTCTTTACTATTTGCCTTACCCATTTATACTGTTCAGCTATTTCGAATTCGCTGTCCTAACATCAAAAACTTGCTAAACAGATGTCATGTTGATAGTTATTACAACATAAGCTTATGATTGATTACTGTGTTAGGGACGTTTCAAATATCAAATTGGTCAAGTTAGAGCATTTGGAATGCTAGCAGGAGGTTCTGGCATAACTCCAATGTTCCAGGTCACACTAGAGTTTCTATATTTTTGTGATATAAGGAGGTGATGCTAACCTGTAGTTTGTGGCTAATGTGGATTGTTTTTATGTTCTCTATTTTACAGGTTGCTAGAGCAATATTGGAGAACCCCAAGGACAAGACCATGGTTCATCTTATATATGCGAATGTGACATATGATGACATTCTTTTAAAGGTTAGTATTCCAAATTATGACATAATTGAAGTACATTCTTAGAAAGTGTCCTAGCTATTGGATCTAATGGGACATTGAGATTATCAGTATATGCTAAGTTGTGGAGTTTAATTATGCCCTAAAAGAAGACTTAATTATGATCTCTAGTGGATTTCATTAGACTTAATTACGATCCTAGCTATTGGATTTCATTAGACTTAATTACGATCTCGGGTGGAGCTCCCGAAAGACATCTAAATTTGTAGATATTTCATTATGGGTGTTTTGAAAATTTTTATTGTATTTTTAGTTTCCCCAAAATTTTTCTTATAATGAGTCGGATATGTTAGGTTGTGTAGCCCCTCGATAGTATATGATAAGCTGTTGCCTAATTTTTGCCTTTAGAAGACAACACTTTGGACGGACTTGGTTGCAATTTAGGGTTTATTTCATTTTGAGTATTTGGTTATATTTTCAGCAGCTATAGGTTTTTGTTCATAAATAGTCTAGGAATTAGGTTTTAATTAACAAAATAAAATCATAATGAAATTAGGACTTAGTTATTTATTGGGTAACCTTTATAAAATTTGTGAGTTATTTTAATGTTGAACTTCTTTTCTATTTTTTCTATATATTCAAAATTGATTTCGCTTATTCTCACTAGGATAAGCTAGCTACTTCTTTCAAGTATAAGCTAACTACGTAGTGCCAGTATTGTTTTGACCATCACCAGCATAGAAAATCGAGTATTTTATCATAAAATCAGTTTTATCACATTTATTGTACTATATTCCCAATGCTATATACAAATTTGACCTTTCTTTCTCACACCATAGCACTAGTTTTTTTTTTCTAATTGTCGAAAATTGCAATGGCAAACCTGGCCATCTAAAGCTTCTATAATTTGGTGTGTAACACAGGAAGAGCTGAATAGCCTTTCAGAAAACTATCCTGGTCGCTTCAAAGTCTACTATGTCTTGAATCAGGTTCTTTAATTTTCTTTTACCTTTCCAGTCTTATTATTAAATTGCCTCAGCTTTCCAATTTTGATTATCTTCTTTTCTCATAATAATATTCTTCTTCGAATTTTGATAAAATTGATTTTATAACAGCCACCAGAAGTTTGGGATGGCGGCTTTGGCTTTGTATCAAAAGAAATGATTCAATCTCACTGCCCAGCTCCTGCACAAGATATTCAGGTAATGCCTTAGCTAACCTTAGGGGTGTCGTCAATTCGGGTCAACGGGTCGGGTTCGGGTCGAATCCGAAACTAACCTGATACTGTTCGGGTCAATCTGAACCCGACATGTTTTTAAAAACGGGTTAGGTTTCCGGACTCGAACCCAACTCGACCCGGCACGAATGACCCAAAGTTGACCTAAAATTGCTAGTTTTCGGGTCAAATCGGGTCAATCTTCGATTTTTGGGTCATAATCGGATAAAAAACGGGTCAATCTCGGGTTTCCGGGTCAAATAGGAGTTTTCGTGTCAATTTCGGGTCATTTTTGGGTCAATTTCGGGTTGCTGGGTCAATCTGAATCCGACCCAATTTTTAAAACGGGTTGATTTGTTGAACCCGAACCTGACCCGTTTCGGGTCCGGGTTGACCCTAACTCGGATTTTCCGGGTTGGGTTCGAGTGGTATCAAAAATTGACACCCCTACTTAACCTTCTATTTGTAATTGCATGTCTGCATATTTAGATTTCGTTTGGGACGATTTTCTTATTGCTTCTTAAAGCAGCTTTTAAGTGCAAATTTTTTAATTTTTATACTAGAAAGATGTTTTAAAAAGCAGCAAAAAAGTTGTCCCAAAAGAAACCATAACCATAAATCTTTTTGTACATTAGAAGAGCAGATCTATAGATCTATAGGTTCACAAAAGAACTTTCATGAAATAATTGAATTGGATTTTTTTTTTTCTAAGCTTTTCCTTTCAATTCTTATATGTGTCAGTTATCTCATCTCAGCCGTTGAAATCCATTTTAGCCTGCTATGGTTGAATATTTTATTTTGTTTTCAGAATCACTTTGATAATTGCTCAATCCTAGCTGTCCAGAGTGTGTGGTTATCTTGATACAATGATATTTGTACTTGTACGGTTATGTCATCTCAGCCGTTCAATCCATTTTGGTCGGTTAGGGTTGAATTTTTTTACTTTTAATTCTGGGAATAACAGCCACACCACTCTTATAAACATTATCCAAAAAAACTAAACTGGCCACAATCAAATCATTGAGAATTTAATTGAATGGTTGTAGCTATTAGTAAAAATTAGTTTAAGAACTATATGAGAAAAAAAATAAAATTACAATGATATCGTTGGGATCATTTTCTTTTGAAAAAATTATATTATTTTCTTACCATTACGATGCTTAAGTAAATTTAGGCTTCGTTTGGGATAATTTTTTGCCACTGTTTTTTTAATGTTTTCAAAAAATTTATGTACTAGAAAGCTGCTATCAAAAATAGCAAGAAAACTATTCCTTTTGTTAAAAGTTGATTCTGAGTCTCTGACTATATAAAAAAAATATAAAATAATACAAAAATCATAGTCAAGCAGAACTTTGGTAGATTTATGAAAAATAAAATAGGAACCGCTAGAATGAGTGGAATTGCACAAATCTTGAACCCTGTATTATTGAGCGAATTATTTCGTACGGTCACCGGACATCCAATTTAGATGCGTCACGTTATCCAAATATACTAGGACCCGGTGTATTTTGGTGACATGGCGCATCTGGATTGGTGTCCGGATGAATCCGCCAATAAATTGCCGTATTATTGATTGTCTTACAGTTGCATTTGATCTCTTGCAGATCTTGAGGTGTGGCCCACCACCTATGAATAAGGCCATGGCTGCTCACCTTGATGAGATCGGATATACAAAGGAGATGCAGTTCCAATTCTAATTACATTCTTCTTAAATTTCTATGAACTTCTGAACATTTAAATTTGATTTTTGTTTTATCAACCAAACGAATTGAAGCAGCAGGTTTATGTATTCGGCAATCAAATAATATAAACGGAAATGTTTTGTATTTTTGGTTAAATTTAATACCTGAACCCTTTTTTGTCTTACCGGATAAACAGTTCTATGTACTTTTAAGAGGTCTGAGGTACTATTTGGGTGGAATTATCACACATCTCATTGAAGCCAAATTTAATATTTATTGCAAAAAAAAAAATACACATTACATTGAGTCTTAGCTTGGGACAGATTTTTTTGTTGTTTTTTTTTTTAATAATTTTTTAGAATATAAATTTTTTGAATTAGAAATTTTATGTATTAAAAAGTTATTTTAAAAAATAATAAGAATGTTGTTTTAAATGAAGCCTAAATTTTTGCATTTGTGCTTCTTATGCTTGTAATATTAGAATTGATGTTGTGCTATTGAGAATATTTGTAATTTTTGTGACATTTATAAACTTTTTAAAATGAAAGATTTAGATTTTTTTTGAGATATTTTTTTTGTTATTTTTTTAAAATAATTTTTTATTATAAGTTTTTTGAATTGAAAATTTTTGTATTAAAAAGTATTTCTATGAATCAATAAAATAATGATCTAAAATGAGGTCGTAGATGTTAAAATATATAATTGAGCCTCCGATTTAAGCTGGTTTGGAAAAATATTTTTCTGGTTTCTAAAAAAAATTTAAATCATTAAAAGCAATGGTTTAAAGTTATTCCAAATGAAGTCTTAGGCTTGAGACTTCGTTTGAGATAGTTTTTTTTTTTGCTTCTTAAAGCAACAGTGTTTTAGTAAAAAAATTTATTTATTTACTAGAAAATTGTTTTAAGAAGCAGTAAGAAAGCCGTCTCAAACGAGAACTTTTATTTGGTCCGGTGAACGTACGTAGAGCTACGTTTGGCCGACACTAAGATCGCAGGCACAAAATGAGAAATACCGAGCAAATAACGAGAAATATCATTATGTGAAGACAAAATACCGAGTAATACCGATCAATACCTTGAGTTTTTTCTAGAAAAACTCTGTATTTTTTAGGATTACTCAGTATTGCTCGGTATTGATCTTCACAGAGCGGTATTCATCGTTATTATCAAACAATACCTAGCAATACCGACCAAATACCGAGCAAAAACCAAGTAACAATCCTCTGACCGAACGTAGAGCTACGTCCGATCAGAGGACATAATAAAAGTTCCTCAAACAAAACCTTAATGTTTTTCTATTGCTGCGATGAAGCTGCTGTTCAACCTTCATGGTTAATAATTTTAAGTCTTTAGAATCTTTCCAATTGTTTTCCATTTTTCCTGGTAAGTTTTGGCTCCATTAAAATCTAATGAATATGACATTATTTTCACTAATTTTATAAATAGTGACTGTAATTATACCGAATGTTAGGGCTAATAAACATAAAACAGATAAATAAGGAATAGTTCTTAATCTTAACATTTACCAATGTGAACTTGTCTATTAGAAAGTTGCACCATTTTATGTGTAAATGTGCACAAAATACTAATGTTATATTTATTAACTTTATCTAATGTTGTAATACATATCATCAATTATTTTACGATATTGTGGGTTTTTAATTTACAATATAATATACTTTTTTACATGATTGTACATTTTTTAATTATAAATTTCATCCTAATAGTAACCCAAAATATCTCGAGGACCCGATTTAAGCAAAGTCAATCAAGTTTGATGCAATATAACATAATAAGAATGACAAATACAATAATAAGTTTGTTAAATTTCAAGAACTAGCCAAGTTCAATGTAAGCTCATGAGCTCGATATGAACTTGTTGGTTTTGACTCGAATTCATCACATCCGTATGAAATTGCCAAAGACTATCACAAACTCGCCTAAGTGTATAATCTGTCCGAGATTTATCTAAGCCTATAATTCCAGGATCATAAACTACTTGCCAAACTTGCCGACTTCATCCAATATTGACTTCAATCTTATTGAAGTATTTTTATGTATTTTATTATATATTTATTTTTTTGGGGGGGCATTTAGGTCAATTAAAACAAACTTACACATAAGCAAGCTTCGAATCCAATTTTTTTTAATTAATAGCTACATTTAAATTAAAGTTATTATATAATTAGGAGATGGATACATCAAGTCATTATGTTCAAGTTTTTTACTTATGATAATCTAATAAAATCTTATAACTTCTCTCTCTAGTTTTCTTAAATTCTCTCTTTCTCTCTCTCTCTCTCTCTCTCTCTCATTTGTCTTATTAATTTTTTGAGTAAAATTCTTTCTCTTAGGCAAATTTAAATTTACTCTACCCAAAATATTCTCCATTATTTTTTAATCACCCACAGCATTAAAAGAATCAAATTCGCTCTTATCCCTAATCTGTAATACCTAACTGTCGGGTTAATGGGTACAAACTCCACCTGCGGATCGAAAGCAGGTTTGCCTGACACGATACGCCCTGTTCGAAGATCGAAATCTCGTTCCCCACAGACCGAAAAAAAATTAGCGAAGCCGGAGAAGAAGGAAACAGAAGAAAGAGACGAGAACTGAGGACGAGAAAATCCTTCGATCTATGAAGAGATAGAGACAGAGATAAAGGAGAGAGAAGGGTCGCCATTGACCACATCATCGAAAGAAACGAAGTCATCCACGTGAGGAAGAGACGGTCGGATTTCCCGAGGAAGACGACGCCATTTCCGAGCTGCCAGATAAGAACATTCAGATTCAGGTGCCGAGTACTCTGTCCCTTCCAACTTCTTGATGGATTTGTCCGACTCGGCTATGTTTGATGGGGATTCGGGTTCATCTGTGGGTTTTGATTGATATCTTCTGTTTGAAGTGTTAAAGATCGGATTTTTAATCGTTTTGTTGTTGCGGATTGGTCGGCTCCGTTTCATGGATTTTTTTTTTCTAATTTAAATATCTATTTCTCTCTTCCTGTTTGGGCTCATCGTTGATCTCCAGATTTGTCTTGAAGGGATTTCGCTGCTTCAACTTTTCGTCTGTTTGATTCAGGTTTGAGATTTTGTATTACTGTGTTTGAAGATGTAAAGATTGGATTTTTGAATGCGGCGATATGGAAAAGAAGCATCTTTAAGCAAATTCGGAATTCCAAATGTTGGTTTCTGTTCAGTTTGGATATTGAGTTGATGCTTTTTGTCTTCTTTAATGCGTTTCTTTTTCAAAATCTGTTTTTTTTTTTTTTTTACTGTAATGAGTTTTTATGTTGGTTTTGAAGGATTTCTTGTGTTCGAAGATTCAAAGATTGAATTTTTTTTATGTTGTGTGTGGAAAAGAGGTATCATTATCAAAATATTTTTTTTCCTAAATTTTCTTATTACTGGTGCTTCTGTTTTGTTCATCTCTCTCTCTCTCTCTCTCTCTCTCTCTCTCTCATTTTCTTGTTTTTGTACAGTTACTGATTCATAGCCGAAGAGCAGAGATCTTTCATCTTGCTTTGTGAAGGGAAACAGAGAATGTCAGAGAAGACCGTATGGTGTGATAAATTAAGGAAGGTACTGATGACGCTTTGCTTGCTCTGTAAACTTTTTCTACTACACAACTCTCCTTGACCTATTGGTTGAGAGCTTAGTCTTCCAACTAAGAGGTTCAGGGTTCGAGTCTATGTGTATGAGTTGTGTGTGTGAGTTTGCCTTAAATGGCCTAAATGTCCAAAAAAAAAACTTTTTCTACTTTTTTTTTTGGACATTTAGGCCAATTAAGGCAAACTCACACACACAACGCATACACATAGACTCGAACCTTGAACCTCTTAGTTGGAAGCCTAAGCTCTCAACCAATAGGTATATCTCCTGGAAAATCTCTTCACGCTTATCGTTAAAAAAAATTTACTTAGAATAAATCTTAAAATTATTAACTTATTTTAATACGAATATAATATAAATTTTATTTGATTACTTACATATTACATTAATTTTAAACTTTCAAAATAAATATAATATAAATTTTATATGATTTTTTTATATATATTACATTACTTTAAAATTTAATATAATAAATTTGATATTTATTTCCATCAGGATATCCTCCATGAAACTTTTTCCCATACCTAAAAAATAGCCAATTGTGATATAAAGGCTTCATTGTTTGGTGAAATCGCCCTTTTTTGAAGGGATTCTTTATTCTTTTTGAAGGCTAAAGTTATTATTTTTGTTATTAATTGCAGTCTCTTACATCAAAAAATGTAGAGGAGAAAGAGAGCAGGCCATTTGAGGCAAAGGAGTTGCCACCTGATCATCATCACGGTTGGTCTTAATAATAATATCTTTTGATGACTTTATACCTTTTTGCATGTGAATGAGTTTATGATCTTCATTTTCTCTGTAATTAATTTGGGATTTTTGAGGATCGAGCGGTGGCTCAGTCATCTAGTAGGCTACTGCTTTTTAAAACAACTTTTTAGTACGAAAGTGAAAAAAATTGTACTAAAAAGATGCTTTAAGAAGCATTAGAAAAGTCATCCCAAACGAAGCCTTAGGCTTCGGGCTTCGTTTGGGATGGCTTTTTTATTGCTTTTTAAAATGGAGTTGCAGTACAAATTTTTTAATTTTTGTACTAAAACTCTGTTTTCAAAAGCAATAAAAAAGCCGTCCCAAACGAAGCCTTAATCTGATCTGCCCTCGAATTCATTAGCCTGCTACAATTTTTATTTTTGAGTTTTTTAAATTTTACTTTTCAAATTATTGTTAATTTTTTATTTGATTATAATTTTTTGCTATTTTTTATAATTTGATTAGTAGGATGATAGCTGTAAAAAAGGCTTATTTAGCACACAACATTAAGAATAAACATTTATTTACAAACCCCATTTAGAGTGTAAAGTGAAGCTACTTAAAAGCACCTTTTATATGTTTGTTGGAAGGAATAACTTTTACATGCTTACTTTGGAGTAGACATGTTGGCCTTAAAAAATTGCTACATTTATGATGAAAAATAAAAATAAATTTGCTTTATAATATTTTTTTTAATGCTTCGTTTGGAACAGTTTTTTTATTGCTTCTTAAAATGGAGTTTTAGTTCAAAAATTAAACTCCATATAAAAAAAACAATAAAAAAACCGTCCCAAATGAAGCCTAAGAGTAGATGAGCCAAATAATTTAGCAATTAGGATATTATTTTATCCAATTGCTTAAAAAATTGTATGATGAGAGTAATCGGTCGTAGATTAAGGTAGAGAGATTGGGGGTGGCTCCCTTGTAGATTTGAGAAAAATCTATGATAATTATGGATGATATAAAAGTTGTATCTTATCTTTTCTTGCTGTTTTTTATATTATAAAATGTTCTCTTAAAATTGAGATAAAAATTTTCTATCTTCTTTCATTTGAAATTTTGATTCTCCTATTGAGAGAGATGAATTTGATTGAATGGTGATAATAGCTTATCAAATTAGAGGCATCTAAGGACATTAAGAACGTAGAGCATTGTATTGTATTAGACCGGTCCATTGGACCAGTCCAGCCGGTCCACATTTTGCACTAAAAAAATTGTTTTAAAAAGCAGTAAAAAAGCTGACCCAAACAAAACCTATATCACTTTTAAATAAACAAAAAAAATCCAATTATAGATAATGAGGGCATAGAATTCTTTTGTTCTATTAGAAAGGTAGGAGAATCAAAGGCAAAAATCATCTTTTACTACAATCCCAGCTGCCATTTTCAATGAAGAACTTTGTCTGATAGAAAATAAATATTTGATCTCCTTAATTCCTTCTATTTGGCCTAACACATTTTGACCCACTTTTGTTGAAACTAGACAAAGTGGATTCCTCTGCACAGATAAACAGCTCTGTTTTCAGCAATTTCTCCAGTCCAGTGTCAGACATCTTTGATTCTCAGACTTTCAGGTATCAGCACTGTGTCCCTTCTAAATTCTAATATGTATTACTAAGTTTTCGTTTGAGACAGCTTTCTTCTTGTTTCTTAAAGCGGTTTTCTAGTAATTTTTTTACTAGAAAGCCGGTTTAAGAAGCAATAAGAAAGTTGTACCAAGCGAAGCCTAAATACTTGTTTTTGTTTTTTTCAGTATAAATATATATTTTCTTAATTCCCGTTCATTTCTGCGAAGGATTTTTGTTTCAACGTGGAATGTTGGAGGAAACTCACCTTGTGCTGGTCTGAACTTGAATGAGTTTCTTCCTCTTGATGATGGATCTGATATTTATGTTTTAGGGTAAGTGTTGCTACTGATACAGTGAAATAAGCTTCTGTAATGCTCTAAAAGTTCTTGGTTTAGTTTTCGATCAGATTTTCGTCGAAGTTATATTGTTTACTTTAATGATTTTTGTTGAAATTACTCCTAGCACGCACTTTCAGCTGAAACCTAAGTGATCAAGCGGTATAATTTGATCAGATCTTCATTTGGGACAGTTTTCTTACTACGTTATGAAGCAGCTTTTTAGTACAAAATTTTTTTGAATTTAAAATTTTTGTACTAAAAAGCTGCTTCATAAAGCAGTAAGAAAGCTATCGCAAATAGAATCTAAGAATTTTATCTAACAAATGCAATGTGTTTTGCAAAATGTTATCAATGGTGATTTTCATTGATATCACAATAGGAAATGAATGCTATATATGAAATTATTATTTAAGGATATAAGTGAACTAAACACCAACATAATAACCCCTAAACCATCATATTCTCTCTTCTTGCAACAAATTATGTATCTACACATCTAATCGATACACATTTATTTCTATCTTTCTATATTCCAGCTTTCAAGAAATTGTTCCTCTGAATGCTGGAAATGTGTTTGTATCAGAAGACAATGAGCCAGCATCGAAATGGCTTGATCTCATCGACCAAGCCTTAAACAGACCTTTGGGATCCACAGTAGATAGCTCCCAGAGCTCCTCATCATCCTATTCAACTAACAAAACATTCAGAAGAGACCAGACTGTTCAGCTCAAGGCCTGCAACTGTCCCTCAAAAGTAAAGAAGAAGAGTTACAGAAAAGCATGTTTCAGCTGTCGGTTTTCGTATGATTTTGACTCCGATGACGGCGAACCAGAGAAGGGAGAGGATGAAACAAGTAGCTTAGATGATAATGAAGTTGTTCTTACTATGAAATTGAACAATCGGCGAAGATATAGCTACATTGTCAGCAAACAGATGGTGGGTATATTTATCACCATTTGGGCAAAGAAAGAGCTTGTTGGGCATCTCAGTCATTTGCAGATCTCTTGTGTTGGTCGAGGGATTATGGGTCGGCTGGGTAACAAGGTAATCACATCTAGATTTATGATTAAAAAAATTTGGTTTCATTTGGGATGGCTTTCTTATTGCTTCTTAAAGCAGCTTTCTAGTACAAATATTTTAATTTTTCTGATAGAAAGCTGATTTAAGAAGCAGTAAGAAAGTCGTCCTAAACGAAGCCTAAATCATAACGTGTTTAAAAACTATTAGATTTACTATCATATTATGAATAATTTATATTGTACTCATCTCAAATAAATTCAATGACCACAAACCTATTATGATACAACATTTATAAGAATATCTTGATCTATGCTAATAATTTTAGAAATTGAACAAATGATGAAGAAGCATTTTTTATTATGTGAACATTTTAAATTTGCATGTCATATATGATGCATGTTTGTTATGCAGGGTTGTATATCAGTGAGCATGTCTTTGCACCAGACTAGCTTCTGCTTCATATGTTGTCATCTGGCTTCAGGTGAGAAAGAAGGAGATGAACTTAAAAGAAATTCTGATGTCAGAAAGATATCGAAGAACACACATTTTCAACGAATTTGTAAGAATCATCATCGAATAAATCCCAAAAAGATCCTCGATCATGAGTAAGCTTCTTTCTCTTTGTCTGATCAGTTTCATGACAATCTGTTCTCTTCGAATTCGTTTAGGATAGCTTTTTTACTACCTATTTGCAACAAAAAAAAGGAAAACAACAATAGAGATGTCTCCTACGTTACCCGTAATATGTGGAAGTATCAATGTAATTTTATAGAGTCATCCGGTATGAATACTACATGAAGAACATAAGCCACATGATGGAACATGGAGATTTAGGATGTAGAAGATCATAACATGAGTGATTGATTTGGATTTCTATATATCATGAAAAAAAAACGAAAATTATAGGTTTTCCCTTTTTTTTTTTCAAAATTTATTCAGGAAAAACTACTTTTAAAACATCATAATGTAAACAACAGAAAAATATAATCCGACCTTAAATAAAATCTTTTTAGCTGCAAATTACATAATCATATTTTAATTATTGCATGTTTCAGCCGGGTGATATGGTTAGGGGATCTAAATTATCGCATTTCGTTAAGTTATTTGGAGACCAAGAGACTTCTTGAGCAAAATGACTGGGATGCTCTTCTTGAAAAGGATCAGGTAAATAGTTTTCCAAGAACAATTCTTCTTTCAAATGTTCTATGCTTCTACTGGGTGCTGAAAGATAATAAGAATGTGTACTTAGACTCTTAAGAAAATAAGAAAATTCATCAAATGGCCAATGGATTTTTCTACAGCTGAGAATTGAAAGAGAATCTGGGAGAGTATTCAATGGATGGAAGGAAGGAAAAATATACTTTGCTCCTACATACAAATACTCCAATAACTCAGATTCATATTCTGGAGAGAATGTAACATCAAAAAGTAAAAGAAGAACTCCAGCTTGGTAAGCAATTTCTTAATTTGGTATCTAAGCTTGGTAAGAAGAACTCCAGCTTGACAATGCGAAAACGATATTCATTTTTATTATTCTCTGGATTTGTTAGGTGCGACCGCATATTATGGCATGGCAATGGTATTGCCCAATTATTTTATATCCGCGGCGAGTCGAAGTTGTCGGATCACAGACCAGTCTTTGCAGGTTTCTCAGTAGATGTTGAGGTTCTTGATGATAGGTTCAGGAAGGAAATATCAGCAAGTAACATGAAAGTTGGTGTGGAAGAGCTTCTGCCAAATCTAAACAATATTTTTTCCTGAAACTTCTGTAAGTATGGATAAAACTAATGTTTATAGATCATGGATTTGATGTTAGCACATATTTTTGCATATCAATGCTTGGTCATACAATCAGTTCAATCTACTAACCTATCATATGGTGACTTCCTTAGGTTTTGCCTGTGTAATCAAGTGAGGTTTTGAATTTAATCTCATTTGGAGCAATTAATAAGTATAGTTGTGAAGAACTATTGCGATCGAACCTCAGTTATGGACCTAAAATTAATTACTCTCAAACTCCGATTTGAGTCATTCTTAGACTTCATTTGGGATGACTTTCTTACTGCTTAAGGACGAAGCCTTAGTTTTCTGCATAATTGCAAGAATTAACAATGCATTCCTCTGCTCCACACCACACCTTGCCTGTACTTCATGGAGATTTATCTTTACCCTTAACATAGTTTTAGTCATATGTTTAAACAAGATTTTATTTGTTTCATGTATATGAAGAACTGTTCCCTTTGATTTATTTGATTTTTTTGTAACCTTGAAATAAACCAAACTGAGCAGGATAATCTACGTAAAATTACAAATCTACATCAAATCAAGCTCAAACCATTATAATAGACTACATTTTTTTTTTCAACTTTGTTTAATCACTATTTTGCCCACCCTTAGGTCATCTCCAACCGAACACCAAACGAGAGTTTACAGCCGCTGTGAGCTACAATCGAATGTCACATTCAGCTACATTTTGCACGAGGTGAACAGTGTGAAGCCAATATTGGCGACACACTGCTCACAAACGCCATTTTTTCGTCATTTTTTTCGGCTAGATAAGAATATACTCTTTTTTTTATGTTAAGAAATAGAGTTCGGTTGAACATGAAGTCATGCATTACTACATTTTAGATTATTACTGTATTTTGGAGTATAAAATGAATTTTTTTGGTTGAAGATAATCTTAGATAAGGGAGGTTTGGGAATCTGTGCTCATGCTATACTCCATAAAGCTCTTTTTAAAGGACAATCTGAAATCCTCTTTTTTTTTTTTAAATTCTTGATGCAGACTTGGAATTAGGTGATGCCTGCGGTGATAAATGTGAAATCTGTGCAAAAGTTTAAACAGACTAATTATGGAGGCCTAGCAAGATGATTTAGAACAAGATTTAGCTAATTATGCGAAAACCAAATTTTGTAGCATTGTTTTCAGACTTTCAGAATTTAAAATGTATACCTGATTTCTTAATCTTTTTTAATTATTTTTCTCTTTCTAGTTGTTTTTTTTTTAATAAGGGGTAATAAGGTGGAAGATAACCCAGAAGAAAAAAATAGAAGAAAGAAAAACTGAAATGACTTCCAATTGACAGTGAATCCATCAACAATTTTTCTGTTTTTTTTGGTGTTGCGAACAATTTTAACTGTTCCTCGCTGAGACGCTTTTTTCCTAATTCGGTGGAATTGATTGTTAATATTGGTGAATATTAAATATGGTAGTTTTGAAGCAAAAATAATGACTATAATTGCAATCTACAATTTGTGATAGGCATGCAAATATTTTACATTAAATATAGATTGCACTCATTGAAACCAAACGATAAGTTAAAAAATCTGACGATTAGCCCTCATCAAGATCTTTTGAGTAGAACTTAAGTGTTTTGCTCTTATCATTTCGTGCCCATTTGGGGCAGCTTTTTTACTGCTTTTTGAAACGTTTTTTTCATACAAAAATTTCTAGTTTAAAAAAATTTAGTACTAAAAAACTGTTTTAGAAAGAAATAAAAAAACTATCTCAAACTAAACTTCAATCGTATACAAAAATACTAATTATATATCAAAACATAACAACTCATAGATTATCACTTTCTATAGGTGAAGTCAAGACTTGGGCTGGGGGAGCTAATAATAAATATTTTAAAATTACTTTTAATAATTATCCAATCAAATACATTATAATGCAATTTTATATCAAAAATTTTCAAAACTCAAATAATAATATGATATAACTTCCCAAATAAATAATCAATCCACGCACTGCACACTAATATATATATTATTGTTAGATTTTAGCCATTTGCAATGTTGGACCAACCCCTGATTTCATACGTCATACATATAAACATTAGATGATGATTCTTCTTCTTATTATTATATAGATTATTATCTTAATATAAAAAAATAATAATAAATATAGATATCCTTACCAGTTTTTATACCTTATCATAATCAGGCCTACCTGTTCTTTACATTCCCCTATAAAATCAAACACCTATTAGTTATTTTAGCAAGCACAAGGCTTTCTTGAAGAGCAATGGCTCTTCCTTTATAGTCTCCTTTCTAGTCTCCTCTCTCCAATCTTTTTTCTTCTGCCTGGAAGGAAAAGGAGACGGTGGTCATCGCACCTAAAAGTTGCCTGAAGACGTGCAAGGCGTTAGAGGTAGAACCTAAGGAATTTAAGGTTTAGCTGTCTACTGCAACATGTATAGCAAATGACACCTTTTCTTCTCCACCCTTCTAGGAATGTGTTATTCCTAATCCCACTTGAGCCTTAGCCGAGTCTTCCATTAACAGCCTTCACTCTACTCATCGTCTCCCATAGAAAACTCCTAGAGTCCCCGAGAAGAAAAAAATTCAACTTAAATTATTGCATATTCTCATCATCTCCTAACAAGTCCTCCTCAAGAACCCTAAGATATATATAAACATAAATTTTCTCAGATTACTGAACAGCCACTGCTTACTTTCATTCAATTTCATTAGAGCTCGGAGAGCGAGCTTCGCGAATCACGCATTACATAACCAATAATTCGAACCTACACGCCTAATTCCTTCCCGATCTAAGACATTTAGCAGGTTGTTCTTAGCATTGTTCAATCTATAGATTATTCTTACTGTTAGCGAGATCGTGATAATTGCAATCCCTATTTGGAGCTTCGATCACTAACTATCTTAAGCAATAGGAAATGCAATCTGATGATCAAGAGTCGAAATAAATAATAATTTGTTCAAACGTACTGACCTAAGACCTGGCTGAATGGACTTGTGCCGCTCGGCGTACTTCCTCCCGAAGAATTACTGGAGCATGGCGAACCGGCGCCTTCCCTCTCCAATGACCGCTGCACCGCCATTCCAGTCACGAGCAGAGCCACGGCAAGCGAAAATTCCGGCCAACTGAGTGGACGGTAAGGCTGCTCCGGACAAGGTTGGTTGGGAATGTGCTCGACGTACCAAGAGGCATAAATGTTTTTGTTATTAATTCTTTATGTATAAATTTTATCAAAGAATTTAAATAATAGTTAATAAATTATTTTAATTTTATTCAAATTTAAAATTATTTCCCAAAAATTTAAACTAAATCGAAAATAGAAATGTATCATATGTTTAATAATAAGTAACAAATTGTTCAATAAATGGTAGAATTTAATAAAAAAAATTAATAATAATGCTGAACAAAAGTTTAACATTAAAGTAACGTTTATATTAAGCTTGAATTCAATAATAAAATAAAAAATGAATTTGAATAAATTAATACCACTTAACTATCTACTATATTTGCTCCCTTATGCTCTCTCTCTCTCTCTCTCTGCTCTCACTACACAAACAAAGTTTGACTGATTAATGGATTTCAATTTTAATCAGCTCATAAGTCAATTCATTCATAAATTACATAGAAAAATAATTATATATATGAAAATTTTAATAAATCACAAGGAAAATAAAGAGAATATTATAAATAGTTGCACATTATTTAATTTAAATTAATTTAATCTAGTAATGGGATCATGTGTTAAAAAAAAAACTAACCAAATAATTTGACTAGTTCTAAAGAACTAGCCAAATCATTTGGCTCATTCAATCTCAATTAGCTTAATTAAAATTTAAAATTATTATAGCAATACGTCAAATAGTTTGGCTTATTGTAAATATGCCAAATAATTTGATGCATTTAATGGAATGCGCCATTCTGTTTCACAAGTTCGCTTTTTTTTTTAATATTCAGTTTTTATTCCTAATTTAATTAAGCATCATTCTCATTCTTAAATAAAATCCGAAAATAAATCCAACTTTTAAAAACTTGAGTAATTTTTTACTTAAATCTTTGAAATCTAAAAATTTTTAATTTATTTTCTATAAATATTTTTTTAAAAGAAGCGGCTGAAAAGCTAAAAAGTTGAGTAAGGTAATGATTAGCTCAAATTTATCTACTTCGCTCACACGCCATTGAACCTAAAAGTGCTCATAAAAGTTATTTATCCACACATCTGTCTTCATACGTATTCATAGAATATAAATGAACAAAATTTAATGGAATAAGTTGTTATGAAACAAAGGCACGCACCATTCAACCTTCTCTACCATCTACATTTTAGACAAATTAAATTTTAATAAACGACAAAGGTTGATCAATTTGAATCCGGTTTCTCCCAAGAGACACGAATGCTCTCAACCATCATGCCACAACACGAGCCGCACAACTTGATTTTTGAGGAATTTGTATTATTTTGGGAAGAATAATTTTTAATTCGTCCACCCCTCGAAGCACTCCCTCCGAAGGATTAGAGATATATTCTTAAGAAATCAACTACCAATTTGCAAAATCAGTTCAACACTTCGATGAGAAGAACAATGATTGTATTTCTCGTGGATGAATGCATTGCAATCAAAATTATGAAAAATAACGTGTTAGGACTCGACATAATAAAGAATTTATTGTGAGCCGTAGAATACTATTACGATATAATTTTTTAAGTAATTCAAAATTTGCAAAATCCACCTGAATTTTTCTTCATTGTTAACCATAAATTATGATAACTTAATGAAATAAGAGGCGAGGATAGAGAGTAATAAAGCACTCATGGCTCGATACTTCTAAGGCTTCATTTGAGATAGCTTTCGTATTGTTTCATAAAACGATTTTTTAGTATACAATTTTCTAATTCGTGAATTTTTTGTATTAGAAAGATGTTTTAAAAAGCAACAAAAATATTAGCCCAAACGAAGTCTAAGTCACCAATTCTAATCATATACTTCACAATTTATTGCTCACAAATCATTCCCATGAGATAGCGGAGAAATAATTCAATTTAAATAAGTTCAATCAATCTTCATTTAAAAATTGAAGTTTTTATATTAGAAAGCTTCTTTAAGAAGCAGTAAGAAAGCCGTCCCAAACGAAGCCTAAGTTATGCTCAAAAAGTGCAAAGGAATAAAACAGGTAGACATATTGGGTTTCACATCAAGTTCAATCAGCAATTCAGCATATAATAGACAAATCAAATAAAATAGAAAACCCTGAACAGAGCTATGAACTCAAGAAACCATTAAAACACAAATTGGGTTTCACATGAAGATGAATAATCATATAATAGACAAATCAAATAATTGATAGCAAAATGCAGACTTATCACATAAGTACCAGTTACAGTTGACTGGCTAAAACAAAATAGTAGGTTATATGCATTACCTTCATTACCACAGGATAAGAATTCAAGTGAAATCAGTCTTCAGCCTGTCTGCTCCAAAGTAAGATAACCAAATGATCATAACTAGCAAAAATAATATATTGCAAACCAAGCGTCGAATCCAAAATGCCTGCTCAAACCTGACCAGTAAGCACTGGAATGGACTGGCAATGAAATGGCACCGGTGCCGGTGGAAGTTCTAGTCATCTCGGTGCAGCTAAGAAATTAAATAAGAAAGTCTCACACAGAAGTTTCTATGCGAAGGGATTTCCAGATGTAGCAGAGCCTTGCGAAGTTATATTCCTGCCATGGTATGGCAGATTTAAAATGCTTCAAGTTTGAAGAATTATTAGAGAAAATAAAGAAAAAGAGGATATGCTTACGGCAGCTGCGAGCTCGGAATCTGTCCTCCCACATATGGTATTCCTGCTGAAACATTAGGAAAAAAACCAATTACATGAGAAGGGGAAATAAAGATGCTTTAGAAGTGCTTTGCAATATTACCTTGGGGTATAGCAGCACTGAAAGTTGAAACAGAACTATGTTGGAACCATGGCTGAGATAAACCATCTAGAAATGCATTTGGCAACTGAGAGTTTGGCAAAGCACTTTGCAAAGAGCTCATGTCAAGGAACTGCAGAAGAAAAGCAGTAAAACATGGTCAGGAAAAATGGGATGGAAAAAGAAAAATCAATGAATAGCAATTCTGAAATTCTATTTGAACTCAAAATTTGCCTCTTTCATCTTTGGCTTATTCATGTAAAAGAACAATAGGCAACTCTTTAGACCTCAGCTTTAAAGAACATTCGACAAATAAGATTCTATCTGATGAGGTCATCGACAGACATTTTAGGCAGGTCTACCGGCGAAGGAATCGTAGATCGATGGCTACGATTAGGAGCTTATATTTCTGATGTTTCCATGTCATTTTCTATGTATCTTTTAATTTCAAGTCTTAGTTTACTATTTTGCCCTTATGGATATTTAGTCTTTGTTGTAGCTCTATGGGCATTTGAGTCATGTTATTTTTCTTTTGTTGAGACCTTTATATAGAAACCTCCTACTATTGTATGAGCTTAATGTTGAATTAATAAAATTTATGAGATTTTCCTTCGTCTTCTTGCTTGAGAGCTTGAGAGAAAGAGAGGAGACCTAGGAGAGGTTCCACCCGAAATACCCAACAGCCCACCTTGGTGAGCTCTTGGCTTTACTTGTATTTTTGCTGTTTTCTTCTTTCCCCACCACCTCCCCCATACACCCGTCCCCCTTCCCCCTTTCCCTTTGCCCGTCTCCGTCTCCCCCCCCCTCCCTGCAGCCGATCCAGCCAATTCCCCACCCAGAACCCGCCGACTCATCCCATCCCTCCTTGCCGCCGCCGGCCCCAGCCAGTCCACCGCCTCCCTTAGCCCAGCCCTTCCTCCCCTTGATCAATCCCGCGGCCCCCTTCTCTGTGAATTTTGAATTTCAAAATTAAAACCCTCTTTAATTCTTTCCTAAAATAGTTCACCCCAAATAGGAAAGAGATTTAAGTGAGGCCCAATCTATTTTGAATTCAAATTCAAATCCCTCTTTTCTTTTCCCCTCATGTGGAAACTTCCCAAATTAATTAAAATCTGAAATTAAAAAATCAGATTTGAATTAATTCCCTTGGCCCCACTAATTAATTAATTTCCCCTTTTTTTCTCCTTGCATGGCCGGCCACCCTCCTTGGCCTTTTCTCTCTCCACTTGCCACCTAAGCCTCCACTAATTAGCCTATTGATTCCCCCCTAATAGCCGCCCCTCTCTCTAGCCTAATTTAGGGAGATTTTAATGGCAAATAATCTCTCCCTCCAATCGAAGAAAATCTGAAATTCAAATTCAGATTTTCTCCAAGCAAGATCTCCCTCCACATCCCTCTCCTAGCTCTCGGCACAACTCCTCCTTTCTTTTCTTCTTCCCATCTCCACTTCAATGTTGAATGACGGATCCCGAATTTGGATGGGGACTTGTGTTCGACGCCGACGATAATCTCAACATCCTACGATCTCCGTTCTTCGACGTGGAATTTGAGCACGACGCCACCATTAGAGATTATTTGGATCGAGTTGTCCCTATTCTTGCGCACGTCATCAACCGTCAATTTTCCGACTACAATTGGATCATCGTTGGCCCACCACCCTCGTCTCCACTGTCTACCTCTCCGGTAACGAAGTCCTTCGTCTCCTTCTCCGTAGTGGTGCTCTCCATCCTTGTATGGTTCCTTCTTCTCCGCTAAAAGCCAATGAGTGAGAAGGTGCTCGAGGTGAATTTTCTCATTATTAATTGTGGGATTTTGTTATGAGCATTTAAGTGTTTCTTTTATCTTTAGATGTTTTGAATTGTTTGGTTATCTCAAAGTAACTCTTCGCCTAAGCAAGTTGATTACCTAGAATCTATTTTATCCTTTATTTTATTGATGATAACTTTGTGGTGGTAACGCTTTAATTAATTAACATCTTAATTTCCGCAAGCAACTCCAAATTGATTCACATCACTATCACTGGGATATTACAAACCAGTAAACCATTTTGATCCTTTTCCGACCTCCCAAGTTTAAATAGATAAGGAAATTGGTGAAGCCTAGCGCTCCAGGCTTGTGCAGAATTATTAATAGTTTGCTGCTATGGTGACATTTTGATAAACCTAGGCAGAAAAACAAGACTCTGTTGAACATAAACGACAAGAATCATAGCAGCTTATAAATGTAAACGAACTGTAATGCAGCTGAAATAAACTAGAAGGCCTGCTAGATAATTTTATTATGTTATTTGAATGCCTAGACCCAAACTCTAACTCATCTTGTTAATGAAAAGTTATTTAATTAAGTTCTCATCCAAGGGAGCCTCCAGCGACATCATTCTTTTATTAATATAAAAAAAAATGTAAAAATAAAATAAAATAAAATAATAAAAAATTTCTTTTATTAACATATCTTCATGTTAACAGAGGCAGCTCCTCAACATCAGCATCATCATCATACATACAAAAATTTAAGTTGGTGCATCACAAAGTACCATGTTGCTAGCTTCAGCATCCAACTCATTTGATAAATCAAACGGATTTGTTGATTTCCATTCTTGAGTGCTACTCACCTGAAAGCCAACAAAGAATCCACTTGTTAGCCAAATTCATGCATGTAATTATGAATGTGTCTTGCTTGGACCATAATCAATATGGTTCATTTATATATTTTCAAACATTCATAGGTTGATAATATTTCAAAGGAATATAAACAAGAGAAGACAATATCCACAAACTTGAATAACCAGACCATCCAATTAACGGATTATATTAGAAGTATATTAGAAGTTCATTAACCGATTTTACAGTTGCAATTCGATTACTAAGCAACAAGGGTCAGAGCTCCACATTATGTAGACCATTTCATTTAGGACCTTCACCGTATTTAAAACACTTTTAGCCGCACATCACCGTATTTAAAACACTTTTAGCCGCACACAATCTTTTTAAAGATGCCTGACATTTGAAACAGCCAAAAAAGATACTTCTAGTAGGCAAATTGGAACAGATCAGTGTATTCTGCTGTTCCAATAGATTTTACCATTATTAAGAATTTCATATTCTTGGCTCGGGCTTCCATAGGAGTAAGCCCCATAAATAAGGCAGCAAAAAAAAAAAAGTCCCAATAAATAATTTCCTCAACCGATCACTAGAAAGAACCCATCATTAAGGATGCTGCCAGGCTCTACCCGTTTGAAAGGGAAATTCAGTATAAATATCGCAAATAGGACGACAACATTTTTAGACCACAAGTGAAATTCCTTCCTCAATTTAATGTGCAAAAGTATATGGAATTTGCTCGATCCAGTCAGTCATATTCTTGAAGAGGTGTGTTTACTATGCTTGGTCCTCTTTCAATTAATCACTAAGGTAAATACATTATTAAGAATTGTTTCTACTTGTTCATCCTAGCATAGTTTTGATAGAGTAAAGCTCTAGAAATTTAGAGAATTTGCTTAAAACCTAAAAATAATGGTTGAAATGCATGTAATAAATCTAAATCAAATTTGAACTTCGAAGGAAAGAAAAATTAAACCAACTCAAAATCATTCCTAAAATCAAACCAAACTAATTTAAGTGAAATTAAATTAATTTTCATTGTTAAATCAATTCAATTAAATTTAATCATATTGAAATCATTCCTAAAATAAAATAATATATAAGACCAAACAATTTAAATCAAACATGCAAATTAAAATTAAATCAAATTAAAAGTATCAAACTACATTGAACAACAACAACAACATCAAGTCTTTATCCCACTATGCGGGGTCGGCTACATGAATCATTTTTTTTTCCATTGTGTCCTATTAAGAGTCAAATTCTCATTTAAATCAAATAAACAAATGTCATTTCTAATACTTTTTAACCAAGTCTTTTTAGTTCTACCTTTCTTAACATAGGCCGAATTTAATACATCTACTCTCCTAACCAGTCCTCGGAAGGCTAACACTTTATGTAACCAAACCATCTAAGGCGGCTCTCTCTAATCTTATCTACCACTAGAACTAATCCAATCTTTTCACGTATATACTCATTTCGCATTTTTGTCTCTAAGTGCAAAGCCACTCATCCACCTAAGCATCCTCATCTCTACAACACTTTAATTTTATGCTTCTTTTTTAATGGAGAATATTCTGTGCCATAAAACATTGAGGTCTCACCACCATCTTATAAAAATTTTCGTAAAGTTTGAGGGGCACTTTTCTATCACACAACAGGCCCGATGCATTCCTCCACTTCAACCATCCAACTTGAATTCTACTAATAATATACCAATCTATTTCACCATCGCTTTGAATAATAGACCCAATATACCTAAAAGGCTAAAACATGCACTATTTTTAACAACATGGTCACCCAAAATCACAATATTACCACTAGATCTATTACTATTAAAATTACACTTCATGTATTCAACTTTAGATCTACTCAAACGAAAACCTTTAGACTCTAAGATTGACCTCCATTATGCAAGTTTTCCTTCCACTCCCTCTCTAGTCTTATCAAACTACATTGAACTAACTTAATTCAAAACAATGCTAAAACTCATTCTTAAAATCAAATTAGACATAAAATTAATAAATCTCAAATTACACACCTAAAAAACAAATTAAAAAATCAATTATATAAATACAAATCAATCAAAAATAAATCAAACTTAAAATCAAAATTAAAAAATCAAATCAAATTAAAAAACAAATCAAAATAAAAAATCAAAACAAATTTATTCAAAACCTTTAAAGGTTTCCCTAACATTGATTTGAGTTTAAGTTCCCTGAGAATCCCAATGCTAAATTTTTCTAAATACAAAGAATAATAAACTGAATAATCTAAAGTGATATCAAATTTATACTATTTTTCTTTCAACAAAATCCCCAAGTAAAAGCTTTAAATTATAAAATTATAAAAGACACTTTTTTCTTTTTGAGACATCTATAAAGTGTCACCTTACTTCTTTAGGTGGGGTGCATAGTTATTATGCCTAAGACACTTTAAATAACAAAATTTACAAAATTTATTTAGAGTGAACTTTGTATATTTAGCATGTCATTTAAAACCAAAATAAAAAATAAAATCCCAAACTCTTAAAATTCAAATAAAATTTATAAAACATTAAAAACTGAAACTAAAATATTTTTAGGTCCACCTCTAACTTTTTTAATATAAGCCAAATCTAATACATCTACTCTCCTAACAGAGTCATCGGAAGGCCGTCGTTTTATGTGGCCAAACCATCTAAGGAGACTCTCTCTAATCTTATCTGCCACTGGAGCTACTCCAACCTTTTAACGAATATATGCTCGTTTCGTATTCTATCTCTAAGAGTAAAGCCACTCATCCACCTGAGCATCCATCTCTGCAACACTTAATATTATGCTTCTCTTTTAATGACCAACATTTTGATATAATTAAATAAATAATTAATTAAAAATGAAATAAATAAATAATAGGGTGTCACTCTCACAACCTAGCACACACTAGAGCTAAATAGAACAAGAGCCTAAGGACATTCTAGGGTAGATTGTTTTCTTTTCCTACATTCAATTTTTCTTATGTTTTGATTTATACATTGCTTTATATTCCATTGCTAGGCAAAGAACTAACTAGGGGTGTCAATATTTGACACGGCCCGAAAACCCGACCTGAAAATTCTTGGTTAGGGTTAATTCGTTTTGCAAACAGGTCGGGTTTGGGTTCCAAGATTCAACATGTTTGAAAAATAGGTCGGATCCGGGTCAACCCGCTAACCCGAAGTTGACCCAGATCAACCTGCACAGGCATACAGTGGTCCATCCCCGCGTTCCGATTCGACGATTCCGCCCGCAAGCCCTAACCAGCTAATTCATCCCGCCTGCGCGAGTCTGCAAGTCCAACCCGGTCATCTCCTGGGATGAGACACTGCAATCTGCAACGACCTAGCCTCCTAGGGTTTACTTTCCTCTTCTCCTACGATTCCAGCTCAACAACCAACGACTGCTTCGACAATGTTCCTCCTAGGCTTCAATCATTCGAATACTTCTTCGCTTTCTTGGACGACATTCCTTCTTGTCGGCTTGGAAGTCACGATAGCTCGTCGTTCCTTAGTTGGATTGGAAGTAACGACGATAACAATGACGTCGACGGGAGGGAGGGAACTCATTGCGAAAGTAACCATTTTCTCCCACTCGCTCGTTGCTAACGTAAGGCGTTTCATTTTAGGGTCGGGTCGACCTGGAAAACCGACGGGTCAGATCCAGGTAGACATTTCTGACCCATCTGCAAAAACGAGTCGGGTTCGGGTCGGGTCAACTAGTGGCGGGTCAATGTCGGGTTCGACCCAAACCCGACCCGCATCCCGATTTTGACACCCCTTCAATTATTGACCCGACTCGATAAATTCTAGTTCGGGTCGGCCCGTTTAACAAATCGGTCGGGTAGGATTTAGGTTTCAATTATTTGCTCGTTTAAAAAATCGTGTTGGGTCGTGGTCAAACCGCTAACCCGGATTTGACTCGAGTCTCTGTCTGACCTCAGCAGTCGCCCCCGTGCAAGTGCCTTGCCTTGGACTAGCACACTCGCGTAGTCACACATGGCATCGCGGCCTCGCCCTCGCCTGCTTGCATTCGCACCCTTGTTGGCACCCATGATTTCACCAGCACATTTGCGCATTCACATGGTCCTGCCCTACCTCGCAGTCCCGTCGTCTCCCGCAGTCGCGCTCTCGCCCGCCCTCACTCGCAGTGGCTCTCATGCAATCCCGCACGTAGCCCACGCTCGACGCTCATGTGCTGCGATCTCGCACCTGCGGGTTAGTGAATCGGGTCGCGTTAACCCGATAACCAGACTGGTCAATTCCGGGTCTAAATTTCTAACCCTTTTGGCTAATCAGGTCGGCTTCGAGTCGGATCAATTGAAGGTGAGTTAGTTTGAGATTTGACCCAAACCCAATCCGAAAACACATTTGGACACCCCTACAAAGAACCAACCAAAACTCAAAACATGATCGTAACTCAAAAATATTTGATTTATAAAAATATTATATAACTCAAAACATGACCACGGTGTGACTATTTTGGTTTTTCTTTAAGGAGTTGATTGACCAAAATGATCATTTAATATAATTGGGACTATTTTGATCCATCATAAAGAGTTAATGAATCATTTTGGTCTTTTCTCTATTTTAATACTTTTTATCTTACCTATAATCTTTTCTAGTCCTTTTGAGGAGTTGAGGTACCTGTAGTGCTAAGGTGCAAAGTAACGCAAGGATTTTTTTGGGTATCACGGACATACCCAAATTAAGATGAAGGCATATACATTTGAAAGAACTTCTGCACATTAAAAATACATACACATTGAGATCATATATATATTCTACTGCACAAGGTATGTTTGCTTGAAGGTTATCTTGTTTGACTAGATTTTAACTCGATTGATTTGAAAGTCTCAACTCATAAGCTTAATTGGTTTGACCAAAATTAATCAACTTTGACCCATTTGACCTCACTTCAACTTAGTTTACAAAGTAATAAATATTCAATTTCTGACTGATCGTTTTGCCTTACTTGTGGGCTGGCAGCATGTGTTGTAGGTAAGGGCTTCACCTAATTGTCACCGCTCCCCAGGCATGAACATCAATCTACTCTCAACATGAATAACAAGGTCAATCACATTTTAATCATGGGGTGTTCTTACAATTTTATTATGTTGATAATTACATAAAAAGATGATTTTAAATCTCAAAGAATGAAATAGATAAAGAAAATTCAGTTATCCCTTCTAGAATTATCTTATTCTCAACACATCTCTCGTTTTTTTCTTTTTTAATAAAAAAAAAGTTCTGAGATCTTCCCAATAATTGTTCACAAATCCTAAATTCTTCATAAATAGCAAGAAAGAGAGATGGAAGAAGAGGTCGCTAAGGCTACCCGTACATATTATCTTGGTGGGGTGGTTGTTGGGGTCTGCATTAGCTTAACCCCTACCCCCCCCCCCCCCCTCCCCCCCCTCTTTGTCAGAAGCAATTATTCTTTGAATATAAGGACCAAGGACAAATTGAACTTCCATACCTGAAGGGGCAACAAATACCAAGCTTGCGTTCATTATGTATAATTGAATATGGTTTCTTCAAGCCAATATGATATAACTTACAATTCTAAGCTTATTTTTATATTAGCCTACCATGCTAAACTATTAAAAAAACGATGTAAAACATTATTAATGATTTCTTGAATTAAACAAATAAATGGAATGAATATCCATGTACGTATTTCCATTAAATATAACTTCAATGTTACTTATAACAATCAAAAATAAAGAAATGAACCTCATAAATGAAACCATGTTTACCATTGAAATTGGCAACTGCAAATACACAACAAGGTCCACTAAATGAAAATTGGTATCGGTATCAGACCATCATGAACAAGTTATAAAACATGGCAAAAGCATTTTAACTTTCTTCAAATAAAAAATTTTAAGGAGCGAGTTATCAGAAGTTCAATCTGTACCACACATTCCTATAATTACAAAAAATAAGATATGCATGATAGATGCTGAGAACTAGAACATCAACTAGTAGAAGTATCCAAATCACAGACCTCGCACGAAAGACCAACAGAAGGCAATCTTTCAGATGAACTCTTAATCGGTAGATCTTTATCCAGCACAAAAGGAAACTGTAAACTATTCTCATTTAGTACCTGCAACAAATCAAAAAGCAAACCAATTTTTACAATTAAGCATCTCCCACAAGAAGGAACCTTTGACAATCAGAAAAAAAGCTAGATTGTACCTTTGGTAATGTCACATCAGTATGCTGGCCACCAAAGCTAGATGAATTAGCATACAAAGAAAGAGAATTCTTTTGAAATGAATCATCAAAAGCATTCCATACCTAAAAAAATAGAAATAGAAATTGATGACATATTGCCTCACACTCAATAAAAAAGACACGTTTCTACAACTTCACCGGAAATGCAATTATAATGTAGTAACTTTAAAGAATGACAAAATTTATATCAAACTAGAAGAAGATTTGATACCGGTGTGCTACTGGAGTTTGCAGCATTTTGGATTTCAGTGAAGCCTGTATGCCATTGGTTAGTTGTGGATGTTACTTCCCCATGAACTGTGAAATTTTGATCTGACAGCAATTGTGAAGCGTCTTGCTTGGATGAGAATGCATCAATTATCTCTGTAGACTTTTCTAGGCATGGAGGAATCATAGAACGAAGGCCTTTGGTTACTTCATGATCAGGCGCCACTTGGTGAACTGTGTCAAACATAGCCCAACCATCATTTTCTGAGCTAGGAATTGATGCTGCTTTATTTTCAGAGGGGAAACTACAAGAAGGCTGATTATTGAAGTCAGCAAAAAGATCCACAGAAGTTTTTATATTCTGTTGCTGCGAAAATTGAAGGCTAAAGAGGTCAATCATAGCAGTAGGCTGTGGAGTAGATGTCTCTGATGATGCATTTGTGGACTTATTAGGCTGCTTGGTCATAGAAACATTCTTGGACTGAAAGACCGCATCAGGAAAGGCACCAAAATTGGCAGACTTCGTATGTAGTGACTTCTCATCAAAGGACACAAAGCTGCCTAATGAAGCAAACCTCTGAAAAGGAAGTCATCAAACACATTATATTCCACAGAAAACTTCGGCTAATCACAGATTTGAAGAGAACTATCATGAAGTTGAAAGAAAAATATCAAATGCAAAAATATAGATGGGGGATTTCATCATTCCTTCTTAACATTTGTCTAAAGATCTATGTGAATTTTGTATGCAAAAAAAAAAAAAACAATGAGAGTAGTATCCTTACTTGTGACTGGTCGCTAGATCTAAAAGGATCACCATTACTAGAGACAGAGTAGTCACTAACTCTTGAGCTAGAACTCTCATTTGCAAACTGATCCTCATACATATGTTCTCTACCTCGGCCAGGACTGTAAAAGACGCTGGAGATATTCCCTTCATAGTGACCATGATCTGAACCTGGCTTTCTAGTAAGCATGATTCTCGGTTTTCCATACCGTCTGTCTTCATACTGATTATCATAAGGCGGACTCTGAGAGAAGGAATGATAGGAACTGGCCCTCCTATGTTCTTCATGAGTCATGAGGCCCTGTATGGAGCATGGTCAAAAGGAACATTTTTAAAAAGTCACAAAAAGAAGTAATTAGTTTTTACGCATTTAAAAACAAAAAGAATAGTTTAAAATATTTCAATGAACGGTTCATATTTATGTTGATAAAATGCAACGACAAAAAAACATAAAAAAGGCCACCTGTGGATCCTTTGGAGGCTTATCAGAAGATCTTACACCAGCATACTTCTTTTCCACGTAAACTTTTTTTATAAATTCCCTAATTTTGTCTGGATAGCTGTAATAGTAAGAATAGAAGGTCAAACAAAGTTCACAATGTCACTACTGTGGCCATAGGATTGTGTTTTCCAACCTGCTATCGGGAAGTTTCATATTCTGCAGATCCCAGTCCTTCAAGAACAACTCTCTGGCCCGCTGCAAAGCAATTATCCCGTTAGTGGTAAACCAACCAAATTCACATACAGCAAAAGAGATGACAATTAGACGTGTCAACTACCTGATTGCCTCCATTTTGAAGAGCCTCCACTTCTTGTGCTGTAAATTTAGCCATGGACACAGACTTCACACGATGAGTAAATTCCCGGCTGCATTACAAAACAGAATTATCCAAAAAAAAAAAAAAACAAGAAATTGACTAGCAAAACTACTAAAACTAATCAAAGATGATAATAGTACAACTCCAGAAAACTTTTTAATGAGACATATTTATACTTTAGCAATGCCCATTATGCAGAAGTCAAGTAAACATGAAGTTCTTATGGTTCTTGAGTCGTGTAAATAATTATACACCAAAAAAAATGCTTAAGAGTAATGATTAGGTGGCCTCTTTTTTAATCACAGAAAAAAGTGAAAAAAATAGAGCCTCTTTGTAAAGTTAATGATAAGTTTATGACCAAGAATAATTCCAGATTATAATGGAACCATACTTATCGAGGAGAAAGTATGAAGTGCCCTAGGTTCTCGAAAGTGGAAAGACACCTACTTAACACATTGCTAACAGATCCATATCAAATATGTGAGTGTATCACTAACACTTTAATAGTACATAAACTTAAGCACAAGGAACCTTATGCAAATGCCTTTTCCAATTAGTTGGCTTACTAAAATCGCAACTATATTCTTTACTTTCATTTTAGGCATTAATCAGAAGACCAGGATCAATGATTAGGTAACTGTGATTTAAGTTCATGAGTTTGAATGATGGGAACAGCATCTCCATAATGCAAGGGCAACGCTGCATACAGCCCCTCCCACGACCCTACATTATAAGATTTGTCGGCTAAATACACCCTTATTTCTAATTATAAGTATTCCGAACTTTGCAAGGAAAAGATTGTGATGAGGACATCAGAGATCAGCAGTTACGATCTGGAGTTTGTTTTTTTTTTTTATGTACTAACTTATTTAATATTTCTGTTTTTCCCATTTTACCTCTAGGGGTGGTCATGTGGTGTTGTAGCCCGAAGGGCATTTTAGTCATTGTTTCTTTTCTTTTCATGAGGCCTATTTATACTCTTGTATTTTGGGATAATGAATGATTGAATGAAAAAAATTTGCTATTGCTTGAGTTCTTTGTGAGATTTTGAGAGTGCTTGGAGAGATCCCTAGGAGAGGGAAATTTGAATCACCCACCAACCTTGAAAACGGCTAGGTTCATGGTTCTTCTTCATTATATTTTTCTCTTCCCCTTCTTCACCTAGCTGCCGGCCACCTAATCCCCCCACCACCACCCACCGGCTTCATCCCATCACCACCCCTCCACCGAAATCCCCACAATTCCCTCCTAGCCCACCAATGTCGGCGGCCCCTATGGGATTGAATTAGGAATTCTTTCCTAAAAGCTCACCTCCCCTATATGGAAAGACTTCAAACCTCTCTCCCTCTCTTACCCGCCAACCCCCCTCCTTCCAATTAATTTGAAATTGTTAATAGGCCACCTAAGCAAGGGAAATTAACTCCAAGATCATCTCCATAGTTGCCCGCATACTTTTCCACTACATTCTCCAAGTTCCTGTGCATCCAACAAGAGGAAATCGCTGGAAATCCCCTCTCTAGCTTACTGTCCAGATCCCTGGACAGGTTCCATAACCTAAACCTGAATATTGGATCCTTGAAAGTTGTTGTCCAGAGAAATTATGTATCTCTTCCTGCTGTTCAGCCGATCGGGGAATCTTCGTGTGCTGTCCTGAAGGTTCAGATTGCTGCCCACAACACCAAGAAGGTTATTGGTTGTCTTCCACTTCCTCTCCAGCACCCAAACAGCCACCGAAGCTTCATATCTTCTATTTCTTTGGGTAAACTCTTCCTCCAATTCTCTTACCTTCCTAGTTTACTTCTCACTTGTGGTCTTAGTAGATTCATGAAGATAGTGTTAATGCTCCTCTGCTAAAACATAGTAATCTTATAGAGTTGAGTGAGGAATGGATCCTTCATAGTACTAATCTTACTGTTAACATTAGGATTTATTGTCGAAAACCAACCATGAATGCAACGTTAGATTAAATTGACTGTTGTATGATCTTAACTCATATGCATGTGATTTAGCCTAAGCTTGTCTTACTGCTCTTGTGTTTTATTTTGTCGCCTATAATCAATATAAAGATATAATTATTGTGGTTCTTAAAATTAAGCGTGCAAATTCTTTAATCTAAATCATCCTTGCATGTATGTTCTACATCAGATTGTGAATCCAACATGAAATTAATCCTTTTGACTACCCATCCTTCCTTTTCTTTTTTTCCACCTCAGAAAGAAAAATAATGGCATCCGTCTCTCTCAGTTTTCTTCCTTTGGCCTACTTTCAAGCATGTTTTGTGGCCCTGTATTCCTTCATTGTGAAGATTAACATATCACTTTTACTGCAACTTTTTTCCTACAGCCACTTCTTTTTCTTGGTCACTGTTTATATCTTTTTATTTTTTTTTTAATTTTACATGCAATTGAGTATCTTTAACAAAAATTAACTTAATTATCATATTTGATTACTTATTATGGATCTCCATATGGATCATTCAATTCAACTAAATCAAATCTCAAGATGATGGAAGAAAGATGATATCACTATGGCTTGGCTTAAAAGGCCATTGAAGCATGAAAATAACTCTAAAATCATCAAATATTTCACAAAATAGATTGACTTAATGAATTTGAAATGTTGAGATTGCACATTTTGAGAACTTAAACTTGTCTTGGAAGATAAAATGAGATTGAAGGCAAGAAGGAAAGCTTTGGATTGGTGCATTTGCTTTCGACTAGATCGACAAAGTTGAAGTCCATATCTATGCATCAAATGATCCTATGATGGTATTAGGTAGGTTGTGGGTTTTTATATGAATAATAATTGGCTTGTTAATAGGGATGCTTTATGTTATAATTAGTTAGAGTATACTCATATTCTTTTTTTTGTCGAAATTATATAATTTTCTCTCTTATGTCAGCATTATTCTCTAAATGCTACTCATTATAAGTTAACTTCTATTGATATTACCAAGGCATAGAATGGCTTGGGTTGCTTAACATAGGTAGGACATAACAAGCATTTAGATGAATGAATTATCATGAAACTACCCTAAGAGTATGGTATAGTGTAAAAATACCTTGAGAAAAAGCTAGAAAAAACAAGAATACATGATGTTGATAGTACACGTTATATGAGCACTAGCATTAAATAATGGCATTTCTGTCACTACCTTTCATAAGCCCATCCTAAAAAAAACCCTAAGATGCCCTTTTACTAACTTTGATCAAATAATACTTCACCTAGACACGTCCAAGCTTGGGCACAGTTAAAACCCAGTCATCAATACTTATTAATCATAGTAATCATAAATTCAACAAAAATGTCATTAAAATCTTCAAGATTTGCCAAATATGACAAATACATCTGTAATATATACTAGAAAAAATCCTATGGGTTATTCAGTTGCAAGATTTACCCAGGATATAGGTTGAATCTTACCAAACAATTTTTTGAGCCACATAAATCCTATGCCTTCATAAATCTCATTTTCCTCCCATTTTAGGCTAAATCCCCGAATTACAAATCATAGCAGAAGCAATTTTTAAGAGATTTACACAAATTATCCCTATTGTGCATTATATTTTTCTTTATTTGAACCCTAATTTTTGAAATTAACTTCCAAATGGTTTACTAGGATTTAACCAATTTTAACATTCATAGTGCCAAACATTTAGAGATCTAAAGCATCCAAGTTTTGCTAACTCGGAGTTTACAAATTTTACCATACCCTACTTCTACTAAATCCTACTAGCAACCAAGCAGCTGTTATAAGTCGATTCAAACACGTTAGCAAGGCAAAGTTTTTGCAGTCAACATCATTCAACAAGACAATGTTCACGAGAAAAGAGTAGTAAACCCATCTCCCAAACAGTGTCGCACACGTCAAGCAAAATAGACTAGCTTCAAGCAGCTAAATAAAAAATCAGCTCCTTATCAAAGACGATATCCCCGTTGAAGGACTGACGAGAAGAAGTAATTCGCCCTTAACAATGGTTTAATTTAAATTTTGGAAGCAAAAAAGTAGTAATAAAGAAAAACAAAAAATCATTGTACAAAGCATGAATTTTCAAGTAAGAAAACTACAGTTCTTTCAAATTGAACAAGGGATTGCAAACACTAACTGTATCCCGCTGCAAGCTGTGCACACAAAAGTCCAAAAGTTCGTACAGACGTACTGCGGACCCTATCGCCATAAAAGAAAGAGCAAAACTTAGTTCCCAGAAATTTCATGAAATAAAATGGAATAACAAAAGCAAATAAATCCCAAAACAACTGGTAAGCATAATACTACCAAGCCATTGCAGTTGATGCATCTACGATTTGGGGGAAGCTTCAAGAGACCCCTAATAATCTTTTCATTCCTCTCCTCCTCCCTTTTGCTGCTCATCATCTCCAGCCAAACGGAACTCTAACGAGGGCAAAAACCACAAAACTTGAGATCAAATCCGTCCACAATAACGAGCTTTCAAAACCAAGAATGCACTTGGAATCAAGACCCTACGCTTCAATTCCAAACGATTTCCCTCAAAATATCTTCAAGATGATCAAAATCCCCTCCTCTGCTTCTCCACCCAGGCAGGACTTCAAAAGCGTCCACAGCTCCGATCCTTCGGCTTCCCCTTCTCCGTCACTAGGGTTTCAGTCGTCGGATCAAACACGAATCCGCTTCCGTTTCCAGCAACATAGTTAGGCTCTAGGGTTTCCCGGAAAAGACCGCGAGCCAGTGAATCATATTAGAAACCTCCGACGAGGAACGCGGCGTTGGAGAAAGTATAAAGCGCGGTGGAGACGGTTCCTTCTAAATCCCGTCCGCCTTCCCTTCCCAACTCCGGTAGCTCCGATTGTCTAGAGAGAGTGCGGGAGATGCAGAAAGAGAAAGGGTAAAGGGGATCGGTTAATTTGGAAATATATGAAACAGCAACTCGTTGTGGACGAGTGGGGCCCATCACTCCCATGGAAATGGCTGTGTAGCGATAACGAATTCGTGCTGTGGCTACAGGATAGGCTACATGGAGACGAGTGGTGTCGTCCCGTTTGGCTTATCAGGTTTATGCTGGCTGGCAAGCGCTGCCAGCGATTTTCAAAATATTAGTATTTAAATATTTTTACACTAAGTGTAATTCTCTCGTTACAGAATTATAATAATAATTTTTATAATTTAGTAATATTAATTTTGTTATCTTCTCATATTTGAGCTCATTTATTAAGAACTTGCTCGAGCTCATTCGAGCTTTTTCATTTGTATTCAAGTGTGTACATTTAAAATGGGGGTGTTCAAGTTCATATTCGATTCATTTCATATTTATCAAGTTTTAAATGAGCAGCTTAATTAAATAAATAAACAAGTCTTATCGAGCTATTAACAAACGAGCCTAATCAAAATGTTTGTTTGCTTGATGATTGTGAGTATAGTAACGAACTATTATTGAGCCTATAAAAGAGCAAGCTTATCAAGCTTTCTCTAGTGTATAAATGAGTAACTTGGCGAGCTCAAAAATGAAACTTTTAATGAATGAGATTCTTGATGAGCATTCAAATTATACATGAACAAATAAATCTTGATCATGTATTCATTGCCCTGCTCGGCAATAGCCACTGTCAACCATTAAGAAACACAATTTTATGATTTTACATAACATTCATTTTTTACTCCAAGCCAAATAAACAAAATCAATCATTTATTTCGTTCACAATGCAATCCTAATAGGAAAAGCTGCTAAGAAGGTGGAGAAATTATTCGGTATAGAGACCGGATGCAGAACGTCGTGCGGAGACCAACTAGAATGAGAAAGGGAGGGAATGTGTATAAGTTTGTATAGGTAGAGCTTACGAGCCGAGTCGGGGAGAGGAAGAAGACCTTGTCCTGAGTGTTGAATTGGAAGAGCGCTTCCGTTGGCAATGGAAACCGAGTCGTTGCCTTGATAGGAGATCAATTGTTGGAGCCGAGAAAGATCTGGTGTGAGATGTGTGGAAGCTCCTGAATCTAGTACCCAGTCGTTGTAAGAGGTGGACTGTGGATTAGTCAAGAGAGCTTTAGGTGTTGAAGAGGTGGTGGTGCGTATTTGAAATTGCAGCAATGCCAGCAGTTGAGTGCGGAGTGTTCGAACTTTTCACAAATTTGGCAAGTGAGGCATTCGGAACTGGGAGAAGGGGTAGTGTTCTTTTCGGCTGTAAGGGATGTAGATGTGAGTGAAAAGAAGAGTTTCTTCCTTTTGAGTAGCGATTTGATCCTCGACTGCGGGATTGTTTGGACCAATTGGAGTAGAGAGCGGTGGAGGTGGAGAAAGAATTGGAATCTTTACTCTACTCATATTGGATGTTTATTTCCTCACTACAAAGTAAGGAATAAAGAGTGCCTAGATCTATTTGGATTTAAAGATGTACGAATAGTTGTTTTAAAAGAATTATATGTGGAAGGAAGTACGTTTAAAATGTATAAGATGATGTCTTCGGTGTCGATTTTGCAGCCGGTGGCGGTGATGTTGTCAACTAAAATTTTGATTTGGTCCAAGTACTGCTGCATTGTCCGATCCCTCATCTGCAATGGTGAAGCTTGCTCTTGAGTTGTATAACTCGGGAACGATTAGCTGATTGGAATATTCTTTCCAAGATGGACCAGATTTCTTGAGCGGAAGTGACAGAGAGGACGTATGGAAGCACTGACTGGGAGATTGTGGCGAACAGCGCAGAGATCAAATTGCTATCGATTTGGCACCATAGGTGGAGATCCGGGCTGGAGTCATCTGTGGGACGTGTTGTGGCTCCGGTGAGATGACCAAGAAAGCCATTGGCAGCAAAATGTTGAAGAATTTAAAGACGCCAAATGGCATAATAGTCGTTGGTGAGTTAGGTGGGAACTATATTTTTGAGGTTAGATATCAAGAATTTTAGAGGGGGGGAATGGTGAATTCGTTGAGGTAGGTGGAGAGATTTGTGTTGGTGGGGCGGGAGGTAGTAGAATCTTGATCGGCCATGATGCGGTGAAGAAACAGGAAGAGAGGGTTAACGCCCAGAACAGAGATTCTTCTTGGAGATATCTCTTCGAGCGGAACTTCAAGATTGATCTGGAAGGAGTGGTAGGCAGAGAAGGAAGCAGAGAAGATTTCTTTGTCCAGAGAGATCTCTGATATCATGAAAGCCCTCATGGCAGGCTCAGGAAATAACAACAGGAAGAGAAAAAGAAATAAACATATGTATTATTGCAATGTAAAGGTTGTACAGGAGGCTTTATATAGACAACCAAGAGTAACAAATAAAAGAAAGTACATAATAACGTTAGGATATCCACATGATTAGCTGAATGACGTGGATTGGCTTCCTAACATGTGCCACGTCAACAGTACCGAGCCACGATACCGAGCGAAAGGTGACGTGGCGCATTCTGTTTGGTCTCCAGACGATGTTTGGCGTCCGCACATAATAATTAATCAAGATTGCGACCGACTACGCCCTCGTCCCCCATATTCGAAAAATTATTATGTACAGAGGGATTTTGAGTGTACATAATGTGTTCTCCTCATCTTGGAGCTTCTAGTCCCATCCACCTTCTTGGAGCTGTCCAACAAAGCTTAAAGTTGCCATTTATCAATCTCTTAAAATTTTTTAGATAAATAAAATTAGTCTACTTCTGAGCGAGAACGGTTTACACCGCAAGTAAGCTCGTTTGACAGTCTCGGACCACCACAAGCTACCACTATTGGCCACCGTCACCTGTCGCCAACCACCACCACCCCAAGTAACTTCAAATTTATTTTTTTTTACAGTGTATTCCTTTTACATTGTATTTTTTTAAACTATATTTATTTATTTTTTAGCCAATCAAACAACTTCTATGGAAGAAGTTGTTTGATCTGAAATATTATGAATACACTAAAATTTATTTTTCTATATTTCAACCATTTTAAGCGTTGAGAACTTCAGATCGACGAAAAAATATAAAGTAAATTTTGAGAGATTGAAAATGGTAAAAAGCCTCTATTTTGCTTTCATTGGAAAATCACCATTCACAAGGCCTCCTCTTCTGCTCTCGTCTACAATCATTATTAAACCGTTGCAGCAAGTTTATAGACAAAAGAGATACAAATAGATAAAATATTTAAAATGCATATTTAAAAATATTTTAACATTTAAGTTATACCAAAAAAAAAAAAAACGTATAATTTTAAAATACATGAACTCTAATTAATATATATTTATTAAATCCATTCATTTAAAAATTATGTTATCAAGCAGCACCCAACATACAATTTTCCCAGCATGACAAAATGAGAAGGTAAGCCCGTTAGAACATCTCGTTGTCTACGCTTGGACTACGTTTTACCTATGTTTTTGGTGCGCTTGTGAGCTTGCTCGAACTCAAACTAATTTATGGGCTTGTGAGACGAGCTTATCGAGCTCACAAGTCAAGATTGAGCTTGTTTAATAAACGAACTCGAGTTTGAGCTTGGTGAAATTCGGCTCGTGAGCTCGCGAGCAGTTTCGAATAATTATTAAGATTTTTTTAAATAATTTTATTTTATTTATTAAATTTAAACATTTTAAAAAATTTATAATAAATGCTAAACATATTTATTAAATTTAAATATTTTTTAACCCTGTCTAAATTTTAAAAAGCATGCCGAGGCTCACAAGCCGGCTCGAGCTCATTTACAGTGGAATAAGCTTGAGTTCGAGCCAACTTTCTAACTAATAAGCTGAGCTCAATAAGACCACTACTCGACTCGTTTACACCTCCACTAAATTCATTACACATTATTTATCGTATCACAACTAATTTAGACTTAGTATAGAGATACCTCAACGTCGATCGTAACCTTACTCGCATCTTTCATAACTAACTCGCAGCTTCTATAGAAAAAGAAAAAAAAATCATAGAATATGAGCAAAAATCATAAGATTTATAAGATAATTGGGTCAACAAAGCTATAAATTATTATGTACGCAATTCGAATGCAGAGTAAGGTTCGGCTGTTGTGTATTTATTGCTTATTTTACTGCGTATTTTTTTATACATAATTTTTTCTACGTATTTTTTACATATTTAGTGAGTATTATTTATTTGCTGCTAAAATACGTAGAAACAATTATGTATCAAAAAATACGCAATAAAATAAGCAATAAATATGCAGCATCCGAACCTTACTCTGCGTTTGGATTGCGTACACAATAATTTCTCAATCACTGCATAAACCTTTGAAGACAATTGGCATACTTTAAGTTTACAAGGCAACCAAAACATATTTAGAATAAAAAAATTTCTCCTTATATTCTATTGAAAACAAAAGATACAAATAACATATGAATAAGTCTGAAAAATCAAACCATCCACGTCTTTCAACCATAGAATCCATGTACAGCATAGATGTGCTCCTGATATGTAATCTGATTTATCAACCCTACAAATACAAGTCTTTTTAGTTTTCTTTAAATGCCGAGTAAACAAATTATGAATATTAAAAACATAAAACTGGAGAAATAGTTCAAATTGTCTGTTTTCGCACCGTTGCAAAGGCTCAATGAATGGGAAAATTATTAGGTCGGGACGTAGAGATACGTCTGAACTCCAATAAAATATTGACACGTGAATATTCAGTTAAATTTAATTTTTGTTTTATAAATTAAATGTGTCCGCGGAACTTTAAGCCAAGCGCATCAAAAGCGCAAAAGCGTGGGTAAAGCACAGTCAAAGCGTAACAAAACTCAGCCCACGTGTCAAATTTTAAGTGGATGTCTGGACGTATATCTATGTGCGGTGTCCGGACCTAATAATTTTCCCGATGAATGGGAGATATGATTAAGTACCTTTGAGGCAATGTTGCTGGAAAGCCAATCGAGCCCCTCATACAGGCCTTCACCGGATGTGGCGCAGGTGCTCTGGATGTACCTGGAAATCACATCTCCACCATTAATTTTATAGCAACGAGCTATTAGTAGTAAAAAAGGAGATTATGTTAACTTGTTTAAACAATATAAGCAAAACGATTCCTGGATAGCTTCAAAGCAGGAAATCGTGAATAGAAAAGCTATACTATAAGATTATTCATCAAGTCACACAATCACGGCAAATTATTAGGTCCGGTCACCGGATCTAAATTTTCCTCTAGATTCCTATGCTTTTAGTGCGCTTTTATTATGCTTTTGATGTATTTTTGAAAAAGATCAGCTAATACACAATTTTAACTGGATATTAGTTGTTCTTTTGCTGCCCTTTTACTGAGTATTTGAAAAGCGCAGCAAAAGCACAATAAAAAGACACCGAATACTCATTGAGTAAGATATTTGTTACGTTTTTGCTGTGCTTTTACTATATTTTTGCAAATACTCAACAAAAAAGCAGCTAAAATACAATTAAAATTGTATATTAGCTGCTCTTTTTCAAAAATACATCAAAAGCGCACTAAAAGCGTATGGAATCCAGACGAAAATTTAGGTCCGGTGACCAGACCTAATAATTTGCTTACAATTACAAGGTCATGGTTTGGAGAAGGAAAATCCCAAACCAGTGTCGCTGACGAAGTGAATGAAGACCGAGCTTATCTGTAATTTCAGCGGCATTCATAGCATTCGGTAGGTCCTGCTTGTTCGCAAGCACGAGCAAGACAGCGTCTCGCAGTTCATCCTACAAGCACCAAGAAAAGTAGAATAACTAAGGTTTTGGATCTATTAATAGAACAATGACCAAGACATGCAGAGTTTCGCATTACTGCTTCAGTTTGAAAGGAGAAGTCAGCTTCCTTGATTCAATAGAAACAACTAAACGCCCTCAAATTTTGCTAAATCAAGATGATGTTATAATGCATCAGACAATGATGTCCAAACCATGATAGATGTAAAATTAATCCTCTCTAACATGGCGATCTCAGTTGATAACCTTATTCACATCAATCAACCAACATATTTGATGAAATTATTAAACTAGGTTTAAATTCCTATTCCTCCTATATATATTCATCACCGAAGAGGATCGGCATATAACCGGTTCAACTAATCTGTTTTCTAGCAGCATGTCCTTCAAAATGAAGGTGCTGTAAGAATCACTTGATGAGTACGAAGAATAGAGATAATATCAAATACAACCATTCAAGTATATAATTGGTCTCCAGCTCTCTCTCATTGTCTTACTAAGGCTTCTTTTGGGACGGTTTTCTTAAAATTTTTTGAAGCAGTTTTTTAGTATAAAAATTTTAAGTTCAAGAAATTTTTGTACTAGAAAATTATTTTAAAAAGTATTAAAAAAACAGTTCCAAATGAAGCCTAAGACTACTCCAAAGTTTGTGAGGGTAATAAAAACATGAGGACATGTTCCCCTCATTGGTTACTTACCATGCCTTCGATCTTTTTGGAGATATGATAGTCATATTTCATTGTACATTAAATATTAAAAAAAAAAAACTCAATGAAACTTCTGATAGAAGCTGGACCCTATACTCTTATCCTGTATCGTTATTATTTACTTCTAAACCTGTACACAACTATATATATTCATCCACTGTACTCTGTAATGTTTATGTGTGAAATAATAGTTTTCTATTTCCTTCCTTTCGTTTCTGTCTCTTGCCTTTTCCTGTCTTCTTCTTCTTTCAACTTCAACAATTATTCGATGTTGCTATGTTGTTTTAATATCAAAGACTTCATATATATGACACCCTATGCTGGCAAATATTTGCTTCTAAAAGTTATAATCATTGCTTTAATAAAATGTTTAAATTTATATTAATTTGCAAATATGATCTCAAGCCTAAGAAACTGTATATATCTATAAAATGAGTGTTTATTGCAAATTAATCTATCTCTTAGTACGCCTGAATTAATTATCTCATGTTTATATTGAGAGTGAATTACGACATGAGATTAGAACCTATTTGCGAATTGAGTTCATGTTAGTGAAATATGACTTCTGAATGCATTTAATATTTATTATTAATATGTAATTTGTTCATGTCTTTTCAATTAGTCGGTACATCCTACAATTACATCTTGAAAATTTATATTTCCTCATTGCATATAGATAGTTTGGTCTTAATATCATCATGATCATGGGACTTTGCAAAGAGCGAGTATTTTGACCCAAGATTATAATTAATAAATTATTCCATTCATTTTTTATTTGTTCAAAAATTCCTTTTTTAATTTAACTAAATGAATGTTCTCAGTTGTTCAAAATTTTGTCAGCCTCCCGACATCTCCTTGTGTTAGGGGTAGGCATTTGTCTTTTGTTCTTCCCGATCGGATCAAAGTTACAACAAATGTGGGGTCTTCATATGTTCTCATTATTCTCTAAGCCAAATTAAAGATACTAAGAACGCGGGTTCTTCTGTGCCTGTTGTTGAAGTAAGAAAGAGAGAAATTTATACACTTTAGTATATAAAGAGTGATGATAATCGAGGGTCGATCAAGTCGAGTGATTGAGTAACGACAGACTGAGTTGGATGCTAATTTGGAAGGTTGGACACACAAGTGAGGTCAGAGTCGCGGGAGAGGGACGAACAGGTTGGTTGGGTCTTTGATTGGAAATGCTTCCTGGCCCGGCCTAACAGTCTTCTGCACATGATTTAGTGAACGAGAGAGAGGGAGTCGGATTAGGGTCTCGCGTGCGACGAAGAGAGATCGAACAACAGAGGGCTCGGGAGTTCGAGGGTCTAGAGGGGCCCGACTTCTTGCGTGCAGCTCTGATTAAAGGCGCAAGATAGGAAGGAGACGAGAGGAAGGGAGTTCGCGCGTACAATATAGATAAATTGTGAGGGAGAGAGAGCTTCGGCTGGGGTTCCTACATGGCTTTGTGCATGACTTTGAACGAACAGAGAGGGAACATGTGCTTCGAGTTCCATTCCTACATGCAGCAAATAGAGAGCGAGAGAAGGCGAGCATTTTGGGGGTTGTTGTCTGTGTGGCTGAGTGAAAATGAGAGGGACAGAGCCGTTCTATCTAGGGCGGTTCCTATGTGCGGGAAAATAAAGAATGAGGGATAGATGTCGTGGGTTAGCAATCAACACACATAATGGTAGGTATGCAAGACAACAACTCCAGCCCCTGCAAACATGCACAATGTGGTTTACACGACGATGGTAATTTTGTTCGTAAATAACCATGTGACATGCATCTATAGGAACTTTGTTATTAGCATCAAAATGGGTCAATAGTATTTATCTCTTCTGCTTATTAATTTCTTTATTCACCCCAACTGCCTCTACTTCTAGATTAATTTTAACCAATGTGAATATGACATAATTTCTAATATAGATAGTGTGGACACTCTTATATAAATGCCAGAACTTTCATTCATGGGATTCAGTTGAAGGGCAAGAGCCAATGCGAGCTTAGGATTATCCATTTGCTAAAATATGCATATGCATATTTTGCGAATAAAAGCTTAGCCGAATTGGTCGGCGAACATTGATTTGGATTAGAATATAATCTAACTGAATCTTTTTATCAGTTAGCCTCATTCACTTGTGTGCTAGGTAATTTGTAATATATTGTAATCATAACATAATTGAATATCTAGATCGAGGATAAACAATTAGCTCAACCAAAAATTGTTTGGAGTAGTTAATTTTTCTCTTACTTACACTTAAACAAATGTGGATTGTTGATTTGATTAAACTTGTGGAAGAAAAAGAAACCGATCATGGCCAAGCCCAGATGTTCAAAAAAATGTGTTCACATGTTAACTAAGTGGCCAGGTTTACTTTTGCACAATATCTTATGTGATATGCTAAAACTACTTACGTAATAGAATTCAGTCAAGTGATTCGGCTTCCACAGAAGGCACTATATGTATCTAGTTAGACCTCTGAAATGAAATGCACGGATAAAAAGAAGATTGTAAAGTTTTTATTTTTTTTTTCTGTGAAATCTATCTCTTATCATTAAGACCTACCAGGAGAATCCATTTAGCTCTCCAATCTATCTATTTTAATCAGGTAAATATTTAGGTTGACCTAACTTAGGATTTAAGCATTGATCAAAATTGGGATAAAACCCACAACCCCAGTTTATTTTAATTACAAAAAGAAACTGGATTAAAAAATAACAAAGAACTTAGACGTTCAGGTTTAATTACTAGGGGAATTTACATACATACCATACAACTATAATGCATTTACATATCTAGTATCAAAACATTTGACATAAAGTGTCTCAATATAAATATATGCATGAAAACACATATTTCACTAAGAAAAATTAATATTGGTGGTATTGTTTTATAAGATTTAAACATTTGGGTGTTATATAGATAAATATCAAAATTTTGATATTAGATACATAAATATAGAAGAATTGTGGCATGTATCTAAACCAACCTAAGTAATGTGATTTTTAGTATTTCTATTCATGCAATAAGAATGACAAAACAAACAAACTAGATACATAGAATATTTGTAACAAAAAATAGAACTATATCTATCAAAAACTACAGAATGGACTTACATCATTGAACATTTTGTGCAGCTCATCTCGAGCCTCAACAACACGATCTCTATCATTACTATCAACAACAAAAATGAGACCCTGCGTATTCTGGAAGTAGTACTTCCACAAAGGTCTGATCTGTTTTTGTTTCAAAGAAAAAGGGTTAATATGTATGTGTATGCAGAGTTTTTCCTAAAAATTCTATTCAGGATGCTTTTCAGCGCAACATTGTCCATCCATGAACCTTATAGCATTTTACAAATATAAAGAAGATTTGCTTTGTCATTCTCAAACAACTTTACAAGAAACTGGTACCTTATCCTGACCACCAACATCCCAAACAGTGAAGCTAATGTTCTTGTACTCAAGAGTCTCAACATTGAACCCTGCCATGCAAAAACAGTTAAAACCTCCATAACCATAACATATTACAACCTCTTTTAATAAGGATAAACGTGTCAGACCAAAATAAAAAGCTATGTAGAATGTTTACAATTAACTTCAACCATAGTGTTAAAATCTAGTTTATTTGGTAACTTTGGACACGTTCAGTTTTTGACAAATTTGGTTTTGAGAGCTGCACAAAATTTTGGCTTTTAATTTCGGTGTCTACTTTCATACAGTATTTTCAATATTTTACAATTCTTGAAGCTAAATACAATTTAAAGTTCACAAAAAGTAATTTAATATGAAACTTAAATCCTTAAAGTTAATTCAAACAAATGATATAACTGAATCACGGCGTTAAATACATGAAAATATCTTAAATTTGTTTTACAACTGCGGGCAATGTTTCAGAAGTGTGACTTTGGGCTGCCATGCTTATTGTAATGCCAATCATATTTGCACTTTTAGTAGCTAGATTATTACCTCTCATGCATGTCATTCATAGTCAAATAATCTGATGTCAGTTCTACTAATCTTTGAAGTTGGTTATTGGATGAATATTTTAGATTGGAAAATTTATGTTATGGTCCAAATTTGTATAAGAGCCCTTGTGGTTTAGCCTTTTTGTGAACGAAGCCAATTTCCAATCTTTGTGTATTATTCCCTAAGTTTTCAACATTTGTAAGCAAGCACACTAAAAACTCTGTTGAATAATTGATTATATATCTATATTTCTTTTTCTTAAACCTTCTCCTGCCTCCAAATATGAGCTATATGCCAAACCATCATGGGCGGATCCCCATAGAGCCCAGTGTGGGCAAATGCCCATCCTCAAAAAAAAAGGAAAAAAAAAAGCCTATATTAAGGATAAGTTTGGAATTTAACCCCTCTAAAAAAATATTTTGCCCAAATAATTAAAAATACTTATATATTTCTCTTACAAAAAATAAAGGTGCTTATTTTCTAGTTCCTATAAAGTAGGAGGTAATATTTATCCAAGGGAGAAAGAAGAGACTTATGGTTTATAAGTTGGGGTTGTATTACTTTCGATTTGACAGTGCATGGATGCAAGAGTCCTAGGGATGGCTATGTAGTAGGCAAGGAACTTTAGGAAATGATGGCCTTTATTTTTCTTTTTTTTTGGATTTTTTTCATATTCTTTTTTTTTTCCAATTTATATTACCAAAATCAATATTATATTGAGGGATAAATGATAAAAAAAATTTCTCTTATAAATTTGATAGCATTATATTGATTAAATTAAAAAATATTTTTTATTATTAATATTAATATTATTGTTATTGTTATTTAATAATTTAATTAACTAAAATTTTGCCCAGCCTAAAAAAAGATGCTGGATCCGCCCCTGCAAACCATATTCGCCAACATCAATGCCTTGCTAGAGCGAGCTCCATTTTCGTGCATCATGATCATAAATGATGTTGAGGTTTGCATCTATGCGACATCATTCTATGATATTTAGATAATACCAGCTTAAGTCTCTTATTTTATCCAGTACTACCTATACTAACAATAAAAGCCTTAAGTAACGGCGAATTATTGCGTCTGTCCGAACATCCAATCCGGTGACGCCACGTCACCCAAATACACTAGGTACCGGTGCATTTTGGTGACGTGGCGACACTGGATAGGTGTCCATACTTGTAATGCAAACCAATACTAACAAGTGAGACTAACCGTAGGGATTGGTGGGGCGGTGCCATACTTGCTGTATTTAGAAGAATTAGGTTGTGTATGAATAAACGATAGGATTTAGGTGTTGGAATTGTAAATAGCTTAGAATTCAGTGGCATGTATGCAAATTCCCCATGAAAAAACATTAAATTCAGCTCAAAGTACATTACAAACATCATTTCTTCTTGAAGATTATGAATGAGGCAACAACCGGAAGATTCAACGATAAAACTATTTCAATTAACGGATGAAACTAATAGCAGTTCAACTAATCATTCATAATCTAACACAGATCATTTCCATAAGCAAAGCCGGGATTAGATTTTGAAATACGTGAAACCCCAACACCTACATATGACCGACCACTAGAGAAAATAGAAATTAAACAAACCAAGGTTCCAAGTCATAGATCAAGTGCTCACCAATAGTTGGGATGGTTGTAACAATCTCTCCGAGCTTCAGCTTGTAAAGGATCGTAGTCTTACCAGCGGCATCAAGACCAACCATCAGAATCCGCATCTCCTTCTTTGCAAATAGACGGCTAAAGAGCTTCGTGAAGGATAGCCCCATCTTTATCTGAGCTAAAGTGCAAACACGCCAAATAATTAGCCAAAACTACGACAAAAGTTTCGATAAAAGAACAGTGACAAAGTGAGAAGTAATGAAGACAGGACAGGCGGTCATGCATCTTCATCCATAACACGTAAACGAAGCTTATAACATTAATGATCGAAAAAGAACGATCACAGACAAAAATTAATTCATATCTCTATTAATTGAGATGCTCAATTCCTAGGAATATAACACGGACGAGAGGTTCAAACATATTTCCGACAAAGATGACTGCGTAGCAGAAACAGGAAGACGGGAGGAAAGTGGAAATCCTGTCAAAACAAAAAACAGGAGATCGGCAACGAGCGAAAAACGTTACCAGGAGATTATTCCCAACAAATCAATGGAAAATGCTAATGGCAGACAAAGACAACGATAGCAGGCCTGCTCTTCTTCCTCCTCCGCGCCTCGCGAGAAAAATGCAAGAGAAGCAGAGGAAAAATGGAAGATGCTCTGCACAACAAAAGGGGTATATATAGGGTCGGGCAATTAGCCTGATTCCCGCGGAGTCGTGGCTGCCAGAATAGAATCGCGGTATGACCTGGGCTGACCGGATATTGCCGGTTGGCATTGATTCTATGCGGTACGAATTCGTATATGTTTCTGGTTACCTTAGCAGTTAAGTATTGGACCCAGCAGCAACGAATTTGGAGAGGAAGATTACTTTGACTGTCCGACAGATTAGAAATTCTTATGTTAAGGATTTAACTCCGAAACTCCAATAAAAATATGTCAAATATTTTTATATATAATATGTATACATTATACATATTATGTATAATTATATATATAGTGTATATACAGTATGTATATTATTGATATATCATCAAAAAATTATCTTGATCGGCACGAATCTTGAGGCAAAAATCAAAGTTGAAAATTTCAAAAATTAAATCCGGGATCACCTGAACTCCGATTTTAGCAAACTTATAGTCAAACTGAGCGTCTAAAAAATACGAACACAACGATACCAAATTTGGCTCAATCCGAGCCTAAATGAGTCCAAAACAAGGACTCGAAGCGCTGTTGAAAGCTTCGTACCATAGTTTGAGTTACCAAATGGCTTCCAAACATGACGAGCTTATAATCGAATCGAGTGGGTCGACGAGACGAATCCAACGAGCCCAAGATCGCCGAATTCCGAAATCATTAAGACCTCCATGACATACGATACACGATCAAGGGATTCAACATCGGTCGTTCATCCAACCACTCCCCATTTACCCTTGATCTCTCACCTATTTATGAGCCATGTCGCTCCATAAATCTATAAATAGACCCATCATTTCTCTTGAAAGTGACAGAAACAAGAAGATAAGAAGAGAAGGAAAAAGCTCCTCCTCGACCACCACCGGTGTTTCGCTGGACCACCGCTGGACCTTCACCAGACCACCACCTGAGGCCCTCGCCTTTGTCGGACCACCACCTGAGGCTCTCGTCTTTACCGGACCACCACTTGAGTCTCTCACCTCCGTTGAACCGCCGCCTGACGTCGTTGCTCAGTCGAAGCACCACTTGAGTCCCTCACCTCTGTCGGGACCACTGCCTGACACCGTTGCTTCGTCGGACCACCACTTAAGTCCCTCACCTTTGTCGGACCACCACCTGACGTTGTTGCTCCGCCGGACTGCCGCATGAGGCCCGAACTTCACCAAGCCACCACCTAAGGCTCAAACTTCCGCCGAACCACCACTTGAGGCCATGTGCTCCACTAGGACACCACATGAGGCCCGGACTTCTACTGAGCCTTCTTCGCTCTTACATATAAACTCCACATTTGTCATATATCATTTATATCATTCTCTCTAGGCAAGTCAATATCATGTATGAAATATAATAATGCATAAAATGCAGAGAAATTTATACATAGTTTATTAAATTCAAAAAATTATAACTATCAATTTTCCTTATAAAAGTAGTATATTTACATCACTCCTTTTATATATACTCCCATAAGCTTTACATCACGATGTTTAATGGACAAGCTTGACTACTGTCAATAAGTGTTGAAAGTATGTCGACTAAAAGGGGGAATGTTACCATGTTATGACATAATGTTTGATTTAGCATACAATCATGTCATATAAGGTAAGTTCTTAATTGCTCTAAAACATTGCAACAATTGGGAGCATTCTAAGTAATTCAACGAATAGTTGGATAGGCTTGGTCGGTCATGACATAAACCTAAGTTGAATTCTTAGGCAGGGTGAATGAATTTGTCATACAAAGTTCATCAATTAGGCAAGCTTGAAATGTGCCACTTTAAATAAAATGGCTATTAATCTTATTGGTGTAGGCTAGGTGGGCTCAATTGGTTGGCCATGAGTGGGCGATTAGATGAATATTCATTGACTCGATTAGATAATCATGAAGCTCGTTGGGAGCTTTTAAGCGAGTCGAGTGAAATTTTTTTGTAAGATTTTTGAGCTATATGTGCCTTCTTGTGATATGTTTTTCATAAATGTTTGATAAAATAGGAGGGGAAGGGAACTTAGATAAAGATCACTACGATACGAATAAGTTGGATTTGATTTGAGTAGTCACATTTGATGCTAGCTTGACTAGTCTTAAATGATCACATCAAGTGCTATTTGCATGGCTGAGATTAATTGCGGGAAACGACGAGTCACAAGGTGGGCCCATGCGAAGTCGCCAATCAACTTCACCTTCCATGGTTGAGTTATAGTGAGTTGTTATCTTGTATGAACATGCCTGGTTAGCCTAAATTAGTGTATGATACCGAGTAGATTAGTGAGTGAGTTTCGTCATTGAAAGCTTTGAACTAATATACCTTTTTGGCTAGTAGGGCTGAGTAAATAAGTGAGTCGCTTTGAATGCTAGGTGTCTATTGTTTAGGATCATTGATAATTTTCACTTTAGTCTCAAAGCCTTATCTCCTAATAAGTTTAGCTAGATAGATTCTAGATGCTTACTTATTCAATCGACTAAATCTATTTTAATTTAATTCAAATAATTTTGAAAGTACAATTTATAAATAAAAATAATATTACTTTTTTAAGAATTAAAGATAAAGATTTTTCCTTGGTGAAAATATAAATGCTTTTGCTATTAATATAGAAAAATTTTATTTCTTATTTTCCTTATAATAATTTAAAATTTATAAAGAGACTAGCCGATCCACAAAATAGAAAATTCCCACCACCGCAGCTTAGCAGCCAAGCATTCGTCACGGTCACCACCCAAACTCGCGACATGCATGAAAACGACGGTTCAAATTCAACGCTCGTGATCGCATTTCCATCTGCCGTCCGATCAACCATTAAATAAAACCACTCCCTATTTTCTCAACTTTGCACGCCTCATGCCTAAATCCGATGAGTAACAAAGAACCAAAGGGTATAGAATAGGGCGTATTATTATCATTTCCTGCAGGAAGTTTGCCGCGGAAGGACTTCAGGTCGACCTGCGCTCGGTTTGCTTGCTCCGTTAGATTGCCAATAGGGCTTTCCCCCATTTATCGTCGATCTGGAGTTCTGATTCTATATCGATACTCTTCCTAGGGTTTGTGGTACGATCTCCTTCTTCTCCGCAAACTAGTTTAATTGCGATGATGTTTATGGTTTATTTATTTATTTATTTGTTTATTTCACTTGAACGCCAAGGTTTCGGAGCAATCGTTTCATTTGTTATGCTTTATACATTACCGGACATGCATAAGAATCTGTGAGGGGCCTTCATTAAAGGGAAAAATTAAGGTGAGTGCCTCTTGCGGATATATGATAAAGATGGAATGATAAAATATTAGCATTTGAAGGATGAAGCGTGTAGATCTGGAAGTGGATAAAGTTGTTCGGTTGTAAGGTGCTTTTCCGTGTTATTTCATGGAAAGGAAGTAAGGAGAATAAACCTTATTATAGGAAGTAAGGAGTAAATATAACACACTGTGATTTCCTAATTATGATTTCACCGGCAAATTGTATCTATATTCTCAATGAGGTTTCCTGCTCAAGCATATTTATATTTTTTATGCAAATCTCACTGTTTATAATCATCTAAAATGTAAAATGTGCGCATTGAGAAGAGTAAATTGACATTATGTGTTTTGATTTTATTTTAGTTGATTTTATTTCAATATGTTTTAAGATTTTCTATATCAAAGTTTTAGTCTTTGTCATGCCTATGATGATTCCTATGAGAATTAGTTGTGTCTTATGATGTTTTTGGACCCTTTCCCCTAGTTTGATTCGGTTATATTCCATGTGTTGGTTTTGACTTGGGTCGGTTCAACTCTCTGATATTTGGTTCAAGTTTTTGGAGCTTTGCTTCCAGCTATTATTGCTTTGCCGGCGACTCTATTCCCCGCTAACTTATGATTCATGTATTATTGTACTAAATTTGTCTCATTTTCCTTGTTATCCTTGTATGACATGTGGCTATTCCTTGCCGACTTGCGATCCTGGATTTGTAGATGCTCCCCCATAGTTTGTAGCTTTGATGTTATCATTTTTTCTTGGTTGAAATATTTTTGTGATTATTCGATATGAGCCTACTAGCCATGCTATCTTACCATATAAAACGAGCTTTGCTATTTGGTGATTTTTTTTCATTGTTCATTTCCTATTCTCTAATTTTCTTTTTGGGTTGCATGTGTGATTGGATATTGTTAAATTTGGTATGGTCTAATTATTTTGTTTGTGATGTGAGTTTTCGATGGAAAATATGATTTCTTATGATGTTGAATTTTTATGTAAGATTTTTAATAGAGGACTGTCAAAATTCTTATTTGATAGGATTTTGTGCATTTTCAATTTTCATCCAAAGTGATGAATAGTTTTCGAATTTTGTGACTACAAATTTGACTTTGTGTGCATAATTTTGTACATCTCATCCAAGATATATCTTAGGAAACCATGAGTCATAAAATTTTATGTATTATATTTGGTATTAAAGCTTAATATGAAATCAAAATTCAATTAGAAGTGGGGTTCATTATTAGTGTAACTTAAATTATCATCAAATTTATGATGTTTTGACAAATTTACAAATCAATTGGTTGCATTGAATAAACAAAATGATATAAATTGAGATATTAATCAGTTTAAAAGCTTATTGAAATTTTAGAAACTATTCGATTTGATCTGCATGAACAATTAGTTGATTCTAATCACAAAGTTGAACTTATCCATATGAACGTTAACATGACTAAAAGACAATAAATTAATTGCGGAAGATCATTCAAGGTAAATTTTACAGGGTTTATGATAATGAATTATGGAATCACAAATGTTAAATATATGACATTGTCTAAAATGACATAATTAAGAATATAAAAGTTGAGGTACCTATTTGATAATAAAATAGATCCAAATGTTTTTCTTGATTGGGTAATAGACATTAATTGACAGCCAATGTAAAACTTGTCGAATTATAATGACATGAATCCTTTAAGAAATTGTGTTAATGCTAGGGCGTCCCCTGGAAGCGACGTGCTGTATGGCCTGAATACAGTGACAAGTGTGCAAGGGCCGCTGCACCACCGCCCGGGTGCAGTGTTAAATAGGTAAGGGTTCTCACATCAAGGACGGATGTGGGCAAAGAAGCTAGTCCTTGAAACTAAAATTAGGATAGAAACTTGGAATATAGGTTCTCTTATAGGAAAATTAATGGAATTAATAGATATTATGATTGATAGGAAGATAAGTATTTTGTGCATTCAGGAAACTAAATGGATTGGAGAGAAAGCTAAGGAAATTGATAGTTTATGATTTAAACTTTGGTATTCTCACATAAAACGGCGGCCTTCCAATGACCCGGTTAGGAGAGTAGAGGTTTTAGATTTGACTTATGTTAAGAAAGGTAGAGGCAGACCTAAAAAGACTTGGTTAGAAAATATTAGGAATGACCTTTCTTTATTAGATTTAAATGAGAAAATGACCTTTAATAGGACACAGTGGAGAAAAAGGATTTATGTAGCCGACCCCACGTAGTGGGATAAAGGCTTGATGTTGTTGTTGTTGTTGTTGGTAATAGACATTAATTGAAGGAAAATAGTCTTAAAACCAAGTAGCACATGCCCTTCAACAATGAAGGACAATAGTCTTAAAATCTATGAAGCCTAAAACATGTCTAGTTCATCTGCTAACGAATCCAATTCTCCTAATAAATTGAAAAACTCACTACATTTTTTGAACCAAGATGCTTTTGAAAATGGGGGATATGAAGAAGGATTGATTTGTGCTTTAGTGGTTACACAATTAAAAAATGTTGGGCCTAAGAGTGTGCCTATCCCTAAGAATGTTAGTCAAGTACCATCTGAGTTCAAAGAATTACACGCTAATGATCTTCTTGGTGAATTATCATCACTGAAAAGCATACAACATATTGTTGATTTAATTATTTGATATTTGTTACCTGACATGCCACATTGTAGAATAAACCCAACTAAATATTTGAGCTTAAAAGTTATCTAGATGGTTTGCATTAGAAATGATTGGTGAATGTGTGTGGAGAATATAGCTATTAACAAGAGTACCATTAAATACTGATTTTCTATGCCTTGGTTGTATATGATGACTAGAGCTATTTTCTTTTTGAAACTTGATTTGGGAAGTGTTCACTAGATAAGAATACAAGATGAACATGAATGTACCATTGTTTTAGAGTAAAGATGGATTGTCTGAATGATTGGTGATGTCTCTCAAATTAGCTAATGTACTAATTATTTATATGAAAATCATGAATGTGTTTCAATCTTTTTTTTTAACGTTTGGTTTTATATTTTGATGATATTTTATCATATAATTAATCTGAAAAGTATTTGAATTATTTGGTTTAGTTTAGAGAAGTATTTGAATTATTGCAAAGTGAGAAGTTATACTTAATCTGAAAAAAAAAAAAATTGTTGCACGATCTGCTATATAACTGGGATTTGTTGTTTTGGGTGATGCAATGTCTACTGATCTTGATTAAAATGAAATCAATTAATAATACCAACAACTACAAATTATTATGAGCTTCAAAGTTCGTATGTTCTATTACATTCTATAAACGTTGCATTATAGGATTTAGCATTGTGATGACCCAGAAAAAAAGAATAAGTGTTCATAAATAGATCATTTGAGGCATGCATGTAAATATTTTTCAGCTTAATAAATTTACATTTTTTGTCCAATTTTGTATGCTAAGTTGGATGTGGATTCTTTCGAAAGTGGTATAAGAACGACTACCAATTTTCAGGCAAATTCATCTTTTTATACTAGCTTGAGGCTTGTTGTTTCTTATATTTGGTGAACTCTTTTCTTGTTCTTTTTTGTTCTAGAAGTTCTATAATTGGTCTTATGAGTATAATTGCTTTTAATTGAAATGAATGCAACTTAGTATTTTTTTTATTGTGGTGTTAATTTTAGTTTTTTAATTGATGGCTTAATTTTTCCGTTAATTTATTTGATTTAATAGGACATTGTATTATCATTTGATGAAGCTTATTGTGTTTTTGAGCTTAGATCAAAATAAAGAAAAACTTTATGTTTTAATTGATGTTCTTTGAACCAGTGAATACCAAATATGTTATGTGCAATTTTCATCCAGTACATCATCTACTTGCATTCGAAATCATAGACCATTAGATGTCTGTTATGCCGGTCCAGCCTGGACCGGCCCAACCTGGACCGGCCCAGCCGGTCCGGGT